CGACACATGTCAGCACTGCAACACACGAAACTGGTTTGACTGAAGCACATGTGAGCATCAAAATGCTCGGGACTTACACGTTCATTAGCTTGGTTCGTTCCTGCCATTCCCCAGAACGGGCCGCAAAGGTATGACTCGGTCCGCTGCAGCAGTGTAACCACGAACAAGCGCGAAATAAACGGGATACCGTCGCTAGTCTTCAGGAAAATAGATGGTGGGTTTGTATCTGGCCGACGAGTATACATCGAGCTGGTTACGAATGTGATGCTCAGAAGGAATATCAACTTGGTACGAATCTCCAATCAGTTTCATGCCATTGCAGCTCTGCTTCCCGAGACACCAAGTACATGCCGAATCGTCCAAGGCTTGGTCTGTATCTTTGCAGCATGTTGCTCCCATCCTGAGCAATACTTCGGGCCATCCCAGGCCAAACAGGAGCACGAAATTACTAGTTTCGAAAAAGGGACGAAAGTCACATACTCCTGGCATTCTCAGCCGCAGACCCGACTGTTGCCGCCAATCTTTAATGCTCATCCCGAAGCTGCTGTGCGTGTATTGAGACGTGTATACTATTGCAACGGAAACGAGCAATCGGGACCTTGCAGAAAGCCTAGCTGGCACTGCCAAATGCCATGCACTTCTACTACTGTATGGCCTTGTAACCCTGCCCTGTCACCAGGAGCACCGCATGCATAGAAGCGGTTTCTAGAAGCATTCGCTAAGGTAATTACCGGGCTCATCGCAACTGCGGGTCGCTCCACAGAGTAACGCCCTGGACCCAGCCTGCCAAACAGTCGGAAAGCGAAGAGCCCACAAGATGTCGCTGTTCTGTTCCTCGCCAATCCTCAAGACTCAAGGAACACCAAGATGACCTGCTTGGTCGTATTTTGGCCAGCGGGAGATGGCAAAGACCTATCGTTGCACAAGCACTATCGATGGTGCTTTGTGTTGCTCAGAATAGACCATGCTGTACACCCTTCTCGACGGCTTCCGGGTCTGTCGGGTGTCTGATGTCGACTGACACCACGCGTACGCTGCTGCACCTCGCGTTGGAATAGGTACAGCACAATGACGCAGATGCGTGCAGTGTGCGGTGCGGCCATGGGAAAGAAGTGGTCATAGTAGGTGGTATGTAGTGGTCGCCTTCCTTGTTTGCTGGCTTTGCTTCACTTACATGATTTCCTTCCTGGCTTCGACACTGGCTACCAACAATGTTCGCTCCTTCCCGCCTTACTACAGTACGTATTGCGTTGCAGTGACATGGCAACAAACGACCTCAATCCGGTTTTCGAAACTCGGCTATTTTTTCCCACGGCTCACATATGGCAGCTGCGATCGTTGCACGTGCGGCATATTAGTCGGCCTGGCTTGGATGCCCATCCATGATCCATTGTGCTCGAGGTACATTACCCTTTGTGCCTGGTAAATTGGCCCCGTTCGTCCAAGTACCCCCTTTCCTATTTCGGCTTCCGTGCGGAGTACGGAGGCAGGACCCGTCAGGGCTCCCAAGACGGGTTGGATGTAGCGGGTACCTGGAGAAGGTAGTCCCGTTGTACTCGAGTACCTGCCCCAAAATGCAGCCTAAAACGCAAGCCCTTCGTAAACGGAAGCTGTTCCTGCATTAGACCAACGGGTCCAGCAAGATTTAGGGGAATTACCAGAATTACCACTTTGTCGCGTCGCACAATACTTCCCCAGTGCCAGCCTTATCTTTTGGGGTTTGCTTTTTTGCTTTTTTCTTTTTTTCTTTCCCCTCCCTAGGCATCTTCCTCTTTCCTGCCTCCCTGCCCAGCTGGATTGACTGAGTGCTGTAACAAGGTTCGACAGACGTTCTGAAACAGGGGAAGCTGGCCACTGCAAACCCAGTCACCTTCAATGAATTCTGTCACTTGGTGCCATTCGTGCACTGTCTGCTAATCATGAATCGCTTCAACAAATGTGAAGGTTGCCGCCTGATGTTATGATGGGGGCGGCTCGGGAAGCTCTCCCATTCACCAGCCGTCAGCCAGTCAATGATTGTCACTTTCGAAATGCACATCGAAAGGCCACATTGGCAGACCCCCAAGTGCATTCGCAACCTGTCATGTGAGGACTCGTCAGGTCGATCAGGCTGATTGTGGCGCATGCAAATTGGCGTCTAAACAGCGCATCAAGATAGGGACACTGACAACCAAGCCCAGCCGTGATTGAAGGAGACAATCTACCTAACGTTATACCTACCTGACTACATGCACATGACACGCCCGTCGCCTGGCAGTAGGTGCTGACGACAAGCACCTAATTTTGGTCGGCTGCGTGTGGTCGGCCCTTATTGAAATGCTAGCTGGTAGCCCTCTGATGAGCAGCCACCATCCCTTGCAGGAGTCGCCTGAGCGACCACCTCGCGCCCTTGTTACGTGCTGCGCAACGGCCAGAGTTGGATTTCTGTCCGTCCGTCTTCGAAAAGGGCCGTTTACGTCGTTCCGTGCGTTTTCCCCAAAACTTTCAAGCCATAAGACGTCAGGGATCCAGGGCTTTGGGAATATGATGCATCAATCCCAATCGACAGGCACGACTAACCCAACTAAGACAGGGGACAGACGCCCGGCGGATTTCCGCTCAAGTCAAAGGACCCCGACCAAAGCCATTGAAGTACGCAAGGCTGGTCTCGCAATGGACCGCTTGACAGGCCTGGTCCTTCCCTCAGAAAATTTGCCGAAGCGTAGGGTCACAGTTCCGATCAGACGGCTCCCTCCCGTCGAGACGGCTAGGCCTAAATGCAGCAAGAATATTTTTGATACGACAAGGCTCGACAATCCCCAACCAATGCGACACTTGGGACATACGATACATACAGGCCTCCCAGACGCCAGAACTCTAGGCGGCATGGCCTGGGATTGGTTGCTACGCTGCTACGGTCGTCAGACCGCGACCTCTGAGACTTTGTCTCACTTACAGTCGGTTGGGGTCGTTCTGAAGTCTGACGTCAATTAGGCCTTGCACGATAACAAATGGCTGGAGCTTCTTAGGGCTTCTCTCAACGCGTTCTTCGCGTCTCCAACGCTGTTGCTTGTGATCCTACCCGGGCTCGAGAAATTTAAAAAGAGACAAGTGTCAATGCACCAGGAAGGGAAAGCGTCAAACAATGGATGGTGCTCCGCTGGCGTGCCGTTTTCCAGAATATTACCATGCAGTACAAGCCAGGGTGTCATCTTGCAATTGGGACTAAACTAGTAAGCCATCAAAGATGGCGATTGCGCACGCTTGGATAGCCAAAGCGGCTCCCGCCAGACCGGTTATCATGCAAGCTCGGCGCAACGTGCCCAGATCTAGCTAGGCCGATGTTGAGAAGGCTTACCTCAACAGGGAAAACAAGAGATCAAGCGGACTTTGTCAAAGTCATTTTCAGAGCAGAGCTCGCCTCATTTCTTGTGTCAAATGGAAACGGACCGCTACCGAGCTGGCAGGCTCTCAGACTAACGATGCATGAAGGGTTCTCTGAGCCTGTCGGAAGTTGTCTGACGAAGCCGTTAGAGCTCCAGAATTGTTCGGTGGATTCATCCAACCCCCTGTCTCCTCTTACCCTTGTAGTACCGAGCCCTCGTGCTCGGGGACCGGGGAAGGTTTCCGCCATTTGGAGCACCCACTTGCCATGCGTGCTCTTGTTTCCAGGGCATTTTGCTAATTAAAAAAATTTTCTGCTTCACCGTTTCGCGAGGAGCTAATGGGGACATCCTAATATGGCAACCGTCAGGACACAAGTGAGATCTGCAACGTCAGGGGCCAAGAGCAGCAGAATGCGGGGATCAAGCTTGTGGTTTGGAGTTCGTCGAGATTGGATGGTAATGCTATCACTGACTCGTTGACGGGCCAAGAACACGGTACAGTGATCGCTGGCACGCGTCAGGGCTCTGACCATTCTTCCACAGGTGGTTCTAGACGAACAATAACGGTCTGTTACCTTGAAAATGAGTGCCTGACGTTGGAAGCAGGCGGGATGACTTGGTGGTGCTGTAGCCAGCATGGTATACTGATGGTCAACACTGTAACAGTCCGAACCGGCCCGTCGCCCATCTTCCGTCTCCTTGACTCATCGTGGATAAACCGAGCGTACCGATCGACCGGTGAAGGCGGAGAAATTGTAGTAGGAATCGGTGAACATACGAAAGTTGGAAAAACCATGGTAAAGCGAACCCGCCTTGAATTTACGGCCCGCCCCCGCAAGATCCATTTTGCAGTGTGCCGTGTCGAGACAATCACAATTCTGGTTGACGTACCTTTGATCATCCTGCGTGTGCCTCATGATGATGGAAGTGAACAGACGTGACGGTTGCTTGACTTCCAGCTAATTTTTCTCTGCCCTTCAACTGACACGAACATGGTGTGCAGACGAGGTGACCATGAGAGACCTTCCGTATCACCTGCAATTTGTATTGCAAAAACGAAGTTGGAGACTGATCTTATGCTTCAGGTCAAAGACTTACCACCTGGACACTTCACCTAGCGTGACTTTGTTCGAGTTCTGCGACTATTTAATCTACCTAGGTAGACTGCCACCTAGAGACGACCAAATATTCAAGTCTGTAGACAGCCTAGGGTCGTTACTTAGATGAGTCCAGAAAGTGTAGTACTGCAGTAGCTATAATTCATTGTCGAATACCATGGCCGACTAGAAACTACCAAGTTTAAGGCCAAACATGGGACCAAACTGCTTGTTCTGAGATTTTCGTATATGAGGCCGTCGTTTTGATCTAAATGCACCACAACGGCCCAGTTTCAATGGTGGAGTGGCTTCAGAATGGCGGGCGCCCAGCCCACTATGCCCGCTTCCTTAGCCACAGTGCAGACTGCCCCACCAACAACGTCAGCCTCAAAGGCATCGGTCCCCGCCAGCTTCACAACGACAACCGATCCACCATCTTCGACAACGGCCAACTCAGTCACGCAAGTTCGCACAAACCGATTTCCTCCCGAGCTAGCTGGAGTAACAATAGGACAAGAGACCGGCGGAGTTACCAACAATGTCTATCATCCAGCAGCACACGTCTGCCTCGCTTAGCGACGCATGGCGCACGATCAACATCGATGCCTTGCAGGAGGACTCAAGCCTCAACTTCGACACATCGACGCTCCATCCGCCGCTGCCCGAGGTCAGCGAGTCCGAGGTGCGCCAGCTCTCGGGCCAGGTTAGGCAGTTGCTCCGCGGCGGCGACTCAGAGGGGGCGCTGCGGGGGTGCCTCGAGATGCCGGTATACAACGGCAGCGATATGGTGAAGGTACGAACGGTCGGATAGCCGGTTCCTCGCTGCGATGGATGGCTGGGAGAAGCTGACTCTGGTGGATACTTATAGGATGCGCATCTGCAGACTGTCGTCGAGGTCCTGCAGTCGATCAAGGCGAGCGAGATGACGCCCATGCTGCAGCGCATCTATGGGTCTCCCGGCGGAAGCGAACTGCTCGATGTCCTGATGAAATACTTGTATGTTTCTCACATGGCTAAAGAAGCGGCTTAGGAGGAGTCGAACATTCGGTACTGATTGATTGCTTAGATACAAGGGCATGGCTTCGACAGCGTCGTCATCCGGTGGTAGTGCTCCGCGGACCCCAACAAGAATGACGCCCCAACAGACTGGCTTCAGCCAAGTCGGATCAAGACCACACGCCGCGAATGAATCGATGGGTGCTGCTATGAGTGTTCTACTGAGCTGGCATGAGAAGGTCGTGGACGTTGCAGGACAGGGGTCCATAGTGAGGACCATGACGGATTGGCGCAAGGTATGAGGTGTTGCTGATTGCGACGAAAAGAATAAGGGAATATCACAAATGAAAGCGAAGAGTCAATAGAGCCTATTAATGGAGCCTAAGGGTGAAAGCTTCCAATACATTTACAGAACGCCTTAACCTAGCCCTGTCCGGTACCCTTGAGATATGCTAAACGGCTTCAATCCACGGATCACTTCGGAATTCTAGTATACAGTCCACAGCCAATAGGCTCAGATACCCGTCTCATGGGTCTATCATTGCTGCTCCAAAATATCCTTGAGATTGATCTCGCCGCTACCTCGTGCAAGAGGCTTGGCTTGGTCTGGCGACTCGCGCCATCCGATCATATAAATGATCCTGAACGTGGCTGGAATTGTACCATCTTCGTTTCCATGAAGCTCGCGATAAATCGCGTCGTTCGCCAGGAGCACATCCCTACTGATGGGCCCCATCTCTCTTCCGAGAACGGCATTACTCTCTCCCATCGCCTGCAGGTCTTGCATCAGGGCGAACGTGTCGGGATAGTCCACGATAATATCGTCAACGTCAACCGTCAGCATCTTGAAGCCGGCTTTCTGAAGTAGACCTCCAACATCACGCACGTCAGCGAGTGGTGACACCCTTGGTGACATGCCGCCTCTGCGGTCTTGCTCGGCAAGCTGCAGTGATGTGCGCAGCTCAAATAGCGAATCTCCGCCGAGCATGGCTCCCATGAAAGCGCAGTCTGGCTTAAGGATATTGTTGATCTGGCCCAGAACGCCGGGGAGGTCATTGATCCAATGTAGGCTCAGGCTGCTGAGAACCAGATCAAACGAATTCTGCTCAAACGGCAATGTCTCCTCGTCATTTAATACATGCCGGGTTATTGGTATTTCCTTGTTGAACGGCAGGTCGGCATCCCTGTACAGCAAGGTCTGAGACGAATCGGCCGCTATCATTTCTGACATTCGCGTGGAGAGTGGCGGCGATGTAGGCTTTGACGGGTCTGGGTCTGGGTTTTCTCGGGTCAACGCCCTCGCAACGTTGCAAGAGTTTGCGCCTACATCTAGCACCCTGGGGAACTCGCGTTTGATATCCTAAGGTTCTCTATTAGCAAGACTATGTCAGCGTAATTGAGTGCCCGGCGCATACCAGCAGTCTTTCGCAAAGCCGATTTGCGACCTCATCCTTTAGGTAGTCGGCTTGACGGCTAGCTTCGATATCTGAGGCAGCCCTCTCCTTCTGGAGCCATTTTGTCCTGCGATTGAAGACCTCGAAGATTGGAGACCCAGAAGCTTGAAATGCGTACGATCGCCGAGCAGACAGCTGCACTCGTAGTAGAGGCGAATGATTCGAAACCCGACGCAGGACTGTCTTCATTGTTCGGGCTGCAATTCCCTCTGCATCAACATTCTGAAGCTTCGCGATTTGATTGCCGTCGACGGGAAGCTTGGAGGGAAATAGACTAACGGATGAAGAAAGCGAGGGGAGCTTTTCTGGACGTCATGCAAAGCCACCGTGCTGCCAGCCACAGTGGCTAAGAGAGGCCAGAACGGCGCGCGCGGGCTGGAAATAGGGAGCGGCCGTAGTAAGCGTTGCGCTGCGCTGTGGTGGTGGTAGGGGGAGCTTGGCTTGTTGGCTTGCTTGATTGGGGTTAAGCACGGCTCTCCACCGACATCTAAGACAACCCTGGGGATCCGCCCGCCGCCCATTTTCATCCATCACTCCAAACGTGCGAAGACGAACCACGCACGCACCGGTCTCGCGGTGCACAATCACTCGTACCTGCTTTTCATCGGATCACTCGTCTCTGAAAGGACGCTCGAATCGAGTCTGAACTGCATCCTACCCGACATCCACCACGAAGCGCCACGCAAGTCCAGGAGCCCCAGCATCCTCGCACACCGAGTACACCATCCCGCAGCAGCAGCGACCCTCCCTCCCGCCACATCCCCGACCTTCGAGTCCCGCACCACCCGATTATCCATCCTAACCCTCTTGATGCAAAGGAACCTCCTTGCGAGCATGACGAGGTCAACACTCTGAATTTCTTTAATTTGGACGAAGAATAGCTCGACTGTGAGCCCTTGCGGGTGATGCGGTGATCGGAGTAAATAGGTATCGCCGCGACGGTTGATCCCCTCACGAAGCGTGCACTGTCTCCAAATACCCAGTCACGGCTGCTGCTGCAATCAACAACATCGACAATATGGCTTCCTCCGCCGCCGGCTTTCTAGGCCGCTCGAGTAGTAATAACTCGAACATGCGTGGCCTGGTTCAATTCATCGCCGACTTGAGAAATGCAAGAGCTAGGGAGTTGGAAGAAAAGCGGATCAACAAGGAGTTGGCAAATATTCGGTGAGCGTGTCCCAACCCAGAGATGGGGAGGCTCTTGTCATGAGAAGGCATTGATTGACTGACTATTCTGCATCCAACAGGTCCAAGTTCAAAGGTTCGCATTCGACCTGCAATTGCCTCTTAGCGATACACTAACAATGCATAGATGGCAGTCTTAGCGGCTATCACAAGAAGAAATATGTCTGCAAGGTGCGTTCCCATACCGTTTTTGGCTTGTGGCAACCGTTAATTTTGATGATAGCTGCTGTACATATATATCCTCGGCTGGAACGTCGACTTTGGCCACCTCGAAGCTGTCAACCTCATCTCTGCAAATAAATACTCCGAAAAACAAATTGGATATCTCGCCATGACCCTATTCCTACACGAAAAGCACGAACTTCTCCATCTGGTAGTCAATAGTATAAGAAAGGATCTTCTCGACCACAATGAGCTGTTTAATTGCCTGGCTTTACACGCGATTGCAAATGTTGGCGGCAGAGAGATGGGCGAATCTCTAAGCGGAGAAGTTCACAGATTGTTGATCTCACCGTATGAAGCCCCTCATTCCATGTGTACAGTACAGGCTGACCGTTCGTAGGACATCGAAAGCTTTCGTGAAGAAGAAGGCTGCGTTGACCCTCCTGCGTTTGTACAGAAAGTCCCCAGAAATCATCCAGCCCCAGTGGGCCGAGCGGATAATATCTCTCATGGACGATGTTGACTTGGGTGTTTCCCTTTCTGTAACTTCTCTTGTCATGGCTTTGGCGCAGGACAACCTGGACCAATACAAAGGGGCTTATGCCAAAGCCGCCGCAAAGTTGAAACGAATTCTCATCGATGGAGACTATGCCGCAGACTACCTGTACTACAAAGTTCCTTGTCCTTGGATTCAAGTCAAATTGCTCAGGCTACTTCAGTACTTCCCTCCATCAGGTATCTTCGTGCTTTGCACCTTCCGGCTTGAATAGTCGCTAATTGTTCAACAGAGGACAGCCATGTTCGTGAGATGATCCGAGAATCACTTCAGAAAATATTGAACCTTGCGCTTGAAACGAACAAGAATGTGCAGCAAAACAATGCCCAGAATGCTGTGCTGTTCGAGGCTATCAACCTGATCATTCATCTCGATACTGAGCATGCTTTGATGAAGCAGATATCCTCAAGGCTTGGACGGTTCATCCAATCAAGAGAGACAAATGTACGATACCTTGGGTTGGAAGCGATGACCCATCTTGCAGCCCGTGCCGACACATTGGAGCCTATCAAGCAGCATCAGGATATAATCATAGGCTCCTTGAAAGATCGCGATATCAGTGTTCGGAGAAAAGGCCTGGACGTTCTTTACAGCATGTGCGATTCGACAAACGCTGTACCTATCGTCGGCGAGCTACTACATTATCTCCAGAACGCAGATTTTGCCATCAGGGAGGAGATGGTACTTAAGATTGCCATCCTCACTGAGAAATACGCCACGGATGTCCAGTGGTATGTAGATATATCACTGCGATTGATTGCCATGGCAGGAGATCACGTCAGCGATGAAGTCTGGCAACGTGTTATCCAGATCGTGACGAACAATGAGGAGCTGCAAGTATATGCTGCTAAGAATTCACTCCAATATGTCAAACAGGACCACTGTCATGAAACTTTGGTCAAGATAGGCGCTTATATCCTTGGCGAGTTCGGTCATTTGATTGCGGAGGAAAAAGGTTGCAGTCCGATCGAACAATTTCTGGCGCTACAAGGCAAGCTTCCAGGTTGCTCGTCTAGCACTCGAGCAATGATCCTATCTTGCTTCGTCAAATACGTCAACCTCTTCCCTGAGATCAAGACACAGCTTGTCCATGTCTTCGACGTCTATAGTCATACTCTTGACGCCGAATTGCAGCAGCGAGCTTGCGAATTCTTAACATTGGCCAACATGCCGACAGATGATCTGCTCAGAACGGTCTGCGACGAGATGCCTCCATTCCCAGAGCGTCAGTCAGCTCTGTTGTCTCGCCTTCACCAGAAGCATGCGAATACTAGTGATAAGCGCACTTGGGTGGTTGGTGGGAAAGACGCAAATACCGATGCGGAACTCGCCATGGCGAAGAACCAAGGTCTGAGAAGATCATTCAGTGTCAACGCCAACGGTCATGCCAACGGCAATGGTCATACAAATGGCGCGACGAACGGGACAAACGGCCATGCCAAGTCTGCCAATGATCTTGCTGGTATTGATATGCTGAACATTGGCCCGGCTGAACCGAAGACAGCGAAGGTGCCTAATCTTGCGAGCGCTGCTCATTTATCGCCAGGCTGGGAGAGGGGCTTCAACCGTCTGATGCTGAGGGCCGACGGCATCCTCTTCGAGGATGGACAGCTCCAAGTCGGAGTACGATCTGAATATCGCGGCCAGATGGCATGTCTGATCATGTATTTCACCAACAAGACGCCTGCTATCATCGGCTCATTCACAACAACCTTGGATCTTGACGAGAGCGAGAAGGGCAGTTTGACATGGGATGTCAAAAACCTCCCTGACAGCAGCATTCCTTCTGGCTCACAGTCACAGCAGGTTGTCATGTTTGAGGCCAAGAAGGTTTTCACAAAGAGCCCGACCATGAGAATCAGCTACCTCGCTGGAGCTTTGCAAGCAATCACTTTGAAATTGCCTGTCACAATCCATAAGTTCATGGATCCCGCAGAGCTGACTGCTGATGACTTTTTCAAGAGATGGAAGCAGATTGGCGGAGCGCCCAGGGAGGCGCAGCAGATTATTGGTCTTGCAAGCGGCAAGGACTCAGATCGAGAAATCACCGAGGGCTTCATCAGGAAAGTGATCGAAGGCTTCAGATGGGGCGTTTTGGATGGCGTAGACCCCAACCAGAAGAACTTTGTTGGTGCTAGTGTTTTGCATACCTCCGAAGGTGGCAAGTTTGGCTGCTTGATGAGATTGGAGCCCAACTATGGCACTCAGGTAAGAGACCTCTCTCGCACACATAAAACCGAGGTGCTTGTCACTAATCAACATGAATTAGATGGTTCGCTTGACTATACGGGCCACTGATGACACGGTGCCTCCTGTGCTTCTGAAGCTCCTGGAGGAACGTATTGCCCAGGGTATGTCAACAGTTGCCGAGAAATATGTGCCTCCCACAGCGAGCGAGATATCCGACACATTCAGAAATATCATGGTGACAGAATGAAGCTCGACACCCATACGGATATGATTATGAGAGCAAGCTACTTCTTGATGAGCCTATTGCAGCACTAGTCTAGGAGTGTAAGGAGTTCTCGGTTAGCATCAGGAGTCTTGTATGGACACGAAAAACTTGGTTGCATTGCAAGGGTATCCTTCTACCCATTAACACGTACACGATCTGAGCTCCAAGAGGGTGGCTGTCGTGGTCAGTAATGTGTATAGGGATCCTTCCACTGAATACCAGGTAGATAGCATTATGTATTTGAACAGACTTTGTTATGACATTCTAAGATGTACCTACTTTGCGAAGAGCCTCCTTACCTTTTTGTAACTCTTGACAAATACTCTCGTCTACTTCGTCATTGTTGGCAGTTCTCATGGAAAGTTGATTAAAGCATTATCATTTATGCAACTATCTTTGCATCTGCCTTCGCCGGCCTCTGTCCAAATATCGTACTACCTACACGCACCTCGTGACTCCCCATCGTGATAGCGCCCTCAAAGTCCTCACTCATACCCATACTCAGCTCCAGCTTGCTCTCCTCCAACCCGAGCTCCTTGGCCACGAGATCCCGCTGCTCGCGCAATAGCACAAAGTCCTCGTTCTCATTCTCCGGCGTCGTGGCAACGCTCCGCGCGATGGCGCCGATGGTCATCAGCCCCAGCAGCTGCAGGTGCGGGCAGTCGTCTGCGATGGCGCGGCACAGCGCCACCGTGTCGGCGCCGGGCGCGCAGCCGGACTTGGACTCCTCGCCGGATGTGTTCACCTGCACGTGGATGTTGAGCTTCTGCACGGCAGGCTCAGCGGCGATGAGGTCGCCGCGGGTCTTGTTCAGCAGCTGCGCCTTCTTCAGCGTGTCAACACTGGACACACACCAGAGATTGGGGATCTTGGCGATGGTCTTGCAGTGTGCTGTAGGTAGAGTGTCAGCATGAATTTGTCCGTGTCTTTGCGAGTTCGTCATGTCCCTCTATGTCGTGTGCATGAGAGCAAAAGGGGTAAACTGAGGGTGAATGGTTCTCATACAGGATTGCAAACCACCAATGAAATGCCACTGGATAGACTTCGGCAACAGCTGCGCCTTCTGGCCCAGCTCCTGCGCATAATTCTCGCCAAAGTGAGACTGTTTGGTGGGCTCCTGGTGCAGTGCCAGAATGTCATTCACCGGCTTGAGCTTGGACACGGCCACAAGCCGGACCTGTTAATGAGAGGTCAGCCTCATGTCCATCCATTGAGAGGTCGACAAACGGGAAATCGACTCATGGGGAGGAAAACTCACCGGTCGGCCCTTGGCAACAGCGGTTATGCGCTGGCTGACTTCTTGCAGCTGCGAGACAAGAGCCTGAGCTCTTACGGGGTCCACCTTCATCTCTGTATCGCTCATAGTTGCCGTCTGATAGCGTCACGTCCTCGATTTCTCATTCTGGCAATCCTGCAGTTTAGAGTACATCGAATCTTTAGGTCTCGATCGTTATCGATGATAGGCTATGCTTTCGGTGGCACCTGTTAGTGCAGAAAAGTGGGTCCAATCCCGAGCCGGCATTGAAAGCAAGTTATCCATCTTCATGAATGAATACTCTCTATACAAAATAAACCTGATGAAAGTTTTCATGTAAGTACCTAGAAAAGCTGAAAGAGCTATATTGAGTTGTCGGTTGAATCTCTATAACTCTGGAGAAGTCCAGTATCACCATACAAGAATTGATTGTCTCCCAAGCGTTTGTGCTCGGGATAAAGTGGAATCCAACATCGATAAGATATAGAAATCACACCCGCGGTAGGATTAATGTCCTTGATTTAGAGAAGCAGTCTTTACATGACTTAGATCGCGACACATCCAGCTTAAGCCGATGGTATTGAATGAGGGACTGCATTGTGAAATTCTTTGGGGAAGATTAGAAGATTCTCTCGCGTAGACTTCCTGGGATGCCGCCCTATCTATAAGCCCTCCATAAGTCATCCTGTGAAGCTATCTTACACGGCATATTGCATCACGACTTTTCGCAGTCAAGCAACAAAGTAAGCCTTACGGCCTTAACCGCTTTATCATTCTAGACACTTAAGATTCGATCATTAATCAGGTGCAAGAAGCCATTGCAGTGTTGCTAAACAAGCCATTATGAAGTTGAGTAATTGGAATAACACTCTTGGGCATTGTTAAGCCAAGTTAGAGCCGAATGTCGCGAGCTCCAAGGCACAACGAGTGCAAGGGAAATATTCTGAATCATCAAGTCTGGAGAAGGGCGTGCAATGCCAGCCGACATGATCGGCCTCGATCTTTTCAGGTGTACAAAATGCTGACAGACCATAGTCATAGTCGGTTGCTGATGGTCATTGCTTTGCGGTGAATGAAGCTTACAACTCTACTGAACCAGGTGAAGTTGGCAAAGCGAGGGACGACTGGCGAGGGGGCTGCCAATAACTAGTCTTGTCTCTGTGTATCTAAGGGCTCCTTGTCTGGGATGGGTGGTTCGGAAAATGAAGCTGCAAATACCTCCATATGCCTTCTTTCGCATCCTTGCCGTAGACCATGATAACCACAATACAATGTAGTTATTAGTTCCAAGGTTATGTCGTATTCATATACAACTTGCGTAGATTAAACTTCGGATCTAGCTATGGTACTCTGGCCTGAACAACTCCCAGAGCAAGAATCCAGGACAAGAGGTTGCTAAAAAGGGACAGGGTTTAGAGGAAAGGGGTTACAAGGTACCTGCAGCGTGTAGGTTCAAAGAAGATACTTCCATATACACTTCTTTTTTACTTCAGGTACACCCTTCTAGAATAAATCGATGAGGTAACGATTAACCTCATCGCCCCTTGACCGGAAGTCTTTAGAGATGTCCTTCGAGGGATGCTATCGACATCCTTAAGGGAGGGGCGGGGGGGCAAATCCCTCAACAAAACCGCGCAGCCGTCATAACACATGACAGTCACCACGCGGGAAGCCTCATCTTCAGCTGCTACCACGGGCTGAGATTGGGCTGCTGCTACGCGGGATCTCCGAACGGCATGTGTAAGGAAGTAGGGACGCCCATGTCTTCCACCGAGCTTCTACTGCATGCATAGTAAGTACCGCATGACCCCCACTTGCGGTAGCATCGCAAGATCGCTCCCCTGTTTGATCCTCCCTCCTGCTCCCACGTGCTGGGAGACGGGAACTAATAAATGATCTTCCCACATTCTACCCCGAACCCTCCCTCCTTCCCCGAATCTATGACAGCAATGGATCGCGTCATGCTTTAAACTGACCTACAGGCAACAGGCTTCAGGCTACAGGCTACAGCAACGGACGGTGAAAAGTGCGACCCCGCGCACAGTTCTACCGGACAAGTTCTGAAACTGCCTGTGAAGCAGGGCGAGCAATGCATGTCCTTGGGAGCATATCACATCACATCGACCCTCCTTCCAGACAGCTTACTTGGCCTGGGTCAGCAACCCTCAGCTGAGCAATACGCTCCATGTCATCAATGTTGTGCCAACAGGGAGGGTGCTGAGAAGTGAGCTCGGGTCCTGTGACTTCGCAAACTATTTCTCCCAACGTTGCTTTTCTTGCTCGCGTCACCGGTGCATGGCCATGGGAGTCAGATCATATTTACGTAGTACTTTGCTTACCGGGCCAAGAGACCAGCAATTAGTTCCGTCAGCCACTCATTACTGACGCTGTCTACCTAAGTAGGTTGGGGGTCAGACAGGTAGTTGGTTTAGTAGGCCTGGCGCAGTACATTCCGCAAGGGATCGTGAGAGCCTGCATGTGAAACGACCAAAACTGCAACAAGTGTCAACTGCGGTACACTATTCATCGATTTGTGGCCATTCAGAAGAATTCTGAAATCGAATAGTGAATTCAATCTTCAGCTATGATCAAAACGCTAAGTCTAAATTGCTATGCTCTTCGAGAAGAAACTCGAATATTGCGATGCGCCCCCTGTATGTATAATCCCCCAGAACGAAGCCACGCCCATGAAACGCCGGAGATTCTGGAATCACCCTCACTGTCTAAGAGAGGACCGCCTGCCCATCTGCCCCCCTTTTGGAGACGAAATATGACGTCCGATAGGAAAAATGAGTACAAGAACGGCAAATGCGACATTACAATGCTGTAAGTGTGGGTATTTTTTGAGAGCCGGCAATAGAAACACCTCTTAATGATTAGATTTAAAAAGCCCCCTCCTGATGCATTCATTTTTGGAGCTTCGAGAGGCTTGTTGGAATCCGGACATGTGAATGGGCCCGCAACTGTTGCCTGTATGCGGCGATTAAAGGGAGTTTCTTGGTGAGGAAGGTGGTAAGGTGTTTCAAGGATATCGACTAATGAAAGGGGGGTCTTGTGTGATGTTGGTGGTGGCGTGGCGGCGATGGCGGATGCAGCCGCCTGCCTTGAAGGCGCAAGCGCACAGGCTCAAGCGCCAATGGCTACGTCGACGTTTGGATCACCGAGGTACACCAGTTGAGACCATACTCGCCAATGCAAGATACCAAGATGCGCGAGTCGCGTGGCCATGTCCTCGACGCCACCTTCCTCCCGGGCCTCCCGAATAGAGTTTTCGAGTAGCTCCCGCTCACGTTGGCTTTCGCGTCCTCCGTCCCATGTCCGGCCAGGGCCGTGGATGCGTCCGCCAGTTGCAACGGAGAACAAGCCGACGCCGGAAAGGTTCCTGAAGTCCTTAACTCGCTTCCCTAATTCCGAGAGCATCTTTGCTTGGAAGTGCTCTTCAACCTGGCGGTAGAGGTCACTCTGGAAATCGCAGAGTTGAGACTGAAGCTTGCTTTCGACATTGGGAAGCATATCCTGTGGTGCATCGGTGAAGCGGAAAATCTGGATAGCTAGTGACTGTACCAAACCTTCCCATCGCTGGATAGGGCGTGAAGCTGGGGGAGCAGTATGAAGCAGTGCAAGCAGAGACTCGTATAGGTTGCGAGCCTTTACCCTGGCGTCAAGAACATCGACTTGACTCTGCGAAGCTAGATATCCTGAATTTCGAGGAGATGATGTATTCGATCCGCAGTCGCTAGAAGCAAAGCTTGCAGGGCGCGAATTGGGTTCGCCGGCGACATAAGATGGCACAGAAGTCGGTGCTGCAAACGATGGCGGCCCCTGGTTGATTCCACGAGAAACTCGCTCAAGGTCCTCATAGAGCCTCATGCAGATTTCCAGATTGATGGCGTCAAGCATATCGGACCTTAGTTTGAGAATGCGCTCTTCATCGAATAAGAATGTGTTGGGCACACAGTTTACCGGGGTAGATGGCAGGATCAATCTCGTCAAGCCGTCGAAAAAGGCGGCTGTTTCGCCAAATGCTTGCAGGTTTTGAGCAGACATTCTGGAGGGAAATTGAACAGCCTCGCTGTACCACTGTCGGGCATCGCGGATTGAAATCTTCCCAGCTGTGATCTTTTTGTAGAAAAATCGTTGCTCAAAGTGAACCGTGTCTTCAATGAGAACTGGCCGCAAACAGCGAATTTGATGATTAGCCACGTCCAATTTCATTGCCTCCAAAACACTCAACAGACTGCGCATGCCCTTGACCAGCTCGCCCATGTCGTTGTTCCGATTGCCGTTGCTCAGCTCGTTATACATTTCATCAACCCACTCATCACGCATAGGGGCGCAATGCAGTTTCAGAACGCTGGACAGCCACGAAGCCAACTTCTCGAGGTCTGCAATACCCCTGTTGAATTGCTGCATAAGAAGTTCCACATTAAGTCCCTCATTTAGGAAGTCCCGGTCGCGCTGCGGTACTAAGGTTTGGATGATTTCCTTGACCGATTTCAACAACGAGGGTAGACACCAGTCATCGCCTTGTGGGTGCTCGCGCATAAAGGTTTCACGGTCCATCACGAACTGGATGAGCTGGTCACGAAGGCTCGACCAGAACTGATTGGCTTTTTCTTGCTTTCTTCGGCCCTTTTCTCCATCTAAATTCGGTCTGAAGTGTAATTCCGGATCAAAGTTGATATCGTGTCGCAGTTTGGGATTATGGATTATCTTGGTCACGTCAAGCTCACTCAGGGTCGCCTTGGTTACCGGGGGTTCCAACGGCCGCGGTGCTGAGCGGGCGAAGTAATCACGACTTGAGCGGAAGGGAGTAGATGAAGAGGCTGTGGAAGGATTCCTCGACAAAGTGTCCTGTACGTGCACAGGAGGAGTTGCTGTTTGTCTTTGGTCGATTAGCCGCCGTGGGTGATCCTGGGCAAATTTGGCCTGCTCGTCGGCCTCAGCAGAAGGAGATCCAGTCTCAACGGGTGCCTCTGTCGGTACAGCGTCGTTGTCGGATTTTGATCGAGTATGTGTAGACATATGGCCGCTTTCTATGCCGCCACCGGCACCTTGGTCACTCATCGCAGCAATGGCCGTTTGAGCCGCGGTTGGCCTTCAGATATGGGATTGTTCCACAACAAATCACCCAGAACAGGAGAGATGGATAATTAATAGCCCGTCTTTCCAGGACGCAAGGTGCTTCGGAGATCGGAAGCTTAGTGCGATCTTGACGAAAATCAAGCGAGAATGACGGAGGGCAACGAGTGTGGCTATTGGTCCCAACAGGCGGGTTAGCACGAGTATTTCTAGATAGAGGGGACAATTGTAAGCAGTCCAGCGTCGGCAGTCTGGCGGACGGTCTCGTGTGGACGGGAAGATGCAGCGTCCGGACCAATGTGCTTCGGAAAGAGCCAGGTCGTGTCGGGAGGGGGCCGGGACGTTTGTGTATCTGTAAAAGGTAGGAGGGAGACAATGAGTTGCTTACATGCTATGGATATTGCTCCGTTACTCTACGCCGGCGCACAGCAATTGGATGCCGGGGATCGCTTTGTACCGAGAGAAGAGGGAAGGATGTCTGCAGAAAGTACCGGCAAAGGGCGTCTTGGTCTAGGATGTGCAGATATCACGACGGAAGGTGTGCTGCAGGAGGTTTGCGTGTACGACGAGACAAAGGGAAGGAGGAGGGAAAGAGACAGACAGTGTTGGAAGAGCCGATTAGGGAAAGGATAAATGCAAAGACACAAGGTAGTAGTAAGTCACGTCTGTCTGTCCCGAGTCGTCAGGTGCTTCGGACGGCGAGGAAGACTGAGTAAGGTAATGCGGATGGGTGGTATACCGAAAACGGAACCGGCGACGAGGCGACGTCAGTCAGTCAGTCAGTCAAGCAAGTACACACGAACAAAAGTGTGTAATTTCGATAGCGTTTCGACGTGCAGAGGGCAAACACACGACGGTGAGGAATTATAAAATGAAAATGAGAGAAAGGCAGAAAGAAGAAGAGAGAGAGCGGCTCCAGGTATCACTGGGGTATAGTCAGACCAAATAAAATACGAATCAAGGGGAGGAAGGAGCGATGGGGATGGAAGGGGAAGGGAAGAAAAGGAGTGACTGAAAGTGCCTTCCGCACGCACGCACCGCAGACTTGCACGCGCAGCAGTGGTGGTGGTCTGGTAAATGGAAGGTACAAGTCCTGCACTGGATGGCAGGTACCTCCTGCATAGTGAGGTAGCGCCTTACCGCTATGGTATGGGGCGGGCCCTGTATTGGCTCCAATTCATGTAAAGCAAAATGAAGTATCAATGCGCCTACACCCAACCTACGCCGCATCTGCCATGTTCCTTTTGCGGCTAATGAGCCACTGGTGCCAGCAATGGAATCCCAGGCACGAAGGCACCTCCGTACCCTACGCTACGCAACGCAACGCTCATCACGCACGCCGCCAGGGCAAGTGGCCAGGTGGGCTGGTGGCCCAGGACAGGGCAGCGTGGCCCGCAGATGAATGAGCAGACTGGAGGAGGTTTTGGGTTGCCAGGACCAGGCCCCGTCAGGTACCCAGGCCAAGGAGTACGTCTCCGGTAGCGGGTACCTCCAGCTTACTTGGGGTATCTGGCGTGCTGCAATACAGTGGCGCCTGACCCGTGTCGATGGATGGTACCTGCTGTCAGGTACCCCCCTGGCTTCACCGTGATTGCTTTTGGATCCCGTGGTCGGGCGATTTCTGAATGCCACGCAAAAAATTGGTCTCGCCCGATGGTATGGATTGGATTGCGCCGGCGGGTGGCCATGACCCATGGGTACCATTTCAGCGCACTAGCGTTCAGGTTCGCCTTGCTTATGGCGAATATCTGGGGCCGGGAGCACGCCTGGACTTGTTGTTCGCTTCAGCGACTTGTCTCTGGCCACTGGAACGCAGAGTCAGGTATGTTTTGTGTGGGCTCCCCTAGCACGCTCAAGTCCGGGCCTATTGCCTCCAACTTGACTCGTTACTTTTGCACGAAAACAGTGGGCGCTTGCTTTGCTTGCTTGATTGCTTTGCTTTGCTGGTTCTGCTGTGGCCGGTGGAAGCGTACAAGAAGGAGAAAGCCAGGCGGCGTGTATATGCAGACCCCTTCGCACCCATCACACGCTGGAGAGCATTGATGGAACACCATGGGTCTCTCCTGGCGCCGCTCTCGACCATTCCCTTACATTGGCGCGGACCTATGAATCAATCATGCGCCGATCAGGGCCATTGCCTCTTTTTCGTCTGGGAAGCGAGCTGCACCCAATATGAATTGATACGAGATGAAAGCAACACGCTTGCGGCACGGCAATGCAAGGACGGGGGAGACGCGGTGTAAAAGCAAGATGGGAGGTAGGTAGGGAGGATACACCTCACATCAGGCTTTGCCATTGACTGCGAGATCCTCCCTTGGAGGGGCGCACCCACCAATTGCCGCCATCGACTTCTAATCCAAACGCCACGCCGAATATGGCATTCGAGCGTTCACGGCCTATTGCCTGTCTATAGGGTCCTTTGCAGGGAGAGGGGGAGTGTCATTGCTAGGCATTGCAGCCCGTAACTGTATGTTCTCTCTGGATTGATGCACGCTGCATATTGGCAATGCACGACCTAGTTAGCTGCAGCTCAAGAGGCCCAAAGGGAACCAGTTATGAAGGCAGTAACAAAGCCCTTCAAGTGTGGCGTGCGTCGCTCGGCTTCACACTTATACGCCTCACTCGGGCCAGTGATAATAATAATAAAAATGTGGCAACCAGCTTCAGGGTCCATCGCCTCAGCTCAGTCAGTGTGATCATGAGCTCTTGTTGCCGTAGTAGTGCCGATCAATGTGGTGGCTGCTCGTGAAACCAGGGAAAGTGGACAGGCAAATCCGCAAATTGGTGTAGATGGGGGGGCACGATCCATTATCTCACCGCTGACCGGATGCAGAAAACAAAGGTCAGCGAGACCGAGACGGAGAACCGTTCAACGACCGATAATGAAATGGTACATCGTCGAAGTACCTTGCTCCAAAGATTTAAGTTCAGGGACCCTGGAAGGGAGGGATGTGGGCCTTGTTTTGGAGGGATGTATTTTCGACGTCCCGCGCCTGCGGTAACCCTGCCTTGACGCTAGCAGGGGCTTCAATCATATGAGATGGGGGAAGTCAGGGGATAGAGAATGTTCTGTCCCTAATCTCATACCTCAACCGCCCCAGATGCTGTTATCGGCTGACTATTGACTCCTCTGGATTGTACCGTCGCTTCGGTAAGCCGTAGGTTCTGCAGGGACGCCTCGTCCACTTCTAGTCTTATTCTCGCCATGGGCTCGATGACAAACTAGGTAGTGAGACATTCGAAGAACTTCCCCCGTAGAAATTCACCTTGTTGCCATTATTTGGATACGCGACCCCATATTCGAGGAATAAAGAGCTGCACATTTGGGCACAGCTATGGTGGTGTCCCCACCACAGGGTGAAATGCATCAGTTACTAATCTTGTGGCTACATACTCCGGTGGGCGGTGCAGTAGTGACAGCGTTGGTGTCTCCTACCAAGCTGCACGAGCTTCTCGTCACATGAAGCATCTTACTATTCGAAACTTTCCCCGAGATGTCCCTTGATGAAGATGTTGCAGTCGCGACTTCATCTCAACTCCACCAGTCCTCTGGACCCCAGTGCGAGGTGAGGCTGCCTCGTGTGGAGGACATGGGCCCCCCTTCCAGCAGCATGTAGCCGGACCAAGACTTCGGTCGGTTATGTCCCGTAATAGAAAGCATGCTACGTCGTTTCAAGCCTGCTGGTTGCATCGATGTTGTAGCCATGTGGTCTAGTAACTCTACTTGTCGCAAGCGTAATATCCGGGCGGTGATAGATACAGGCTACTGTGGTAGACCAAAATTTGGGTATCCCTGTAAGGTACTCTTATCCAACTTCTCTCACAGTCATTACAGCCTCTCCGTATTGATGACTTGACCCAATGGCGTTACTTACCTAAGTCTGGTCATGGTGCAATAGCTTATAGTTGTTCGATATGATAGGGTTTATGGAAATTCGTTCAATGGCCAAGAAAATCTGCGGCTAAGCAAGCAGACCGTCCAGAAGCTTGAATTATAGCAGTAAATTATACGAGTCGTTTCCTGTACTTGCCTGGGTGAGTTGCATCGCAGGTAGTCCAAGACCAGACACCGGTTGGAACGCATTGGAAGTTGCTTTTCTGTGTTTGTAATTGTTCTAAAGACACTCTAGGCGTGTCTACGACTTGTTTATCGAGGTCGGCAGTCTGCCGTCCGCGGGTACATTCGATCGCTTTGTGTGACCACACCAAGATGCCTCACAAGGGAACCTGGCATTTGGAGAGTGAGGGACGACATGTCAGGAGAAAGCCACGCCGTACCTCTCTCACGAGTCAGGCTACAAAGGCCCAAAACTCGTCGGTAGCCGGAATATCTAGGGCCAAAAAGGGGTCAGGCCCCAAAAACTCGCCGCCATGGCAAGGAAAGTCTAACGGGTCCTTCATGTGAATTTCATGCTTTTTGAAAAGACTAACCATGGCCGGGTGTCGTGTGGACTCTCACGGCGGACCCGAGAGCGACACAGCAGCGTGCGCAATGTTCTCAAGCTATGCTGGAACCCGGATTTTGTTGCGACACCTCATCGGCGGCGGAGAAGCGTCAGCTTGTCCAAAGATCGGGTCAATGGATTGACTTCACAGGTCTGGACTAGAGTCTTGACGGAAGAAAGGTCCAACGAGCGATCGCCGCTCACTGTCTGTGGTCAGACAAAGCCTAAACGGAGGGCCCAACTCATCTCACTCAACTCCCCCAATGCGCTGTCAGCTTTTGCGAGATTCCCATTACGTCGTTTCTGCTTGATGATGTCGGTGACGATTGTGCTACGACCAGCCAATGCTCGACGATGGACTGATTGTATGGCGGTGATGAGCCGGTCATCTGGGGACTAAACTGCTTCTGCGTCTGCATGCGCATGCGCATGCGAAACCAGGACTGTAGGCAAGGTCATTGGGATCTGGATGCGGTCCATGAGCTGCGACGACAGCCAGGCCGAGTTCGGGTGTAGTCCGTCTCGCCAGGCTGACTCGCCTGTGGAACTCCTTCAAATGGCGTTTCATGTCGATCTCTCAGCTGTTAATGGGTCTCGTTTTCAAAGTTTTCCGCCCCGTTTGCTCGACTGGCCCTGTTTTATTCCCAGCGAGCGGACGGGAAAGCGGATCTCACTCGGAAATCCTGAATCACGCACATGGCCAAGATGGCAGGAGCGGCTCCATTAAGAAAGCTCTGAAAGGGGCAATGGCAGGAGAACATGGTTAACTTGATTCATTCTCGTAGAAACTTGAGAAGCAACGATCAAAACTGTCTCCTGCTTCCTTGGGTACCCCGCCTACCAATGAAAACTGATTTCAGGATGGCTCTTCGCTGGGTTGCCATAAAACTCTTACTGCCATTCCGCGTTGCATTCTGGAGCTGGGAGTCTCGATGTGATTGTCAAATCGATGTCCAACATACTTCACATTGACCAAACTATAGTACCATACCTCCTTTTGTGATGAGGCTTGTAGGCTTGTTTGACTTTATCTTACTTGGGCATCAAGGTGTCCACCAGTTGTCTGGTCGGTGAGAAGTATAATAGGCATTACGACATCATTGGCGTCGACTCTGCCTCAAATCCTAACAGCAAGGCTTGCATTTACATGCAATTATTGATGCGACACGTTTTCTAGGTCAGGCAGTTGCAAGGTGAGTTGTCCAAAGGGCCCTGCCCTCTCACTGAATATCAATTACGACCAATCAACCAACCCTTGATGGGGGTCGTATGCGACCTGCACATTCCTTACACCGCTCTCCTTCAGGTGATTGAGGTGAGGCATTGCCGCATGGCCTCATAATTCTGGAGCTGCAGGTGTGCCACATTCGGAGAGAACGCGCATCCTGTATCAAATTTGCTCACTGTCTTTTCAGAGTTATCAAAAGTGACCTCGCCGCGGCTTTGCGGGTGCGCGTTCCAGACGGTCCCTCCCTTTCCGGCTATTTGACACCTCACTTTTGGTTCCCGCCTCGATTTCGTTGAGACTAAGTCTGTCTCTGGCAAGTCTTAGATTTACTCCGGGAAGATGATCTGATCTATGAGGATCGACAACTATTTACGCCTTATAAGTACCAAGCCTTAGCCGGCCTAGAAATGCAGTTAAGCTGCTAGGAATGCCACTATTAATCTGTTCGCCCGCGTTCCAGACTCTACAGAATAGCTCAAATGCAAGAAACGGTAGCTCCTCTACCTGCAAACTGTCTCAAAGCAAGAGCATCCATAAATATCATGAGGTCTCCGGAGCCCGGAGTCGCAATCAAAGTCTAGTGCAAATATCGTATTGGGTTTAGTCATTTCCTAAAATTGTCGGAGGCTCTTACTATACAGCAGTAAAGCTGTAAGTGCCACAGGTTATAACATACCAAATCAGCGGTAGTCGGCTTTAGACAAAAGTTCAGTGAAAGACAGGCCGGCACTCAGCCTAGATCTCAGCGTTTCCACTTCCCCTTTGAAAGGAGAGACGAGCTTTGTGGCCTGGAGCCCACAGTACAGTTGCAGGTCCCCTGAATCTGTCCTAGTGGACCTTGCCAACATGCCCAGAGATACAGGTGTGTGCCACATACTGCACCTAAGCAAACACTTCGACGACTTCTTTGGCTTGTTTGTATTAATATGTTCCGTACATTCCTTCTCATGTTGCATACATTCGGTCTATGCCGCATATTACCAACGCCGACAAGCATGCCTAAGCAACTTCTCCGGAGCTAGGCTAGCTAGCGAAGCAAGGCTCAAGCAACACCTCATGAATGAAACCTCGATTGCAATATGGTGCCGGTAGGTCGGCCTCAGCATAATCGCATGGACGTAGGTTTCTGTCATGCCTCTCTCAACATGATCCCGTGGCTCTTCACATGATGCGACTCACGTCACCATGTCACCCTTGCAACCCGATATTGCTCCATCTACCAATCCAGTCGACGCCCGTGTGGATATGAACTCGGCGACGCCTCAAACTCCTAGAAAGTATGCCGTGAAACGAGAGACACCGGCCCTCCCCACATCAGTTGCCGACAAATACTGAGATCTATGTAGAGGACACGTCAGTCGGGGAAGCACATGTGACGATGGAACTGACGCTTCGTACCGCCATGAAAACACAACATATACTAATGTATGGACTTAACCGCTCGCCTATCCTTGCAGCTTTCCAGAAGATTCCCATGAACCTGGTAGACGAGTCAGAGTTGTGTAGCAATGACAGAAGGGCAAGGAAGCCGCATTCTCACCCATCCTTGTTGCTGTCCAATATCCTCGGAAAGATTTGATGAACGTATGCGCAGGTACAGATGAGAAGGAGGATGACGAGGAGAAGGGATTGGAAGTTGAAGAGCGCGGACTAGACGAGGAATAATTAGTTATGGAAACATTAGCTCGAGAAGGCGGGACATGCCATGATTGCTGCTTAGCTTGATGCCCTACAGAAAAAGTGTTATGCGCGCGTGCTTGCTAGATTTTGGACTTGTATGTGCAAAAGGAGCTTGGATATTGCGATTCGTAACGACAGCTCAAGCGCGGAATTGGGACAGAGTGTCATGGCGGAAGAACACCTTTTCCACAAGCCTGGCAGGTGCCTTAGGCGGGGTGGCAGGTGCTGGACGGTTAACCCCAAGCTCTCACCTCCACTGTAACACTAACGGGAGCTCGACCCCACCACGTCTACCAAACATCAACCCTGCACGGTTTATTGCTGCTTGAGGCTCTTCTGAGGTCATACAGAAACTAATTCCGCCGTCTCAGCCACGCGACACCTCATCTTCTACGGCTGCATATCTCGTCCTCAACCGCAACCGCGATTAGAAGGACAAGGGGCACGGTATTCTTCCGCTCGGCACGCCAAATCTGATTTAGATTACCTCTGTTGCCTACCTCTCGTTTCGTTGGGCAGATCAACTAAACCTTCGCCGCTGGGACCTTTGTCGTCCCGCGCCAACGATTACAAGATGGCTGAACCACGTGCACGCGCTGGCAAAAATGTCGGCAAGATGAACTTCAACCCATCAGAGTGTATGCCTTAGTTTTCATCAGGGCACGGTCCATCATCTAACATTCACCTGCAGTGACGCAGTTCCTCATCGCCCACGGCGATTCCCGAACACCGCTTCCCGAGACAATCCGCGTGTTGGACGAGGTCGTGACGGAGTTCATTCAAGGGCTGAGCTTTGAGGCGACCCGGGTCGCGCAGCTTGCAGGGCGGCAAAAGGTCAAGTACGAGGACTTCGAGTTTGCGATGCGCCGAAATCCGATCTTTCTGGGCAAGGTGCAGGACAACTTCGAAAGAAAGAAGGAAGTTGATATGGCTAAGAAACTGTTCAACGAGGATGAATTTGGTGCCGATGCGGCGGGTGAGGGCGTTCCTAGTAAACGTGGTCGAAAGCCGAAGAATAAGACCGAAGAGGGCAGCCAACCCAACGGCGCTGAGGTAGTTGACGAGGAACTGGGTGAGGCCGACGATGACGCAGAAGCTGAAGCAGATGCTGTGGGTTCCAAGAAGTGATACGCAGACTTTGGAGGCGATAATAGCCTTTGTGAGTGCGGTCAAGGGTGTCTGAGAGCGACATTCTCTACTCCGGCCATCATCTTGTTCTATGAGCTGCTGGTCTTAGCCGCTGCGAAACCCTTCGCAGCTCTATTCCAAAATTGGCTTATACATAGCGTGGCGTTCCTGGGGGCTTTCAAATTGGCAAAATTAGAACGGTCGTGCAAACTACGAGGCATCGACCTGGTCCTAGCTACCGTTATTTGCAGGCGAGTTGCTAAAGATCAAGATTGATGATTACATGACATCTAGCCATTCCTACATTGTAGCTATCTTCCGTGGTGATTGTTCTACTTACCATTGTCGCAATACACTTCAGAGTCGTAACAAAAGTGACATTTGGCATGAGCTCACCAAGCCCTCGAAATTTGTATCCTGTCGAGTCCTTCATATCATTTGGCACTGAGATACATCCATGGAAACCGGCAGATGTGCTACCTAGCACGCGTTTCAAAATGAGAAACGCTCGAGCAACCTATCCATCCAAATATGCAAAGACTGAAAACAAAGTCTCAAATTTTCATGTTTCTCATCATAAAAAATATGATTCCATAATACACGCTACCTATGGGAGAACACAGCGGCACAATACCTTTGTTAGCAATAATCAATTACCTATTTGTTCTATTTCTGCAACGCTGTCCGGGAGTAGTAACACGCTGCCGCGAGTAGATTGCCTGGATATGCCATCCGGCTAGAGTTGAACTCAATTTCAGAATTGTAGGTGATACCTACCAAGCATTGCTAACACCTGAATTCAAATTAGTTGTCAAACCTCGTTGTAAAAACCGGATGCCTAACAAGTATAGCACATTTTATGGTCCCTATTTAAGCTTTGGAGGGAGCTCCCGAAGCGACCATCCAATCACTCTTCAAGTCAGGCAACCTCAGCACAGAATCTGAAATGCGACAACATGGATGGAATTGATATCCGCCTCCGGTTCTTGACCCGGTAGCTCTCCGAGTGGATAGTTGGTGGATAAGGTAGTCCGGGGTAGTTGTCTAGCTACAGCCGGGTAAGCAGGTAGGGGAGCGAGCCCCGCCCGCCAGATGCAGCTGGTGCGAAATCGGGGCGTATACGGCCTATGAGGAGGCGATGCGATTCCGTCGCTCCCTCCCAGGCTGCGACAAGCTGCAGATACAGTTCGTTGCAAAATCCCCGAGTGGTTCAGCTGCTTGTGATGGGGTCCTTTTCAGGTGATGCCTTGTTCTGATTAGATATAGCCTCCCCCAGTCTCCACCCAGCCTCTTGTGACTGATGCCTCTGAAAGAATTAGGTAGAGTCTCAGCGGAATCCCCGCTCAGTCAGGCACGCAAGATTCTCCTCTCTTCGCATCTTCGTTCAAAGAAAGGCTGTTGCGAGTCTTGCTTTATTTCCCGTTAAATTTATTGAAAACTTCAGTATTACAGACAGACACAGTTGACATTATCATCATTCTGAATCTCTATACTGGATTGGTTGCATTTGTAATCTGATCGATCTCTCTTGCAAGACCATATATTTCCTCTGATTGATCATGCCCATGCGTCATTGAGGTGATAATCTGAAAGCCTCAATGTCCCCGTTTGTCCAGATAGCCCGAGATCCTCGAGTTAAACTCAGGCCTGAGGATGACGATGACGAAAGACTACAGAGGCCCCCAACTAATCGACTCAACCCAAAGTCCGAGGATGAGAGCGACGAAGGATTGGTAGATCGCCGCCCTACGTGGTCTTCCCAGTCACATACGGATATAGACAAATCACTTGACCGAAGCCTTGCCCTTCTGGATCCTGATGCTTTCAGGCGGCTGTCTATGAGCCCCTTCTCACATCGTGGGAGGGGGTTCTCTCCTGATACTCGACTCAGGGAGCACGATGATATGAAGTCTCAATCACCTTATCTCGAGCCTAAGAGCCTTAGGCTGTCGACTATGAGCCCGTTTTCAGCCTCGAGTCGATCAAGTTCAGTGCACCCCAGAGGACGTTCGCCAACCCCTCGTCAACGAGGTTGGAAAGCATACATTTCCCGGTCATGGGACCGCTTCTGGGCCAAAAATCGAGGCGTCGTTCTGGTCGCCACGGCACAGCTGTTCTCGGCACTGATGAACCTCGCGGCTCGGCTCTTAGCACTTGAGGGAGATGGAATGCACCCGTTCCAAATCCTGTTCATCCGAATGCTGGCAACTTCTGTAATTAGTTGTACATATATGTGGTGGACGAAAATGCCAGACTTCCCCCTTGGGGCTCGAGAGGTTAGGTGGCTCCTGGTTGCAAGAGGTTTCCTAGGCTTCTTTGGAATTTTCGGAATGTGGTTCTCGATGATCTGGTTAGGCCTTGCCGACGCGACGGTGATTACTTTCCTTGTACCATCCGTGTCTGGATATATTTGCCACGTTCTGCTCCACGATCCCTTCACTCGAAAGGAACAAATCGGATCATTCATAGCATTGGCCGGCGTTATTTTGATCGCTAGGCCAACTTCGTTCTTCTCGTCGACACCGGGAGTAGAGCCGACACCTGCCTCGCCGATTGACTTTCCAAGAAACGAAACTCATTCATATCCGCATATGGGAGAGGAGGAGGTAACGCCTTCACAACGCCTCACCGCCATCGGAATCGCCCTTATAGGTGTGTTGGGCGGTTCTGGTGCCTTCACTACCATCCGTTGGATCGGAACAAGAGCTCATCCGCTTATATCCATGAACTACTTCTCGACTTGGGTGCTCTTCGTCAGCACATCAGTGTTATCCCTGGCCCCGGTGCTTGACATTGGTCAACCGCACATCCGGTTCGGCCTGCCACATAATGGAAGGCAGTGGCTCTTACTGGCAGCCATTGGAGTTTGTGGCTTCACAACGCAATTTCTCCTAACAGCTGGCCTAGGCGGCGGAGGATCGAACAGAGCGACCGCCATGGTTTACACCGGGATGCTGTTTGCTGCTGCTTTCGATAAATGGGTCTTCGGCCTTGAGATGGGAGCACTCAGCTTAGTAGGGTGCGGCCTTATCATAGGCAGTGCTCTGTGGGTGGCTCTGTCGAAGAAGGAGACAGTCTTGGAAGATGACCGGGCGGACATAGAAGTCGCAACTCAAGTTGCTGAGGCGGTACCCATGCTTAGTGAGATTGAAGATGGGTCTGATGACGAGGAATATATACCCCTAGAGCCTGTAAGATAGAGGATAGATAGAATGCAGATAGAAGTATCCCGACATTAAAGAGCCCTATCCGTTCTTGAATTTCTAGGTAGATGGAAAGGCTCACAATCGATTATGCTGACCTGACCAGTTCTTCAAACATTGTCACTTGTGAATGTTAGAGCTGCACAGATCAACCTCCTTGTGTTAGAGGTGGGAGTATCTAGCCAGCTGCTTTTGCTGCTAAACCCTTCTAAGCTGCAATCGGCAATGGTAAAATGTAGCGGGGCTATGAATTAAAAGGGGGTATGAAGCTAGCAGCTCTTTCCGCGCATCAAATTTATTTCGGTAGAAGGCTGTACCACGAACACGCCTCCCTGGCCTGCCTTGAAAATCCCCGTTTATCAGCCTCGTTTATCATTTTCCATCTCGAACCCGGCACCTCTCTCGACACCCGTGACACACACCACAACACTTCTCGTTTTGCATCAGCATCAATTTTCAATCGAACGAGATCGAGATGGTACAGATCAGCGAGGTCAAGAGCCATGGGCGCGACAATCGCACCTCGGCCCACACCCACATCAAGGGCCTCGGGCTGAAGCTCGATGGAACTGCAGACAAGCAGGCAGCAGGCTTCGTAGGCCAGCAGACTGCGCGAGAAGTATGTTTAATCTTATGTCATAGAGATTCAGGCTACTTGATGGAAAGCTGACAACCCCTCGCTCTCAGGCAGCCGGTGTCGTCGTTGACCTTGTTCGAGCGCACAAGCTTGCGGGCCGCGGAGTTCTACTTGCTGGAGGACCTGGTACCGGAAAGACAGCCCTTGCCCTTGCCATAAGCCAGGAACTTGGAACGAAAATCCCCTTCTGCCCTATTGTCGGTAGCGAGATCTACTCCTCGGAGGTCAAGAAGACAGAGGTATTGATGGAGAACTTCCGCCGCGCGATTGGACTGAAAGTACGGGAGACAAAAGAGGTTTACGAAGGCGAAGTCACAGAGCTCACACCTGAAGAGGCGGAGAACCCCTTGGGAGGCTATGGCAAGACAATCTCCACGCTCTTGATTGGACTCAAAAGCGCAAAGGGTCAGAAGAAGTTGCGTTTGGATCCCAGTATCTACGAGGCGATTCAGAAGGAGAGGGTGACAGTGGGCGATGTCATCTACATTGAGGCAAACACAGGCGCGTGCAAACGCGTTGGACGATCCGATGCATACGCGACAGAGTTCGACCTGGAAGCCGAGGAGTATGTACCGATTCCGAAGGGAGAGGTTCACAAAAAGAAAGAAATTGTTCAAGACGTCACACTACACGATCTGGATGTGGCAAACGCCCGGCCTCAGGGTGGCCAGGACATCATGTCGATGATGGGTCAACTCATGAAGCCAAAAATGACTGAGGTCACCGACAAGCTGCGTGGCGAAATCAACAAGGTCGTCAGCAAATACATTGAGCAAGGCGTGGCGGAGTTGGTCCCTGGAGTTCTTTTCATTGACGAGGTTCGTCTACAAGTCTACGGTGCCTCAAGACGATAGAGTTTTTGCTAATTTGGTATAGGCGCACATGCTCGATGTTGAGTGCTTCACCTACCTAAACCGAGCTTTGGAGCAGTCAATTTCGCCAATCGTTGTGCTCGCCTCGAACCGTGGCATGGCAACTATTCGCGGTACTGATGACATCGTTGCCGCACATGGCATCCCGCCCGACTTCCTAGCTCGTCTCCTCATCATCCCCACAACGCCGTATGATGCCGAAGAGATCCAGAGGATCGTTCGCATTAGAGCGGCAACGGAAGGCTTGACGATTACGGATGCTGCTATTGGCAAGATTGCAGAGCATGGTGTTCGGATCAGCCTGCGATACTGCCTGCAGATATTGACCCCGGCAAGGTAAGTGTATCAGCCTCTCATTTCTCGCGGAATTATGCTAATGCGAACAAAGTATTCTGGCACGGGTCAACGGTCGCAGTCAAATAGACGTGCAGGACGTTGCGGAATGTGAGGATCTGTTCCTCGACGCTCGGCGTAGCGCGGCCCTTCTCAGTGGTGAGACAGGGCACAGCTTCCTCCCATGAGTTGTCAATTGGCACGGACCCCTTTCAACGCCCCGAGGGAGACTCATCACATTTCTAAATATACCAAAAGGCAGCAAATGAGAAACGGGTTGGCCAGGAAAAGCCTTGGTAGGCTGGAGTCAAGGGTGTCTTTATTGTCGGAACAGGGTAGCTCTGGTCGGTCGTTTGCGATTCAAGACATTTTACCGGCTCCGATCCCCAGAATTGCCTTCTACAATGTTTACTTTGATGATGAATGTAAGATCACGTGGATATAGAACGAGAGATACTAGGCCGAAATGGGGCTGACAAGTCTTTGTCCAGCTTCACATTCCATAGGGCCCATTGAAGAGCATTCCTGTGGCATTGTCCGTCGCTACGAGAGGTTGGGTGTACATCATGCCCTTGTGCAGCTACTAAGTCTCTAGTGGCTACTGCGAACGGAATCTTGCAAACGCTGAACAAAGAAAGTCTCATCTGCGCCAGTTTAGCCTTCAGTACATTCCCGAGACATGGGGAGGCTGCCACCCTCCAACTGCCCTGTTATAATGCCCACCCTATGACTTTTGCCAGAAAAATAAGTGAGAGGGAGATGTCATTGTCTAATTGGTCATGAATGGAGATAGGTCACAAAGAAGACAATCCAACAAGATCTTGGAGTGTCATTTATCTTATCCCGGCTCAACACCTCTTGCCCCTTCACTTCCTCCTTACTATCCATTCTGCGACATCTTCCTATATCCATCCACTGAACACCCTGGGCCTTTTCTGAGTTGTCTCTTGCTCCTGCTGCCCGTTTGTTGTCGACGTTCCAAAATGACAGACGTAGCCACTTTCATCCACAGCTCGCACTGCCCTCCTTCACTAACACCGACCGCCAGACCTCCTGCCATGTCCGCAAGAATTAATGAAAGAACACTTCCCCAAAGGCACTCTGCTCTCGAGGCCTCTGCTCCTGCTCTTGAGTCCCCCCAGGGCCGTCTAACACGTAAACGTGCGGCTTCCATCAATACCGAAGAGGCCAACGCCAATCCAAGAATCGAAGACCTCAGCTTGAACACGCCTAACGCCAAAGGCTTCCATCCCAACGACGGTACGAGAGACCTTATATGTCTCTGCACACCGGCTCCCAAGGTTCCCCGACCTCGTAACGGTAAGTTTTTTTCTCTTCTGCTCGCAAGCCCAATGCTCTTCTCCTTGATGCCCTTGAGACGCAACTCGGGACTTCAGCTCCTTTGTCCACATATTCGCCAAAGAGACCGTTGTCGGTGTGTCATTGGCTGACATGGATTCTTTCACAGCTTTCATTCTTTATCGGCAGCATCATCAGGCTCAAGTTGTGGCACAAAATCCAGGACTTGCAAATCCTGAAATCTCGAAAATCATCGGGGAGCAGTGGAGAGACCAGCCTGAAGAGGTCAAGGAAAGCTGGAAGAGACTCGCAGAGGAAGAGAAGGCACGACACCAACGCCAGTATCCGGACTATAGATACCAACCCCGACGAGGAGGAAAAGGGCCGACAGCCAGACCTATATCGGCGTCCGGAGAAGACCCTGGTCGGTGCCAGAAGTGTGGAGGCAGGTACATTGCTACACCCAGAACACCATCAACCCCTTTCATGAATCCAACTCCCACGCCTTCTCGGACCACAATGCCACCTTACATGACACCGAATCCAAGAGTGATCGAAACTGCACATTTTCGACATCCCCCACCAGGAGACATGCCGGGCTCCGGAGACCCACGAGGCAGGCCAGGCTATTCACCTTATCCTTATGCCATTCACGACGTGGACGAGGGAAGTGAGATGATGTCTCCAGGTGATTCAAAGCGTCGCCGAATGAATCTTGCACAGGGTTATCATCCACCCGGGACATCATTCCACATGCAACACACCGCTCAACGCCAGACCAGACCGCCATCCTTTACTCAAGGCCCACCTCCAGGCTATGAACCACGAGGGCCTCTACCGGGCCCATCGATGCTCGCTCGATCCAACACTGGAACATTGGGGCCACCTGCTCGACCGTCTGCCTCCTACGCCCAACCGCCACGAAACCCGGGATTTGACGAGTCTTTACGCCTCCCTCCTCTGCAGACACAGCTCCCAACATCGCCAACTCAAGGCTCTGATTCCAGCGGTGGTCCCAGCGCCTCAGCACCGACTGGACTTGGAATAGTTGTCCGAGACTTGCGTGAGAGTCAGGCGCGTAGCATCGAGGCAATGGTGATGAGCATCCCGTACATCAACAAACTCAAGGTCCTGGGCAAGATCAGTCCTCCACTTGGCCCGCCTGGTCCATCGAGTCCCGCTGTTGAGACTCGAGGACCCGTACTCGCCCTTGAGGGCAGAAGTGCTGCTCTCGTAAAGGCAGTGAGTGTCGTTATTGAGAAGTCACTTGCATCGTCGGGTGAGTGCGCCGTTCGAACTTGGTCGGCCAACACACCACCGGCCGACACCGGCAGCGATGATGCCGAGATGGTCGACGGTCAAAGCCCTGAAATGAGTAAGAGCAGAACGACGAGCGTGAGCAGCGGCTCTAGCTCATCCAACCCATTCGGCAAATATCTGCAGACCATAATGGAGTGGCATGGCAAGTCAGACGACATCATTAAGCATGTGACAACTAAGCCAACCGGCGAGCAGTCGGACAACGCCGTAGATAAGACTGCTGCCTCGTCCCAGCTCCCAGTCGCTCTCATTACCGACGGATTCAGCCTCACACTCTCAGATAAGTTCGCTTCTTCGGTGCCAATCGCCGACTCTTATGCCCCAGTGGATCACTGGCAGTGGATGGCGACCCTCTGGAGAGGCATCATCGGCCCAGACCTTGTTATCTACGTCCGCAGTGCAACAGAGGACGAGGTGAATACTCTTGGAGGCGTAGACTTCAAATCTGCAGGCATCATGATTGTGCGAGTCAATGAGAGCAAAGGTCTGGACGAGAAGACTGAGCGGCGCCTGGGATTTGAAGTCATGGAATGGGTTCGAGCTGGAACATTCAAGGAGGGATTTGGAAGGGAGTAAAGTGGTGAAGCAACGGGAGGGTTCCTCTCGTATGATTAATGCGTTCAATGAGTGTCTTTCCTACCTTTCACTGCGCTTGTATGTATCTTTCATGCCGTATTTTAGGGGTTTCGACCTTGTTCACGACCTTGAATTGATGTTCATAGAATCTACTTGAAGCAGAATTTGAAGAACGTGTTAGATGGAATGCCGATGAAGCAAGGGATGGCTTGATTCGTCGGCGTAACATGTTACACAACTCTACCGCTTTGTTCCATACGAGAAACAAGTTCAACTAAAACTTTATTGAATAGTATCGTGCTGTGCTGGACTAGTGAGTGCTGCTCTAGATACTGTCTCGTACCTACAGACTACCTTGATACCTAGGAAAGTTGTAGAAGCAATGCATTTCAATATTGAGCTTCTAGAAATCTGGGGTGCAGCAGTTAATAGTTCAGGGGCTGTCATAGCAGAAAGCTCTAGTTGTCTGTAGGATACGGGTAGCGATTAGTTAGTGCACTAAGAAATCATAGGTAAATTAGCGTCACTAGAGCACCTGTAGCCAATTTATGCCACTAGAGCAGTAGCAACAACACTGATTGGAAGTTACCAGCTCCCCTGCATGATAGGTAACCGCGTCGGATAGAGACACGCGCCAAAACCAAACTTGGTAATCATCAAGGGGAGCTTCGAGATTAACATCGCCAACACATAGCCTGGCCTATCTTAAGATGGTTAGACTGCGGTAACTTGCTACCAACGCACCATGTCGGAACTTGTAGTCGGCCAGATCATCCGGCTCAGCGATGGCCGCAACGCTGTCATCCGCTTTGTCGGCGACACGCACTTCGCGGCCGGAGGATGGGTAGGCGTCGAGTTGGAGGATGCATCGGGGAAGAACGATGGCAGTGTGCAAGGCCAGCGATACTTCGACTGTGCCATGGGCCATGGCATGTTCGTTCGGCCTACAACCATCACTATACTGGCTCAGCCTCCGCCGTCTCGGCCGGCCTCGACAGCAGCTCGGAAGGGCAGCCGGCCGAGCAATGCATTCACGCCGGCCACCGGTCGAGGAGCCGCCTCATCAGACCCCAACTTACCGAAGCGAATGAGTCTCAATGCTCCTAGTCCGAGCCCGGTCCCCAGAACCTCTCGTCCATCAAGTATAGCGCGGGTAAGCCATGAATGTTTCTTTGTCCAGCTAGGTTTCAGCGCGGATACTAATTTGAAATGTTCAAGTCCCCTACGAAGTCCCCAACCAAACAACTTGGAACAGCTGCATCGAGCGCCTCTACTTCACGAACTGCCACCCCATCAAATGCTAGAGTACCGTCTGTCACTGCGAAAGCTCGGCCCTCGGTGGGAGTAGGCGCCAGCCGAACGTCTATGGGACCACCAGCTGTTCCTGCCTCCAGAGCCGGTCGGCAATCTTCCATATCATCTACTACCTCAAGAACAACCACAACTACCAACAGGCCGCTAAGCGGACGCTTGTCTCTGGCAGGAGGAAAAGGCGTGACCCGGCCTGAGAGCATGAGGATGACATCCGGAGGGTCGCAGTCAGGAAATGAGAATGGCACCGCTAAAAGGGGCTCCGTTGACAGAAGCGTTGCTTCTCAAAAGAGTAGCGATGAGGAAATACTGTCACCTCAACCCACTAGTCCAGTTCTATCGAGGACTGCTGCCCTCGAAAGGCTCACATCTTCTCCCAAGACGACCCGAGCGTCGTCTCCGAAGGTTACCAGGGCAGCTCCTCCGGCAGCTGCCCCGCGACCAGCTATAAATGCTGCAGCAAATCGCGAGATTGAGGATCTCAAAGCGAAGTTGCGTGTATTGGAGCGCAAGCGCATAGAGGATCGAGACAAGCTCAAGCAACTGGACAAACTTCAAGGGGAGCGGGACAAATTTGAAAATATCATTCAAAAGCTCCAGACGAAATATCAGCCGCAACAGCACGAGAATAATGAGCTTCGCAAAATGTTAAAGGAAGCAGAGGGAAGGCTAGAGTCCGTCGAATCTATACAAGCGGAGCATGAAACAGCAATGGAAATGGCCACTTTAGATCGGGAAATGGCTGAGGAAACTGCTGAAGTCCTCAAACTTGAACTAGAAGCCCTAAAACAAAAGACTGAAGAACTGGAGCTCGAAGTGGAGATCTTGCGAGAAGAGAACTCCGAGTTTACCAATGGCATGTCTGCAGATGAGCGAGCCAGTACTGGATGGCTGCAAATGGAAAGGAACAACGAAAGACTCCGCGAGGCCTTGCTTAGGTTGCGTGACCTCACCCAACAACAGGAGGAGGAATTAAAAGACCAGATCAAGGGACTGGAAGAAGATATGCAAGAGTTCACCACTGTCAAAGAGCAGTATGAACTATCCAAAGAGAAACTTGCGCAGGCGGAGACGACCGTCGAGGACCTTCGCCAACAGCTCGACAATGCCTTGGGTGCTGAAGATATGATTGAAGATCTGACCGAACGAAACATGAGTCAAGCGGAGCAAATCGAGGAACTGAAGGCTGTCATCGAGGACCTTGAGAATCTTAAGGAGATCAACGATGAGTTAGAGATTAATCATGTTCAAAATGAGAAGGAAATGCAAGAGGAACTCGACTTCAAGGACAGCGTCATTGCAGAACAAGCCAGGAGAGCTGGCCAGCAAGAAGAGAGCTTAGAAGATATGGAGTACACATTGTCTCGATTCCGGGAGCTTGTCACGAGCTTGCAGAGCGACCTTGAAGACATGCGTGCATCTCATGCAGTCACTGAGGAGGAATCCGAGCAGCTCAATAGCCGTTCACGGGCAATGCTCGACCTAAACATGAAGCTCCAGATTTCTGCGGCTAAGGCCCAGGTCAAGACCATTGACTTGGAAATGCGTCGTCTGGAGGCACAAGAAGCAGAACAGCATCTTGAGATTGTCAAGTTATTCTTGCCAGATAGCTACCAAGCGGATCGCGATTCCGTTTTGGCTCTGTTACGGTTCAGGAGACTTGCATTCAAGGCGAACCTTCTTAACGACTTCATCAAGGAACGAGTCAATGGTCAAGCACATCCTGGTCATGAAGACGACGTCATCTCAGGCTGCGATGCCATTGACAAACTCACATGGGTTACTGCGATGTGCGACAGATTTGTCAATGCCATCAGCCACTGCTCATTGGATCAATTCTCCAAGTACGAAGGTGCACTCTATGAGTTGGAACCCGTTGAGCGCGCACTGAATGCTTGGATCGATGGTCTGAAGAGAGATGACTTGAAGGAGAAACAATGCGCTAGTGAGCTGCAGCGTACAATTGCCTTGATGACCCATCTTGGTGAAGTACACATCTCTGATGACTTGGAGAGCTTTGCGGATGATGTTCACATGAAGTCGCTCCTCATGCAGAGCCATCTGGAGTCAGCAGCTGTGGTGTTCACCACAATGAAGAGCATGGTTCAGCGAGTGATTCCACCCGCCAGCGACGAAGATGAACTTGCTCAGCATTTCTCGAAGAGAACCGATAATGTCGTCTCATCGACTCGCAGTGCCAAGGTCATCGCTGGCAAAGCAGTGAGAGCTCTTGAGGATCTGAAGATGCGCTCACTTTCACTGGCACCCGATACCCGTGAGGCATTTGAGCAGTGTGAGGCAGCTAGTCAAGAGCTCGTGGAATTGGCCCGCACCATTGGCCTCAACCTCCATCAACTCCTTCAAGAGGAGGGCAGAGCTGAGCCTTTCACATACCTTGAGGTTCAAAGCTCTGTCCAGAAGACTGCCAGCCTTGTTTCTGGAGACAGCGAGTCTGATCTCTTCTCGACGTATCTTAACAAGCTGCGGAGCCTCACAAGCCAGATCGCGGATCTTGCTGCTCTCAGCTCTGATCTTGGACAAACACAGGAGTTTGAAAGAAATACCGCTCCCTGGATCCTGCGTTCGCAGGAACTCAAGGCCAAGAAGGTCATCCCAGTTGATGCTGAAGAGGAGCTTCGTCACCTCAAAGAGGAATACAGCCAGGCTCGCCATACCATTGCCTTGCGTGACCAGAGCCTCGGCGAAGCCAATCTCAAGGTTGAGACCCTTGAGAGCCGCATGCGCGATGCCAAGGCCAAGACCGGCCGTATTGCGGATCTGGAGGCTCAGATTGAGCAGTCCAAGGAGGCTCTTAACAGTCTCAAGGAGGATATTGAGAAGCAAGACCGTGAACTCAAGACTCTTGAGGCAGATCGCGACAAGTGGAAGAAGATTGCTGGCGACACTCGCGTCTTCAGCGAAACGGCCGCTGGTACTAAGGCAGGCGCCGAGCGGGCTGTGGCTACAGCACGGGAGATGGATGCTCTCAAGAACGAGATCGCCAGCTTGCAGAGTGCCGTCAGGTACCTGCGCGAAGACAACCGCCGGGCAAGGCTCGCCGAGCAGAGGAACTACGACTGGCTCACCGAGCCACTCAAGAAGCCTCCGACTGTTTCTGAGCAAAGGAAGGCTCTCGTGGTCGCCGAAGGCAAAGACGTGCTAGGTGAGCTAGTCAAGCTAGCTACATCAGCCAAGGTTTACGACCTGGGCTCTCTGCCCAAGGATAAGCTGGCATGGAAGCCTGCCAAGAGCACGCCGCAGTACCATGCTGCGAAGCAAATGGAGGACTTCGCGACTTGGCAAAGCTGGCAGGAGTCTGTCTTGAACAAATCCCGCGTGGTGCTTGGTCAGCAAAGCAGCTCGCAGCAGAATGTAGCAAAGGGGAAGGCCATGCGAAAAGCCGCAGCCCGCCTACAGATCAGATTACCGGACCTGGACGGCAAGATGATACCCGGCAGTGGACGAGACGTCCAGATCGTAGGTTCTCGGGAATGGGAGGGGCTGCAAGGCAGGTCTGCAATTGTGTAAAGGATAGAGAGCCACATGTTTGTATTATACCAAGATACCACCATCCAATGTCAAATTCCATATGTAAAATTGGCGTTCAATTCGTATGAGCTGGAAATGCCTCTTAGGTCTTTTTCTAATCTACTACCCTTGACTTGACCCAACATCCTTTTTGAACAGCCTTTTGATCCTTCCAGGATCCATTCTGGTGCAATACCCTTTCCATTTTAGATGTATGGTATCTCGTATGCGAAGAGTTTCGTCACCTCGTCTATATGCCCGTCCAGGAGACCCAACTCAGCTCCGAGCAAATCTCAACTCTGAGCAGTCGCTTCCTCTCACCCCTTATTCTTCCCCTTCTTGTCCTTCTTACTCTTCTTCTCCTCGCTTCCGCTTCCGGAGCCGCCCGCCGCACCCGCCAGCAGGCTCTGCATGTCGCCGCCCTGCTGCATCTCCTTCATCATGTCCTTGAATAGGTTCTCGCTGACGCCGCCGCCCGTCATCGCAGGGCTGTAGTAGGGCAGCAGGTCGCCCATCTTCCAGCCGCGCGGGACCGCCGGGCGCGGGTACGGCTTGCCGGCGTCGGGCAGCGGGGCGCCGGGCACGCGCTCGCGCAGGCCGGCGCAGTGCTCGGTGGTCGGGTTCTCCTGCAGGTGGCGGGCGACGAGCACGTACAGGTGGTGCTTGTTCTTGACGGCGGCGGCGGCGGCGCTCGGGCTCTTTGCGTTCTTGAGCTGCACCTTGACGCGGCCCGGGTTCGCCCAGTCCTTCGGGTGCAGCTTGCCCGGCTCGAAGAGCGTCTGCAGCCGCAGCTTGGCGCAGGCGTTGACGATCTCGCGCGCCAGCGGGTTCGGCACCGCCAGGCTCTTGGACACGCGGCGGCCCTCGGCGCGCGACCGCGTCGCGTCAAAGTACACCGGGTACAGGCACTGGAAGTCGCCGTAGCCGGCGGTCGAGCTGGTCGTCTGGAACTCGTGCGGCGCCTGGTTTGCGCCGTGCGATAGCGACGGGATGGTGGAGGGGTTGATGAGGTGGGATCGTGCTGCGGCGGCGGCTTGGGCCTGGGCGGGTGACGGTGCTGTCCGTGAGCGGAGGATGTCTGAGTCTGCAAAATCCTCAATGTCTCCTTCCGAGGGGTCGGATGCCTCGACGTCGCTGTCCTCGACCTCTTCTATCCGCGGGTGTGACATTTTGATGGTGTTGGAGGATGTTGAACTGTGGTTGTGTGTGAGGCGGGGTCCATCTGATGTGGTTGAGTCTCAGTAACAGGTAAATTTCATGGTGGGGTCAATTGGACGTCTGTGCTTTCCTTAAGTGGAATGTGTTGGTGTGTGGGAGCAGTCAGGTAGGGGCTAGAACGTCATTTCAAGGTCTTACCTAATCATAGGGGTCGCCGACGGGTTGTTCATGGTTCATCTTTCTGATAACTGTGAAAATTTCATGTAACATTTGGATCCTATCTTGAGATAGGTGATGATATTAAAGCGATGATCATGCATGCATCATGGCATCACTGAGGTGGATGTTCTCGCAGGTACAATTGTGTCAATTTGAATTAGGCTACCTGCTCCAGAACCAGAAATACCGCCTCCCTTCAACAACCGTAACTTGCATTCCCCAGAAGACTTTTTTCCTTTCAGACCTTTTACTACATACTCCACATAACACAGGCCATGCTTGCCTTTTGACCTTATCAATGGGAGCTTTTGGTGAACAGACTCCTTGCTCGCAATTTAAAATCAGGTTCGTCGGTCGTGTTTTCGTGATATATCGTTTAAACATTAAATCGGACATGGTCCTCTCCCAGCTGATTTGGCCCTGCTCTGTCAAAAGAAACCAGGGCACGGAGAGGCACGAAACGGGAGACTCATGTACGTGGACTTTTTGTGGTTGGGTTGTCCTAGTATCTAGACCTCGTCGAAATGGACATACGTTGCCTTGAATTTCGTATTAGGAGGATGCTCCCAGGGTTTAAATTTGCAGTATGGGTGCTGACACTGCCCATTATGGGTGCTGGGGCACTTGAAGATCGTCAGGTTGGTCGAGCTTGTCGTAAGGGAAATGGGCGTCACGACTTACATGGTGACCGTAGATACAATCTTCGACCTCGCAATCCTGCCCGTTTGTGCAAGGATTCAGTCGAGCCAAGAAAGCAATAGCGACTTTCTCTTCTGTAGTCGGTTTATATTTGTGTTCAAAGCAGCAAGCACTGCCTTTCGCGCAGGGGCCGCGTAGATAATGATTGTTGCACAGCTTGTCGTTGTCTTTGCGTTTCTTGATGGCCTCCAAAACCAAAGTATTCACTTGAAGCGGAGTATCTACGCCACGTGGGCCGGGATTCCACAACAATGGTTTTGGACGGGGGCCGGATGGTATATTAGTAGTTTTTGGTTGAAGAGGTAGAGGTAAGGTGACCTGTGGTGGTGGGGTGGCTTTTCCGACCATAGAGGAATAAGTCATCGGACCACTGTTGACGGGCGTAGTAGAAGGAGGCGGCAGAGGTGACAGTCCCAGCACGGACTGGGGAGGAGAAATCACCGGCGGGGATGGATTGCGAGGAGCCTTGTCCACCAGCTTTTCATCTCGAAATAGTGTTTTGGTGAGGTTCAAAATGTTTAAACCCGTAGCGACGAGCTCGCGAACGGTAGGAAAGCCCTCGAGGATCGAAATACGTGCTCTGACCGTATCATCGCGGAGGATCTCGTCCAAAAAGGAGGCATATCCAGCGTCGTGGGACACCCCAAGTATAATTTGCTTACAATTATAATTTCGGAGATTCCATCTTGTCAATTCTGGACGTCTTGTCAGGACCTATAGCCATGTTGTTGATGACTCGGGGAACATACCTTTAATTTTGGAATCCGCCCTCTCCTTGCCATAGCCAATGTCGACGAAATCGAAAGAGGCCATGCACTGAGTAAACCCTAGGCTAAAATCTTTCAAGTCGGCGTCATTCTCTAGGGAGCCGTCTCGCTTCATTGCCCTAGCCAGTCCGCCGACGTTGGCAACGACCTTGGCGACGATTTCGACCTCGCTTGCATGGTCGCCGCATTCTTTCAAAATCGCATTTCTCAACGCATATGCCGCTGCTTTTCCGCCGTCAATTCCCTTCGCGATCAGCGACTCCTTGAACTGCACATGGAATTAGCCCTCGGCACCGCCCAGGATGGGGGAATGCCTGCTCCCTCACAATCAAGCCATCGCCGTCGATCAGGACTACCACGTAAGGGTTGCGATTCTGTAGACTCTCAGCGCCAAATATCAAGCAGGAGGAGCTTGGGGCTGCATGTCTACCTTCAATGTCTCATTATCCTGGGAAACAAAACTCATGCGGGCCTCGAGCTGGTTGACTCGCTGCTGGAGGTCGCGCCTCGACTTTGTGGCATCGGCCAGGTCGAGGGTGGAATCGCTCAGCAATTCCTGGAGGCGCTGGTTCTCGTCCCGCAAGCCAGACTCGATCCGCTCGCTGTAGATCAGGAGGTCCTATTGGAGTCTGGTCAGGAAACTCTGCGCAGTGTCTCTTGTCTCCATGTTCCCGGGAGATGTCCGCGGTGGGGGAGCTGTGAGGCAAACGACTGAGAATGTTGGGACAAGATGTCTTACTCACCTTTATCAACTCGTCACTGGTATCGCGCTGTAGCTGCAGGGTCTGGAACCTCTGGACAAAGTCCATGATTCCGCCACCCATATCCATTACTTTCTCCCTCACCAGAGGGGAAGACGAAGCGTGGGGCAGCTCAGCTTTGTCGTGGGTATTTTGGGTTGTGATAGATGGGTGGATGGAGGGGTAGTGTTTTGGGGATTGTGGATGGGAGGAGAGGAAAGAAGAAGAAAAAAGAAGTCTTTGTCGTCCGCTCTGCTTGTTGGCTCTGCTTCAGATCAGACGAAGAGCTGAGCCTGGGAGAGAAAAAAAGATATTAGAAACAGAGCAGCTGGAGGCAGCACCTGAGACAGCAAGGTTAAGCTTGTGGAAGGTCAGACCTGAGCGAACAATGAGAAAGACCGGGCAGATGTGACACCGACAAACGATCGGGGAAGCTTTGCGTTGCTTTGCAGTTGCTGCTTTGCTTTTGGGGATTTCCAGGTTGCGGTCAACGATTATGCGCGACCCACACACCAGGGATCGTGCACGCTGATAAAGAGATACCTCGTTTTAGGTGCAGGATCCCAGAAAACAGCATCCTCAAGCTGTTTCTTCTTCTGGAATTGTAGTCTTTTCCAGCTGCTTCTGTCTGTTTTGAGAATGCTCAAACCAGATTCTGTTCGCAGTCGGTACCTGATTGCTGTAGATGGTGAATGACTGACCACTGCCTGGAAGCTGTTTGCTGTATGCTGGCGTTTATCTTAGGTCTGTTTCCATACTTTTTTGTGGAGCTCCCACATGGTGCTGCTGCATTTGGGTGACTTATTGGCACCCACCATCACCATCATTGGGCTGGCGGCAGACATTCGTGGGGTAGGAGGGCCCACAAACCAGGGCCTCCCAGTGGCCTAGCTCCCTATAGCCTCTACCTAGTAGGCAAGGCCTAGCCCACCAGGCCAAGGGCCGGCGCTAAGACCTGAGATTCTTAGCGCCATGCAAAGTAAACAGTGTACAGGTAGATGCACACAAGCTGCTGTTCTCTGCTCTCCTCCATTTTGATGTAGCACATTCTTTCATTTCAATCATGGCTTACAGATCATCTTAAAATGCTTTGAAAAGTGCACAATGAACGAAATGCTGCAGTCAATGGATCTGTCTTGTAAAGTACAGCTTCTGTTCATGTTCTCAGGGCCTGTCAGATCTTGCTCTCGACCTTTCTACACGGTTACTTCCGCTCATGATACATATCACTGCAGCTAGGCTGACCCGGATGCACGTAACACTTCTCTCCATTTACAGTAGGTATGCCTTGCCATGTTCCTCAGCTCGGGTGTAACCGCTGTCTGTAGCAATACTTTCTGCAAGTATATTCAGCCCCCAACGCCATCCACAAAGAACCCTGAACTCAGACACCTCAGGAAATGAATCCCTTGCAGCTCCCAAGTCAACCCTGTCAAAAGGGGTTATACTGATTGAAAAGATTCCAAACGCTATCATCCCCAAACTCTCCCTCGAACTGCCACGGCTGGTTCTCAATGTTCTGCATGACCGGCGTGCTCGCCGCCCAGCTCGGCCCAGAGACACCTCCGTCACTCACACCGTTCAGGTCGTTGTACACGACGTCCGCCATGGCGTAGATCGGCTGGATGCTGCTCCAGTCAAAATCTGGCGGCAGCGATAGGTCGCCCAGCCCAGACTCCCCGAGCCCGTTGCCTGCAATGGTGGCGCTGAGGTCGGTGGCCCCCGACGCCGACGTGGGCATCGAGAACATGTCGCTCGCCCCGGAGGACGTGGCCGTCGTCGGCGTGAACGTGCTGGTGCTTGTGCCGCTGATGCTGCCTCCCAGACTTGTCGCACTGCCGTCGACCTGGGGAGACGCGGCTAGCTCGCTGTTGGCGCTGGCTGATGCCGGGGTGCCGTTCGACGGCGGCACGGCCTGTTGCGAGGGTTTGTTGGCGCACACGAAGCCTATTCCTAGTGACTTCTTCAGCCGTACGTAGATCGCCTGCAAGACACCGAGCGCGGCCTTGGCGAGGGTGTTGCGTTCCGACATAACCTCGAAGCGCTGAACAGACCATTGGTAGTGCTGTAGTGCCTTGCTGACGAGTTCCGGGTGTTCCTTGGGGAAGAGGATGAAGATAGTCGCCATGAGCACAATGGCGTCGAATGTCCCGAAGAACAGCGAGAATCTAAGGAAGAGTTTTAGTATGTGGTGTTGTCTCTTAAGAGTGAGTGAGTGGCTTACGTCTTGTATTGCTGGGGGTTTAACGAAAGGAAGTGCTCCTTCTGATACTCCAACATTTTGATACTCGCTTTGAGTGCCTCAGTCCGACTCTGTGCTCGTGTGAAGATATATGGCCGGTGCAGCGCCATGTAGTTGAAGGACATCAGTTGCGGCAACGACCCTCGCACCTGGGGAATCCAATAGCATTCTGGCAGATCATCAAATCTCGTATCCGGGTTCTCTAGGCGGAAGTACGGCGGCGTTCTTGAATCCAGCTCAACTAGTTCCTCGTGGATCTTATCGACCCTCGTAAAGTTCTTGGGCATGGGGCCTTCCTTCTCCAGATCCAGGATGCTACTCAGCGGCTTCATACTCTCATACGACCACAGTGCTCGAGTCAAAGGAGTTGGTGGGTCGTGTTCTGCTCGGGGCAAAACGGGGGTCTTGCGCCTGTCTTTCGGAAGCGGGGCGTCTACGGGCAGTGTGTAATTAATACTCCTATCGATGGTCGTCGGTCGGCCTAACACGATACCCGTGTGGAGATCCCAGCCCATCAATATCATCCAGACCTTACGCCTGCGCTGAATCTCCCACTGGTTCTCGAGCACGGCCTCTGCATCGTCGCCTTTAGGTTTCGGGTCGAGACTGTCCTTGTGAATACCGAGTTCCTGGGCGTCTCTGATACTGCTACCGATTGCGTGCCATGCCTCGGTCACCAAGCCACTGTACTTCAGGAACGCACTTCTGAGAAATCCTGCTAGCACTGTCGTCAGAGATATTTGTCGTTTCCCCAGCAGCGAAAGAACAGCAACACCCGACTCGCTGTAATCCGTCGCAAGGTCGTCCCATGACATCGTGCCGGCATATTTTAAAGAGTCGAAAAATTCATCTGGCCCAGGCGGCAGCGCCATCAGCGCGCTGGCTATGACCTGAAAGAGCAGCGCAGGGAACGCCCTCAAATCCGCAGACAGCCCCTGGGGCCCCGCTGTGTTGAGCAGATTGAACGGCAGGCTGTTCCACTCCTCCAGCTGCGCCATGAACACATCCTGCTCCAGCCCGTAGTACTGCCAATTGAAGTGCTCAAAATACATGTCCACGAGTTTCTCCACGTATGTCCGCGCCGGAAGCTGCCTGATCAGGCTCTTATACCTCTCCCGCGCACCGAATGCATCGTCCTGCTCGCTCGAGCCTATCGCGAGCCTCGACAGGGGCTCGTCGGGGTTTGCGCCGTCGATCTTCTTCAGGAAGCCCAGTGTGGACGCCCCGGTCGCAGAGTAGCCGAAGTTGGCGACCTTTCGGGGGATTGTGTCGTCCGGCCCCCTCTTCGACCCAGGCGGGATGTCGCCATTGCTCGACGTCGACCCGCGCTGCTCCTTCGCTGTCGGCGCACCCGTCTCGTAGCGGCAGGAATCCTGCTTGTTGCGTGACTCGCAATTCGTGCACGGCAATTTGCGATCGCACTAGGAAGAGAACTCGTGTTAGTTGTGGTACGATCACACAGATCAATCGGGAGAAGTGCCACAATCTATCCAATTGGATGGTATGTACGCTCAGGACAGATGAATAGTCATGCTATGTCGTCAAATACCCGGTGCTCAGCAGTGGAAGTCGTACCTTTTGCTTGCGGCGATGGCATTCCGTGCACGATATCACAATACGCCTTCGTTTCCTGGGTGGTGCCCGGGCGGGGCTGTCATCCTTCTCCGGCGAGTTCTCCTCCACGGACCCGGACCCGGACCCGTTGCGCTGCAACTGCTGCAGCTGCAATGCCGCTTCCTCGTTGATCGCGGACATATTGGGGGAATTCGGAGGCAGAGCCGTGATAGGTGGGGTGGACTCCGGATTGGCCTCTCTGCGAACGGCGGGCGCCTGGTTCGACAATCAATCCGAGGAGGATCGATTAGGCTATACGATCAAGTAATTCAATTGCCTTGGCCTTGGCGGATCGAGAGGATAGGCGAGCTTGGGCCCCGAAGGGAGTGAGAAAGAGAAAAGTTGAAGAGTGTATGTAAGCACCAGTAGCGAAGATGTGAGTTGAGGTGGGATTGCGGGAGGATTAATAAGAGAACCGCATGCAGCCCCACCCGGCGGCCGGGAGGGTGGTGCGTGCTTTTGCCTTGTCTTGACACCCGGCTCTAATCTCCAGGCCGCTGCACGATGCTGAGGTTCGCTAAACGTCGGTTGCGTTAGCTGCTTACCGGAGGTTGCGGCGCCGTCTTCCGTTAACCCCGAAAAAATGCTCTGTTACAAACTTACAAGTAAAGCGCAACCTACCCTATAACTAACAAGTAGTCATTTAGTAAGATTGGTAGTGTTGTGTCTGAAAAGACTCAATCATGTGTAAGGCAACTACCAAGACCTGTCATTAGGTTCAAATAGCAAATGCATGTTTGATACTCTCCAGAAAGGCTATACTACACAAAGGTCTAATTGAAGTTAACTCGGAGGATTGAAGCAAATCATCTGCAATCAATAGTCGCTTAATAGATCGACACCCATAAATCTTCAAGTCTTCAGAACTCGAAACCAGCAGACGGTGGGCTTGGATTCTGATCTATATCTCGGCTTGGACTCCAAGCACTGAAGCAAGGAGTTCCTGGGATTGACGATAGCATTGGGTCATAAAAGCTGCACGCAAATTTTTGTGCTATATTGGCACCTTGAGGAGTCAGTACCGTGTATCTTTGGTTAGACACGAAGGAGATGACTCTTACCTTGGAACTTCCTGAATATACTCCAAGGGTATATACCTTCGCCGATCGTAGATAAGACTATCAAAAGGATCCAATTCAGCTTCAATCTTCTCGAAGAGATAATATCAATGGCTTGGGACCGTCGGGGGTTCAGGTCAGATGCAGCTGTGTTTACCGTACACAAAAGTCATCATTATGACGAACAAGTGGCCGGTAACGACCTTCAAAATGGCAGCTCGAACTGTATCATTTCTTCGAGATTTGCGTTCAAGTAGTTTGAAAGCCGGCCACTTTACTGAGTGGTCTGGTGACGATTTCGCTTCTGAGAGAAAATCGGAGCGATGAGTCGGATCCCCAATGCTTGAACTGCTTGACGAGTGTACGGGAGGAGGCCAACAAGACCAATTGAAAGGTCGGTCATCGCTATCGGATACACAAAGACGGATAGGTGACTTCTGTGACTGCAGAGGTCTGGTTTCTGGTTGTGACGAGTCTGACGTAGGTCGCTCTTCCTTGGAGAGATGAGTTGGCTCGAGACTCCCATGCTCGATGAATTCATTCAGATTGATGATCAGCTTTGCTGTAAGCTCTTGCATGCGCTGATGATTATCGCAGCTAGGAGAACTTGATAGATCCTGATCGAAGGCGTCCTTCCACGCGGCTTTCACAGCCTGGATATAGATGAGACTGTGCCTACTCATCCCGCTCTGAGGACAAAGTGACTCTAGTGCAGCGCTGTCCATAGACTTGAGCAACAGGGAAATGCTCTCACGAAATTCCGTGCTATAGGACACGTGAGTCTTAGATTTTAAGAAATCAACAATGGCACGAGCTAGGCAGAGGTATGCTAGTGCTGTCTCCATGCTGCCAGGACGCCTCAACAACGATAACTGCTTTAGAACTCTCATTGCTCCCGAGAATGCCCGACGGTGGTCGGAGAATAAGGCCGTTATCGACTCAGTTTCCTCATTAGTGATTGAAGAGAGGTTTTCTGCAACAGATTTCATTTTCAGGCACTGAGTTTTGAATCGGAATCGTAGGCCTAGCATTTCCTTCAATGAAGCGATTTTTAGGCAACTCGAATTTTTACACTGTTCAGTCACTTCACGGAGCAGTGCTGCAGTATCCCATTCCTCCGCTTGCTCTGCTGTCTTGCATGCTGGATCGAGCGCTCCAGAGTCCATGTAGACAAGTTTCCGAACAACCTCTTTGTCTCCGGCTTCTGCGGCTATAATCATCGCGTCTTTGACACTAGCCCCCATCCGAAGGGTGAGGCTGGCAGCCTGTTTGCTGTTGCCACCCTTCAACACGAGGACCAATGCTCTGCTCGCATCAAGCATTCTGAAATGATTGGCTTGTTCGCCCTTGGTAGTTGTCTCGTCTCCTTCTGGGGGCTCGGTATCCTGTTGTTTCGCGATGGTGAACGCTAATTCCAGATCGGCCCCTTTGTCAACGAGATAGGTGAACGCCGTGGAATTGCCCGCGCGAGCAGCATTGAGGAGAGGTGGTCCATATCCATCCCCCATCTCGTTGAGATGTGCTCCGCGGGTCAGCAGGAAGTCATAGATATCCTCTATTGACTTGTGCTTCCCCTTTTCGACCGCACGAGATAATGTACCAGGACGGTAGCCAATATGGTCGACAATGGTACGTACCGAGTTGAGTTGACCTGTAGAGATAACCTTCATTATGCCTCGTTCATCGTCGGCTCCACACTTAAGAAGAAGCTGGATTATCTCAAGGTAACCTCGGGCTGCTGCTGTTACTAATGCGTCAGAAAGCTCTGAAAGATCAATACTTCCATCAGAATTTAAAGCTTCATCTAGCATCGATTTTGTAGTGTTGATGTCGCCTGAAATGACAGCTTGGAATACCGGTCGTTGATGAGACTTGTCGTTGTTTCCGTTATCCTTACGGTAGGGACTTATGTCGTAAAAGGGATCGATTGATGCATTCGATTCTCGATCAAACTGATCTCCCGTAGACGGTGTTGGAGGTTGCGGCAGCCAGTCCCAATCATCGGGTGGAATTCCTATGAGGAGTTGGACGTTTTCATCTCGATAGACTGAAGTAGAGCCAAGCTCGACGTCGTTATGGCCAGATTCCCCATCCTGGTCATTATCATATGGCATACGATCCTCTAGGAAATATTTATCCGACTCATCCCACAGAGACTCGAATTTTTGCAGAGCTTGTGTTAGGATAGACCGCTTGCGCATAGCGGGTTCGTTGCTATAGGGAGCTGCAGCTGCCACGAGTCCATTTTCCTGGGGAGATACTGCCACATCCATGCCTTCGCCGATGTGCAACCGTTCGATCTGAGGTTCGAAATATTCTAAATCAGGCATTTCTACATCTACATCTTATCAGCATATTCATGGAAGTTCAATTCGATAAAAACAGATGATATTTACCATCGATCGAGGTCTCATCACGAGTTGTGTCATTTGATGACGATGGGTGTCTCTTAACCCATCGATTGATTTTAGCTTCAGAAACAACCTGGCCGCGAAGTTTGAAAACCGTCGTCTTTGTTTGTTTCAGTCTAGAAGCTCGAATTCGAACGATTTGGCCCATTTCTTGCTGGGTGATGTTCTTCTTGAGGCCCCAAGCTTTGAATTGAGTTTTGTATTGTGCAATGCTAGATTGGTGTAAGCACGAGTACTTCACTCAAGGCAAACAAACTTACGAGGCTCGAAACCCATATTTTTCTCTCATTTGGTGTTTAACTTCCTCTAAGGTTAAATCTTCTGTCATGTATAGATGCTCAATGATCGCACGATAGCTCTTGAAGTCAGGCATAAATTGGCACCCGACATGAGCTATTGTGGTCGCCCAATAAGAGAGTTTTTTGAATCGCGACATTTTCTGTTCGCTCCCGTGAATGGTTAGGTTGTATGAGACATCTACCATAAATATACTGTGGTCGATTTGAGACTCGACGGACTTATATAATGATGATGGTAGACAAGAGAGTCGGCAAGTGGGGCAAGCCTCATATGTTGGTTTCCTGCTCTCATCTGGCACTCGACGGGGGTGTTGTGCAAAGTTGCTACCTACCCCTTTCTGAGACAGCCAGTGTCCAATCACTTCTCCAAGTCAAAAGTTTCCCGCAGCGTTAGACTGCAATGTGCAGGGATCGCCTCATTTGCAGATAAAGCTGACATACAATGCAACAACTACCAAAGTTTTTTGCAGGATTATTTGTTTTATGGTGGTGCATCATGGCACGGCGAAGATGGGCTGTCAGCGAAAATGCTTTTGTTAAGGTACGTAGAAATCAACAAAAATTCGCGGCTTCTATAAGTCGCTACTGCCAGTGCCAATACATGTAGTAATACTGCCAGCAACCCAAAATGAACTTTTACAATTACATTGCTCTATCAACTAAAAAGTTTCTGCAAGCTGTCTGTGGTCCTAAGTTAGTGTCAGAGTCATCATTCGCTAATGAAGGCTTGTTAGAGGCGGTCCTATGACGAGAATCACTTACCTAGTTATGGCTGATCAGATAACATCTAGCCTTCTATGAGTTAATCGTCACAGCACGTAATAGTTCCGATATGATAATAGGTCTCTTAATAGATTTCTGGTCCTCATACAACATAAGTCTCTGACATTCAAGGTCAAACCAAGTTTGGATCATCTCAATACTGAAATCCTTTGGGACAAGAAGGTGAACGAGATCATTAGGCAATCCACAATACCTAAAGATATTATGACTTTTTCTGGCCTACACAATCATTATACTCTCATGATTGCTATATTTCAGTACTATGGTCTTTCCTTTGCCGCAGTACCTTTGTCCTATGTGCAGTTGATGACACTGAAATCATGAATCTGGGTGGGCAAGCAGCCTTACTTGCTTAGCCAGTACGCGCCTTGTCCTTTAGAATGCTTCTTCCGCTTTTCCAGTCGATGCAGACAAGAAACCTAGCAGCCCGTGCTGCACTTCTCACAAATCAATTCTGTCAACCCCCTGGATATCCTGAACTTCAACTCCCTATTTACTGTATCCGCGCAAGGTACGCCTTCCAAGCTTTCCTCCTATACCTCTCTGCCTCAGACGGCGGGTCGCCAGCCTTGATGATGCCTCGGCCGACAATCACGATGTCAGTACCCTTCAGAGTGATCAGCTTTGACGGAGTGTTGTACTGCTGGCCCAGCCCGTCGCCTTCGAGGTGGCCGTTCTCCTCCTCGCCCTCTGGTGGCAGCTTGCACCCCGGAGTCATGTGGATGAAGTCCTCGCCTGCCTCGCTGTTCAGGCTCTCCTGAGCCACATAGCCCATGACGAAGTCCTTGTGCTCCCGCGCGGCCTCCACACACGCCTGTGTGTAGTCGGGCGTCATCAGGCAGCCCTTTGAGGACATCTGCGCTAGGATGAGCAGGCCTCTGTCGGAAGGAGCCTCTTCAATCCCGGGGTATAGAATGTCGTCGCCATCTGCCATGCTCTTGGACAGCCTCGGGGAGTCGGCCGGCTCGAACGACTGCGTGACTGTTGTGACGGACACGATGCTGCCCTTCCTGCCGTCTGGGTCCCTTGCACCCGCTGTCCGGCTCGGGTCGGGCGCGTCGAGGTGGCTCTCCTCGCCGTCGGTGTCGTCGAAGCTCTCGTTGACCGGCGTGCCGACCGTCACGCTCGTCTTGACCTCGTAGTTGATCCTCTCCTTCCACTTGGCGGCCGCCTCCGCCAGCGCGGTCACGGCGTCCTTGCCGGCGGAGATGTTCATGTTGGTGATGTGCGCCCACTCGACGATCCGCGCCGTGCCCGCCGTGTACTGCATCTGCACGGTCTTGCCAATGTCGCAGAACTTGCGGTCCTCGAATATCAGGAAGCCGTGCTTGCGTGCCAGCGCGGCGAGCTTGGCGCCGGTGCCCGTCTGCGGGTTGTAGTCCCACCCGGAAATCAAGTCGTAGTGCGTCTTGAGCACGACAATGGACGGGCCGACCTTGTCGGCGAGGTATAGGAGTTCGCGGGCATTGGTGACGTCGGCTGATAGGCACAGGTTCGAGGCCTTGAGGTCCATCAGGCGGAAGAGGTAGGCATTGAGGGGATGTGTCGCCCTCTCCGCACGGGCGGAGTACGTGGATTGGAGGGACTGGTGCCGCGTCGTCATCTTTGCGATGCGGCGCAGGTATGTGTAGCTCTTCTTCGAGGGCTTTAGTCTTGTTATGCCTTATGGATGACGATGACGACGAGGGTCTTACATGCGTATGTAGAAGGGTATATAAGACGGGAGCGGCAGCGCGATGGAGCTTGGCAGGAGAGAGTGGTACGATGCTCAAAGGCCTCGATCCCGTAGAGTCCAGACTGGCTCTTGCTGGGGAGAGGAGCAAGAGAAGTCTTTGGGCGGGCGTCGCGCTCCAATTGCAAGCTCTGGTTGACGTCTGAGGGGCAAAAACTAGGACCCAACAACGAGATAAGTGGTGGGGTAGGTGAGGATCTAAGATACGGCCGATATGGAGGCTGGTGGCCTTAGTTCAAGAGCCAAGGGCTGAGAGTGGTAGCTGCTGGCACAATATTGACCCACGCAAGGCGAATTGACGTCAAAGAAAGGCTGTATTCGTCGCTAAACAGGAGGCGGGCTCATAAGAATTAGCAGAGAGGAGAGGGAAGAGAGCTAGAGAGGGCTCGCAACGGAGATGAGAGGAAGGGCACAGCGGTTGATATAAGAAGAAAAAGAAAGAAAGAAGGGGGGAAAAAAGATACAGGCAAAGCGAGAGCGCACGCACGCATGCATGCAGGCAATGTGAGAAGTCAAACAGTTAATTACCAAGGGTACGTAGATATGTAGGGACATACTGCATAGTACACTACCGACTGAACTGTACCCTGATGTGGCAGACCAACGGAGGTGGGTGAATTTGACTGGAGTGACACCGGCGGAGGGACCTGACAGGGGGTTCTCAGGTCTGCTAAGACAACGCCAGGGGACGCCGGCCGGGGCAGAGGCTCCAGTATCCAGTATCCAGTATCCAGAACAAAAGTTCGGTTGATTTGCCGGGCGGCGAAGGAGTAGGTACATGTACGCACTTCCATTGCCAATTGAGGACCCCGAGCGCTACTGCACAGTAGATACTACCTGGTAGGTAGACACTTCAGATTTCTTAGCTGTCAGGTTCCGAGACATAAATATCAGCAGGTTAAGCTAAGCTGTTGGACTCAAGTCAAGCCAAGAAGCGTATGTACTAATGTACACATCAGATAGGCAATATTGAATCAGTGATACAACCTCGACGCGCGGGACAGCGCCCAGTTCAGCTCAATGTCCGAAACTCTGAATGATGCTTTTTTTCCCAGGCATCATGAGGTTGTTCGGTACCGCCCTGCCCACATGCATGTGAACTATCCGCAATAACCCAATAGCCCGACTTGCCTACTCTTAGTTGGTCGCTCAGGGGGCAGACCCTGTGCTGTGGGTTGCGGGTGGGTGGCCAGACCCGTCGAGACCCTGGAGGCGCCTTACTGTGCAGTAGTGTGCAGTAGAGGTACCCGACTTGTGACGTGTGGCTGTCCCCCGGCCCCGGCAAGGGAGCTCTAGGGCGGTCCTTCAGGTTGGGTGCACGAACCAACAACCACAATGCAAGATGAGCCCCCAAGATACAGGTAGGTCTCACTCGGGCTTGAGACATTATGCTGGAGAACCATATCCAGGTGTTCCCCTTCATTAGCATTCGTTCCTCTAGTTACAAAATAAGCAAACCAGCCAAACCAGCCAAACCAGCCGGTGGGCGTGTCACAGACGTGTCAATACCAGAAAGCTCATTTGCGTCTCACGAACATCAAAGTTAGAGCAGTAAGGTATTTCAAGGCTAGAGGGGCACTGAGTGAGACATGTAACTAGGTGGCTTCGGCTCATGTATAACGGACAAACATCAATAGTAGCTATGTATGTGGACTAGTTTCCACTTGTCTAGACGACTGAGATTATCATTGCATTGCACCTCAATTCTCTTCGTTGTCTCGCCGTAATCCATGTGTTGCTATCCGGCCACCATTTTATTGCTGGCGACTTCCTTTAACAGAGCGCGCATGCATCCATCTACCGTATCCATACACCCTACACTCTATGTAGTACAGTGGGAATGTAAGGCAATGTACGAGCCAACTTAGGTCTATTACTTGGAGGCTGCCTCATTAGCTGCAGCCGTGACGAAATGTCCACCTGACGTGGACTTGACGCATTCCTCTTTTACCTTGGATGGGACAAGAAGTTAGCTGCCACATCAAATGAATGCAGTAGATGCTGTAAATCGCCAGTTCAAGCACAGCCTTCTCAAAAGATTGAGCCCTTGGACCGTGTATCATTTTGAGAGGCCTTTCAATAGTATTACTGTCGTGGCCAATTACTTGAGGCTAATACTAGTGTCAACTCTTTAACTTATATACCTTACAACTACTACTTTTAGATAAACAAAACATTGAACGATGTAAAAATGCAACGGAACAAAAAAAACACAAAAAACGACGCAGGCACGACTCGAACGTGCGCTCCCGAAGGAAACAGATTTCTAGTCTGTCGCGTTAACCACTCCGCCACTGCGCCCCTTGATGTTAGTTTCCTTCCGGATTATCATACATCTGGCTAATTCTCGCTAGCTTACTTAGTGGTTAAAGGATCTTTTGCATCATAATAGAGCAAGCCATTAGATAGATTGTACATCTGTCAATTTAGTTTCTTTCTCTAGATATTTTGTGTTAATTCTGTCGTGAGAAATTATTCTATTTGGTTCGAAAGGTTTGATTGAAGCTAAGGCATGTTGCCATAATGATGAAACAGGCAGACAAGATAATAGCAAATCGGGTCCAACATCTGAGCTTCACAAGTCGCCCTGTGCTAGTGAAGAGATTCATACTTACCATAAGCTAACTTAAGGCTCTTCAACACTCGATGTGTCCTGCAAGGCACATTGTCTGATCACCTAGGACCTACCCTAAATTTCTACAACTTAATTTGACCCCTCACTGCCATCTACTACTATCCCCACCAACTCCTATCCCTCCTTGATAGAGAGGTGCAGAATGAGCTATTTCATTGGCATTGTGTTTTGTATGCTGATCAACTGATGCTCGACTGCCTATTTGTTGAGCTAGATGGAAATATCTTATAGTACTGATCACGCGACACATCCTCTAGTGAGAAGACTATAGTAGATACCAGACACTTCTGAAGATACTCATAACTCGGTGATTTCATCACTTCACATTGCCAGTCGTGTATTTGAGATGTCGACGCTTTGCCTGCAGTGGGACACAACCACTGCCACTACACATCGCTAGACGGTCAAAGCCGATGTGATTGACTGTGTTTTGAGCTATCGATATTAGTCGCCTAGTGCTGCTTCAAAATATCGGTCTAGCCAGCAATACACGGATGCCTTTTGCAATTTGTGTCTGCGCCTATGAGGCTTGCTAATAAATTTGCCTTACCTACAGACAGGTCACACAACATTGCAAGTCCAGATATCTGGTAGAGACATGCATGTCTCACTATCCTTGAAACATGCCTCGACTTTTCTGTCGATGTCTTGGGGCACGAAGTGGCTGCATATCATGAGCAGTCCAGTGGTGCCACTCCTTTGTCGTCATAATTGGTCCGTAGGTAGAGGCAGAGGACGATCTGCCTTGACGCCATCCGCCAACCCTATGATACCTCGGGCAAGGTGTCAAGCTTGAGAGCAGAGCATCGGTCCTTTGCCTTGAGTCCTGCAGCCACAAAACTCTGGCGCGGTGCAATCCACCGGAAGCGGCCCGATTTAAGGGCTGAAGATCGGCCCTGAAGTGGCCGGTTTGCTCTACGAGACCAGTCTTTCGAATCTATCTGTGTACACTGCCCAGAGTAGCTGGGTTATGATATTTCAATATCACCTCCACCTTAACTCTTCGACCTGTCTATCTCCCAGCTTCCCTTCGCAAGGCTTGTCAGCCTCGGGAGCACCGCATAAAATACCGCAGCCGATCACACAAGTCTCCCTGTCCTTCTAGAGGCATTTCAGAATTTGACAGCCACAGACAGGGGAACCATGGTCGGCTCAATTGACCATCTACAAAGTACCTTCAAGGAAGCGTACTATGCAGTAAGTCCTCACATCGCATCTCAGCCCTGTCGCACAACCCCTGGGCCGTGCTCGTCACACCCAGATCATTGGGTTGTTGGTGTGGCCACGGACCCGGGCTGCAGCCAACCCGCATATTTCAGCCTGGCCTCGACTTTCCAAAGAAGAGCCGATGGTCTGATTCCCGCACCGATCGCACCGACTGCGCATGAGAAGGTTTGACCAGGCAAGATCAGCAGAGCATAGTGAAGAGGAGGCTTCACCGACGCTCTCTGGACCTGGTTTCGCCGAGACCCCTCGAGAAGCAACTTTTCGGCATGGCCGACTACGTAACCTCGCCATGCTGATGAGAGGTAAACTCCACTAACCACAAGCTCCTACTACAGTACTGTCTTACCTAATGTTCAATCAATATCTTCGCACTACGATAGTCTACCTACCTATGTAGGTACCCAGGTTCTGAGGGGTGAGATATCGTAGACATAGATAAACTAGAGCCAAGATCACCGGCGTGCTCTCCTTCCAGATTCGTGTGGCTTCGACAGTAATTAGTCCTTATCATTCACCACGTCTCAGTCTGACTACTGCATCGAGGTTACAGGTAGGAGATAATTGGAGGCAGGCTTACCTCCCAATCTATCCAATCTGGTCGGTGCTATTGCACGCGGAGTGGACCGTTAGCTTCTGGAAGAGGTGAAGCTTCCAGTGTGAGCTGCGGCACTCGATATTGATTAGGCAGTGAGGATGAGAGCCTAACATTGGAAGTTGAGACTCTGGAGATGTATTGTTAGTCTGTTAGTGTTTGCTTCTGTGGGCTAAAATTGGCACTAGCATTTAGATCCCTGCTAAAAAGTTGCAAAGCTCTTATCGTCAAGCCCCTGCTGAAGGAGCCTAACGACCCCTTATCAATCATCTCCTGTAAGGCAAAGGTGGTGTGTCCATCCATCTATCTCACCTTCAGCCAATCTCCCAAGGAAGCCATTTCCGGATGCTTTGCAGCCTCCAATTCGCCGCCTCTTCCGCTGGCAATCTATCTTCTCGCTCGATTGCTTCAGGCGCATCGGCTACGCTGCCAGATCTCTTAAGCCTGCTGTAAAACCCGCCGCGCCCTGCTCACTGCCTACACCCGCTCTACCAATTTTTCGCGTGTACGTCGCGTGTCAGCTCGGGTTCCTCGGATCAGGATATCTCATCCCACGAACCCCTTGGCAGGTCAGCCATTAAAGCACGCGACACTCCTGCGCTTACGCCTCTGCTCAACTACGAAACAACACAGTTGCATTACCGGTACACCACTATGTCGTCAGTTAGGACCCGGAGACAGGTTGCGGCCGGGGAGGAAACCCCTTCCAAGGTCCGGCCCGCAGCATCAGAGCCTCAACAAGTCGTCATGAACGGCAACGGTTCCGCACACCTAGCGGACGCCACGGCTGGATATGAACGGGAGAATATCTTTCTATTTTGGCCAAACATTATAGGTATGCTTTCCATCAATGCTGAAGAGGGTGACTGCAGTATGGTCTGTGAACAAATCAACTAACAAAGCATTGATAGGCTATGCGCGAATCGTTCTAGCCATCGCTTCTCTTTACTACATGCCTCTGCACCCGCGGACATGCTCCTTTCTATACAGTGTGTCCTGCCTCCTCGACGCCCTCGACGGCTATGCCGCCCGATACTTTGAGCAGAGCACACGCTTCGGCGCCGTCCTAGATATGGTGACTGACCGATGCACCACCTCCTGCTTGTTGCTCTTCCTCTCGTCCGCCTTCCCGCGATGGGCGATCGTCTTCCAAGGCTTGGTCACGCTGGACTTTGCCAGCCACTACATGCACATGTACGCGACTCTGGCGATGGCCGGGGCAGAGACCAGCCACAAGAGCGTGGACAAGAGCCGAAGCCTGCTCCTAAACCTCTACTACACCAACAAGGTGAGATAACCTCCTGAAAGATAGAAATGCAATCAGCTGGCGCTAATCATACGTTCCTGCCAGACCGTCCTGTTCATCACCTGCGCCCTGAACGAGCTCTTCTTCATCGCCGTCTACCTACTCTCCTTCTCCTCGCCCCTGCTGGCGCCCGCCCTGCTCAAGACGCCAGCCGCCGAGCCCCTCCAGCAGGGCGCGCAGGTCAACTCGTCCCTGCTGCGCCAGATCTTCGCCAGCCCGTACAGCGCCGGCGCGCTCGAGCTCGCCCGCGCGAACAAGATGGACAGCACCATCCCCTGGGTGCTCGCGGGCGTCAGCTTCCCCGTCATGATGTTCAAGCAGGTCCTCAACGTCATCCAGATGGTCAAGGCGAGCAAGTGGCTGGCCGAGGGCGACATCCAGGCGCGGCGGGAGAAGGGCCTGCCTCGCAAGAAGAAGGGCAAGGCCGCCTAAAGCGATGAGGTATCAGGGTGGGCTCAATGGGGGCCGGGGCCGGGGGCGAGGCTCTGCTCGGAGGTTCCTGGTGAAGAGGAGCTCAACAGTCTCCGTTGACGTACCTATCCGTGGCAGCATGCGTCATGCAAACGCTTTAATGGCCATGGTCGGGTTGTGGGGATGCCAGGGGATGGAATTGGTGCCGGGAAGCGAGGCGATTCGGGTTGGCCTCGCACCTTTCGTTCTTCGACTGTCGTTACAATAGGAGGGAGTGGTTCTCACTGCATATCGCGGGCTCGAGGGGGATCTGTCACGGGACGGACGGGATGTTATTACTTCCCCCCAGCACTGCACGGAGTTACGAGGTGGGAATAGACTGGGAGTCACATCACACATTTTATTTTACATATATACTGTCAGCGGATGGATGCTGCTTTAATCTGCACCCTGGCCCCGTCGTTGGACTTGGAATATTCATTATTTTCTTTGTTTGAGACAAACACACATAGGACCGGCGGAGGAGAGCAGCCCGATGCGCGGCATGTTCGAGGCGCTTAGTCTCGAGTACTTACTTCATCTTGGTTTCGCATTTGCATTGTACATAGACTTATATTGGCAGGCTATCGCTTTAATATCAAGAAAGCTACAAGAACATGTATATCATTATCCGGGACCTGCAATGGACAGTCTCTCTCTACGCTACTGTACTAGCTAACACATTCGACGCTACGTATCCGAATAGGGGTATCCTGTCTCCTGACTCTTCTCTCCTGAACAGCGACAACAACAGTGACCAAACAACCGCACAGATCAGGTCCGCGTTCCTCCGCCCCCTGACGTGGTGGCCGCTACCTCCTCGCCGTTGGAGACCGTCCCGTTGTTGTTTCCTGCAGTCGTCGTACTCGCAGGCACGACGCCCGCCTTCTCCGCGCCTGCAATCTCCTTCGGCGGCGCCGCGCTCACATCACCCGCCATCCCGTACCACGCGACGACGGCCGTGCCGAGGATGCCGCTGATACAGCTGAAGACGAGAGCGACAATGCCGCGAGCAGTGAATCTGCGACAGCGAACTCTCGATTAGCATCTGGGGAAACAATGATAGACAGGGAGGGAAAAATATCGCCAGGGAATCAATGAACTCACCCTCCTGGGATGCGGCCGGGCGGGTGCGGCTCGCCCTTGGGGTCGAGCAGGTCGACCGTGTTGCCGGCGGCGTTGCCGGCCGTGGGCACGTTGGCGGCGGCGCAGGCGTCGTAGTGGCCCTGCGGGATCTCGAGCGTCTTCTGCAGCTCGAGCGGCGCCTCGACCATCGTCGCGATCAGCCCGGACGTGACGTGCCACTCGATGTGGCAGTGGAAGAGCCAGACGCCTGTGGGCAAGCCTCCGGTGTTAGTCCCGCTGCAGTCTGTGGTGTCTAGTCAAGAGGACTCAGAGGGGGCGCGTGGTCTTACCTGGGTTGTTCGCCTTGAAGCGGAGCACCATGTTGCCGTTCGGGCGGATCACGAACGTGTCGCGGCGCATGGGCATCTTGGGGAAGTCGGCCTCGGTGATGTTGGAGTCGGCGAAGGTGCCCTCGTCGTCCTCTGATCGGTAGAGGGCCTGGAAATTGTGTCCGTGCAAGTGGAAGGGGTGGCGGCCAGAGTCCAGGTTGTCAATGGTCAGCTGGACGATCTCGTCCTTGGCCAGGACGAAGCTGTGCGTGTAAGTGCCGTAGATCTGGGCGTTGGTGGCCAAGTCGCCGCTAGTCAGCGCGGTGTAGAGTGTTGGAACCGTTGGTGCGGCGTATGTGATGTTGTTGAAGAAGGCACTGACGAGTCAGCTGTGATGTACTACAAATATCTGGAGTATGACATTGGTGGTGGTGACTTACTAGTTGGCGCCATCGTTGAGATTGTCCATGATGACCTGGAAATGGATCTCATGATCTGCCTCTCCATAAAGGGTAGTGTTGTCATATGGAACAAGTTGTATGTCATCATACACGGTCCCATCTAGATCATCTACAAACGCAGCATCGGGTAATGGCTTGCTGTCATCGTAGACCAGCCAGCCTGTGACGTTCCAGTTCAGGTCATCAGGAAGTGTGTCAAAGAGTGTCTGCACAATCATTGTCAGTCTGTCCGGTGCATTTCAATTAGTCCACTAGAACGTACAGTATCCATGCTGCCAACAATAGGAAAATTCGCAGATGTGTCATTCCTCGTCGTGACAAGGAAGCTGCATCGCTGCGCGGCCGAGATATAAATCATCTCCGCCTCGGCAGGCTGCGTGTACACGCCGTCGACCTCCACAATGGTCATGTTGTGGCCCTCGAACCACACATACTGGCCAGCGAAAGCGCCCATGTTGATGGTTCGGAACAAGTAGGTCTTGCCAGGCTCCACAGAGATGGTGAGGTTCTGCGTCTCGTTGATCAGAGCGGCGTTGGGTACCGGCTCGGCTCCCGTGGGGTTCGCCTTGCTCATGAAGAACTTGATCAGACCGGGCATCTCGTCATGGTACCAATCCGAGAAGGTCAGCACCAATTCCTCGTCGTACATGTCCTTGTAGGGAAAGTCAGGATCATGGATGATCAGAGGCGCGCGGAGGCCATCTGGATACTGCCCATGCGTGTGGCTGTGGTACCAGTAGGTTCCCGGCTGGTCGAGGGTGAAGTTGTACGTAAACTTGGCTCCTGGAGCAATGGGGCACTGTGAGACCTGCGCAGGGCCATCCATTTGCGTCGTGCCGTTCATAAACAAGCCGTGGAAGTGAAGAGAGGTCGAGTCATTGCCAAGAGAGTTCTGGACATTGACAATGATCCGGTCACCAATGTCTGCCTCAATGATTGGCAACGGCCATTGCCCATTGATACCAATTGTTGGCCGCTCATAGGCGCCGTCTGGGTTCGCTCTGACCCAACCTATATCAAAATCATAGGTTACAGTCTTTGAGCTTGCTGGTGTTATGAGGGAGGAGAGCAACACAAATGCGAGAAGACGAAGCATTGGCAAGTAGGCCATCTTGAATGGCAGTATCAGAGCAAAGACGCTCAAGTCTTTTTGGAGGAGGAGATCTCGACACGCTCGAGAGGGTTATCAAGCAGCTTATTGTACGGGATAATCTAGAAAAAGATCTAGGAACTTTTTGATGTGTGCCAAGTTCCCCCCAGGTGTCGAGAGAAAAGTTCGTGTAAGTGACAAGGTACGCGGACCCAACGAACGCATTCGACGGATTGTGCCGAACTCGGATCGTCAGGCGATGCCAACCCAGGAAGCTCAGGTCTTTCTCAGGCCGGCTGGGCAAGATGTGGGATGGTGGCTTGAAGATGGTGGTGGCAAGGTTATCTTATCAATCGGCCTAGTGGCCCCTGGCCTCCATTAGGAGGAGACACGAGGAGACACGATGGGCACTGGCTGCTGGGATTGGGGTAGAATTGTAGCATTTCAGTTATCAGATGAAGTGATGGGAAACATAAGAGAAACAGGCTAATAGCTGAATGATTGGTTCCGACCCCGTAACCCCCCATACAGTCAACTCACACTGTCTGTCGACGCTCCACTGCGCCTTTTCACTTTAGAACAAACGTGGCTTTGGGCACTTGACCACACAAAACAGGATCGACGGGATGTAAGGCTAGAGCAGCACCAGTAGTACTCTGCCGTAATCATGATCATTGGTCTTGGCAGGGATCAGTCGACTTTTGCTGATGCAGTGCTGATGCGGTGTGCTGGGGGCAACTAGACTAGACTAGACGAGAAGCATGCATGGTGAAGAGACCGGAACAAAAGCTTGGGAAGCTTGGGAAGCTTATGCCAACGTTTTGGCGAGACCCGTAGACCTGCCGAGCTCTACCTACCTTAGTCATCTTAGCTCTGTGTCCACTTTCATCCATTCCCATGGGGACATCCACGCGTCTGCAACCCGCTTGTGTCCTGGTCTCCTCAACTACCGGGGATGTGTTCATTTGTGTGTTCGCATGATCGCCGCTATTATAAGACGTGCCAAGGTTGAAATTGTTACAATCGACCGAATTCTTTCCAAATTGTGTGTGTTTCAGCAGGCTGAGGCACGATGGTTACGACCTAGTGATGATCTGTGTCGGAAGCGGGAACAGGCCGTGTACTGGTGTGTTGGTGTGTGTTGTTGGGTTCCCTGAGTGGCTTATTATCAGATCAAACGGGCCATTTGTGCTGTCCAGTAGAAATGCGCCGCTCAATCAGATAACTAAAAAACGACAGGCATCTTGACACAGGTCAATGTGGGGCATTCCGACACGACAGTAAGCCGATGGAAATCTCTTTCCTCTGGAGAGAACAACGGAATGTGGCCGCAAAGCCTAACGCGCCTACTTGGTGAAGGGCTAGACTGTCTGCTGGGCGGAGATCGTACGACTTGGGATCAGTCCTTTCGAGGTGGCTTGGGGACCCAAGGGCATGATCCGACCATCGACAACTTCACTGCCAGTCCTGTGCCGTAAGAGAATGCAGCCACTGCTCTAGTAGGGCCGCCTTAGTGCTCCTAAAGCGCCTGGAGACTGGGACCACCCGGAAAGACAATGCCTCACCTGCGTAGCTCTCACAATGGGCCTACTACGCAGTAGGGAGCTCGAAGAGGTTGGCAGGGCCCCATCACAGACAACTCACCTCAATGGCCAGGTCGTTCTGCACCATATCCACGTCTCTCGCGTAAATGCTTGCCTTACTGGAAACAAGCTTTAGGTTTGCAGCGCTAGGAGGCCGATCGCCACACTAAAAAGTCCAGGGACCGCATGGGTATGGATGGTGGGCCGTGGCCTTCACCGGTAGAAGTGAGAGGCAGCAGCTTCTTGTACTAAGAGAAGCTGAAGCATCGCGAGAGCGAGGTCCGACAACACAAAGGGGGCACTTCTCGCGATCGCAGATTTCTTCGCCAACAACGGCCCCTTGATCTGATGGGGATCTTCGTCGCATCTTGCCTGAGTAGTCATGATGATTCCCCTTTCTGTGACTCTTGGCATGTTCGCACGAGCCTCCCCTGGCCCGGGTGGCCTGTTATTCCTATTCCTAGAAGACTGGAGCATTTAAGGGTAGCTCGACTAATTGACAGTTGTTAGCCACTGGACATCCAGACCACACAGGAGGTGTGCCACACTGGATCAAAGTCGCGGCGGGAAGTGAATGCCGGCTTCCATAACACAAGGTACTAGATCGCCAACAGGATCTAAGTAGACGGCTTTGGATCAGTGCGTCGTGAGAGCTGGTAACCGCTTTGCTCGAAGAAGTGACGTTAGTGCAAATGTCCATGTGTGAAGAGATATGGGATGGGCACTCGACATTGGAATGGTCTTTTGTTGGACGACCACCCAGCAAAAGCTACATCGGGGGAAAAGCAAATGTCCCACATGCCCGCACTGTGCGGCCAATTAGCCTTCTGAGAACCCAACAGGGATGCTTGCGCATAGGTAGGGGGGGAAGGAGTGAAATGCAACAGCCAGGCCAGGCCATAGATACCCATACTTCCATTTTCTGTATGTCGTTCCATCGATTCTGATTGCCGGGTGGAACAGGCCGCGATCGGCAAAAGGAAGCGAAAAGGCGTTTCGTATTCCATCTTCCATGAGGCGTCTTTCCCCCCCACCCGTCTCGCGTAAAAGTTATCTGATCCGTTTATCAGATCGACTGATAATCATGCCCTTTGCTTGAGACGGCTTGAATCTTCCCCCTACCCTTCGGGCCTCGCCATTGTCATCGGGGCGTCCGTCTCTTCTTCATCTGTTAAAGACGTTGAGTGTCTTTTGTGCTGTTAACCGCTCTGCTTCGCAAAAAGGGTCAAGAGCTTAAAGCTCAGCAGACACAATGCCTCAAGTTTTTGCTGTTCCTGTGTTCCTGGTCGTCTTTCGTGAGACCCTCGAGACGGTCATCATCGTCTCGGTGCTGCTGGCCTTCCTCAAGCAGACTCTGGATGGGCCTCAGCGAGATGTGCAAGTGTATAAAAAATTAGTCCGGCAGGTATGTCGTCTCTCCTCATGCATCGAGTGGCAGTGGTAGATGTAGAGTCGTTTAGCTAACTCTGCGTAGGTATGGCTGGGGACAGGCTTAGGGCTGCTGATCTGCATCATCGTGGCTGCTGCGCTCATCGGCACCTTCTACGGCATCGGCGTGAACAAATGGGACGGGTCCGAGTACTACTACGAGGGCGCCTTCTCCCTCTTCGCCTCGATCGTCATCACCATCATGGGCGCCGCCCTGCTGCGCATCGGCAAGATGCAGGAGAAGTGGCGCATCAAGCTCGCCGCGGCCATCGAGGCCCGCGTCAAGACCGGCCAGAAGGGCTGGTTCCGCCGCTTCGCCGAGAAGTACGCCATGTTTGTGCTGCCGTTCATCACCGTCCTGCGCGAGGGCATCGAGGCCATCGTCTTCCTCGCCGGCGTCACCTTCTCGGCCCCCGCGAGCGCCTTCCCCCTGCCGGTCGTCATCGGCCTCATTGTCGGCTGCCTATGCGGCTACATCCTCTACAAGTGAGTCTCGCTCTTTACCCTCGTTGCGGATCAGAGCTAATGCGGTTTTAGGAGTGGCGCCTCGACGAAGCTCCAGCTGTTCCTTGTCATTTCGACATGTCTGCTCTATCTCGTCGCAGCAGGCCTCTTCACTCGCTCCGTCGGGTACTTCGAGCAGGCAAAATGGAACAAGGTCATCGGCGGCGATGCCGCAGAGACTGGCACCGGCCCAGGAAGCTATGACATTGACAATGTCGTCTGGCACGTCAACGTAAGCCCCTCAACCCGTCCTCACGAAAATGTTGACCCGAGCTGACGAAATTCCCCCCTTTAGTGCTGTAGTCCCGAACTGAACGGTGGCGGCGGCTGGGGCTTCTTCAATGCCATCTTTGGCTGGAACAACACGGCGACCTACGGCAGCGTCATCTCGTACAATGTGTACTGGATCTTTGTCATCGCGTGCTTCCTCGTCATGCGGTTCAGGGAGGTCAAGGGCCACTGGCCGTTCATGAAGGCCAAGGCCAAGTCCAGCGCACAGGGCGAGCAGGATGCACACAGCGACCACAGCGGCTCTGCTGAGGGGAAGGGACTTGATGCTAGAGAGAAGGCTGTCTCGGCTTAGATGGGCATGCTGGTGTTGTTTGTGAGTGGAAGATGGAGACTAAGTCTGGGGATGATGTGTAAGCATCGCCGAGAACTGTTGCGTTCAATATCAAGTTGCATATTTCGAGAGCAGAGGGCTGGGTCACACGAGCGACAAGTCTTTTGCACAGCCATGGCTGCTCGCATTGTCTGTATCTCGCTGGTGTGAAGCCTCCAGGGGCTCTGGCCATCGTGGGTCCTGCACCGCGATAGTCCCGCTTCGTTATTGCGGAGCATCGACCTCTAGGAGCTGGACGGTGCAAGATAGAGTACGGAGGAAGATATACACCTACAATCCAGTATGAATTGACTCAATTGGAATATATGACGTCCCTGCAAAGAGAAGTGACTTAGAGCGCGCCGCCTCGATCAATGTGGTCAGCTCAATTACAAGCAAGCTAATTGGTTGCGGCTTCCGCGAGACACGCGAAGGACATCCATGTTCTTGATAAGAGCTCACAAAATGTCTCCATTGGGAGAGAAGTTGAGAGTTTTAGATCCGAGAATTGGTAAATTCGGCTCTCAGAACTGTGAAACAGTGGTCTGTATTCAAATTGAGCTTGGTGTATTGAATTAATTTTTAGAAATCTTGTTACGCATCCAGTCGTAGTTTCATGTCGGCATAGTCCATAGCCATTCAACTAGATTATAGAGTTGAACTACCTGGAGTAAAAGGAGAACGTTGGTGCAGTCGAGAAACTCCTACTAGGGTTCCTGCCTTCATCTTCCGGTGTCCAGTCCCATTTTTTAGCCGTGAATAGGGCTCTGGCCATCCTATCAGCGGCCATGGCTCCTTCATATCTTAGCCTCTGGTCGCTTGCAACGGATCTCGTAAAACGAAAAATCCGGTCCTCATGATCTTTACCCTGCTCGTCCTCGGCAGGGATCCATGTCACAGCCGACCTGCTCTCCTTCCATTGTCGGCGCGAGATGGACACTATATTGGAGGACAGCATCGTCTGTATGTAGTCTAGAATCGGCAGTATTCTGGTCCTGAGCCCACAATTTGTGTGATTCTTATCAATCTGGTAGCTTGGTACTTGTTTCAGTGTGGCAAGTATATGTGCAATCTCAAGGACAGAAAAGTCCTTGACTGAGTCGAGCGAGCTCGGAGAGAAATCCACGAAAAATAGCAAGTCTTTCTGAGCGAGGAATCGTATCATCTCGCCCAGCTGGTAAGAATCACACGCCGCACTGGAATCATAACCCAGAATGCACTGGCGGGTGCGAGAGGTATACAAGGAAAGAAAGTGCTGCTGCACAGAAGCGATCGTGTTCAAGATACATTCGCGCCGATACTGCAGCTCTCCTTAGGCAAGTCAATATGTAACTTTAATAAAAGAGTGACGACTTGCTTACTTTCAAGATCGTCTTGGAGATCCCACCAAGTGGCGCCTCGAGACTCGTCAGGCTCGGCGTATGGACTCCACTGATGGGAGCCATATAAGATGAGTTCACGTGTTGCAGCGTGAAGTTTTGTGGGTTGATCGAGTAGCCAAGATGACAATATCTTCTGGCGAATCACTTCCTCGGTCGCAGCATTTATACGGAGGCCACCTTCTCGAGGCGCTCTGGCCTGGGTAACGGGCCACTTGAACTTGATCCCGGTATTCAAATACCTTGATACTGGCCCAGTGCAAAGGAACTGGTCAGCCAAGACAGCCAGATTAGTGACATATAGCATGGTCGGCGGCTTGACTTCAGTCTCCTTCCCATGGAGAATTCTCAGGAGGTCTGCGAAGACAGCCTCCCGACCGGCGGACCGTGTGGCCTCGTCATCGTCAATGATCTTGACCCATGGCAGCTCGCTTGCATCGAGCTCTCCGGGCTTCTCATTTCTAAGCGAGAGGGCCTTGAGACCATCGATAACTGTCCTGGCCTCCTCGAAGCGGGTGTCGCCAAGGAGGTTGTCAAAGTATTTAGACTGCTTCTTCAATATCGCAACATCTACTCGATATGCACGTCTGATGGTCGACTGCAGAAGCGGCCGAGGAGGAGCAGTCCTCTGACCCGGCCGTGGCTGTGTAGCCTTCCGGGTTGCGCGAAGTGTCTCTTTGGATGTCTCGAACGTGACATCCAGCACGGCGTCTCCCTTCGGAGCGGCGACGTCGATGACCTTGATGCTGTCCTTTGATGGACCCTCAGTTGCATCCCCATCTCCAGGGGCGGCTGAGTCTTCCATGGACGACGGCTCTGCTCGCTCACGATGGCATCTTGATTGGTCGACATGAACGAGATATCCAGCGGACTAACTTGTATGTGGCATAACGTTAGGATGAACAAAGACAAGAAAGATGCTTGGGGGTAAGCAACAGCGCTTTTCCCGCCTCGGGATGACGTAACAGCAGATGGCCTAACCACCAGGCTGCAAGGCTCGGCAGTGGCGTAATGCTGTGAATGAATGCAACTGGCCGGCTTATAGAGGGATGTGGTCACCTGTAAGGGTAGGCCTTGATAGGGCAATCAGGCCGTGAAGGATACAGAGACTACAAGATCGTTGTTACCTAACTATGGACTGGCGATCTCGGCGGTCCTTGAGCATTTGGTAGGGTCTCAGGGCGGACTCCGGTGCTGCAGCAGGTACTTTGCGACAGTGGGTGGGGGTCCGGGCAGGCATTGTCGGGTTGCTTTTCCGGTCCCAACATGCGCTGCCAAGGATGCTGTGATCTTCAAGCTGGGGGAACCATCTTCAACAATTGTCTCAACTAAAAACCTGTCTTCTTTGTGTTAGACTACACTTTCAGTTGTCTACTGTTCCGATCTCGATCCATCTCGTGAAAACATTCTATTCGGCTTCCTGCCACCCATTTTAGCATCGTGGTTTAGGCCAAGCATTGTGTAAAGCCGCCACGGTCCTGTACGACTCCGCATCTTCCCAAATACGTCAACCTACAGTTAGTCCGACTTCGCGATATCGATATTTATCTCTGATGGCGGTTGCGACTTGCGCAATCTTTCTACGGCGGCTATCTCTTCTATCTCTAGCAGCTGTTGCTGCGAAATCGGGGCTTTGAGGTCTCTTCAGCTTGAACAATGGCACCTACGCGCGGAGCTACGAAATGGGCCACCAGCATGACCCAGGCGAAGGGTCAGCGCGCGGGTGAAGCTCCTGCGCTGCTTGACGCCTTCATGACTTTCGTCGCAAGCTTCTTCCACGGTTCAAGTCGCCAGCAGAAAGGGAGACTGCTCAGGACAGCACCAGCTTTGAGCCAAGCGCAAGAACGGAACCGCCGACGATACCATACGACGCGGTGCCTTCTCGCCAATGACACGGTGACCTACTCGGCGAACAACAGCCACCGCCCTCGTGGCTTTCACAACTACTTCGTGACGCATCTACCGTCTTCGTCCCTGCATCCCGACTCCCGCTCTTCGGCAGGGCCTCACCACAAGCTCCCTCGAGCCGCCTCCACACCGTACACCCCAGTCCCCGGGGGCTCACCGGCACCAGCTGCGCCGCCGAATATGCCCTCCCGCGACCTGACTGTCGTCCGCATCCCTCTGCGCAGCGCCAAACATCACTTCGGTGCGTTCAGCGGCCGCGGTACACGCGTGTACAATGAGGACACAAACCAGGCGGGGACGATTGACATCCCCGCCTTTGCCAAGCGGGCACCGATGAGTCTGGTCCGCAGCAAGAAGGACTCTCGGGAAGCAACTACGGCAGACAGCTCTTTTGGTGACCCGCAGATATTCTACTTTGGAGTGTTCGACGGACATGGTGGCAGTGAGTGCAGCGAGTTCCTGAGGGAGGAGCTTCATGCGTATATCGAGGAGGCCGCCGAGAAGTTTGAGCTTGGCAGCAGTTTGCGGAAGAAGCCAAAGTCAAAGCCGGCAAGTGCACTACAGCCTGGCAAGGTTGAATCGCCAGATGTTTTAGTTGACTCGTCGGAGGCAAAGCATGAAGCCCTTGAGCAAGTCGATTTGAAGAGTGGCGATCAGGTCAAGGAGGAGCTGAACCTCCCAGAGACGAGCAACGGCGGTATCGTTGGGCAAGCGGCCCGGGAACCGCGTTTGGAGAGTGCGGAACCGGCACCTGTTCAGTCAGACGTCCCCAAGGCTGCTGATCTTGAGCGCGACCTAGTCACCGAATATAGGAACACCATTGGAGGCTACTTCCGCCGCTTCAAGCCGCCGTATTTCCACTTGGATACAGATCCCGAGGCTCCGAATCCGAGACCCCCAGTGACCATCGAGTCGGTTCTAAGCTATGCATTTCTCCGTGCCGATTTAGATTTCGTCACTGCACAAGCCCGCAAGCCAGATCCGGATGATCCCTATGTGTCCGACAATCCACTGAATACGGACGAGATCCTGGGCGCTCCGCATCACCATCGGTCTGTGCAAGGCATTGGAGGATCTGCACGTTTCAAGGGCGGCTCAACGGCTTCGATCATACTCATCTCGACGCCGACACCCGCGCCGTTCTGGCATCCAGCAGCGCACAGCACGATCGTGGTGGCACACGTCGGTGACACCCGCGTCCTGCTGTGCGAGACGGCCACGGGTCTCGCCATGCCCTTGACCTCGGACCACCACCCCTCCTCGCCTCAGGAGTCGCGGCGCCTGACGCGCTACGCTGAGAGCCTGGTGACGGACTCGTTTGGCGAGGAGCGCATCAGCGGGCTGGCCAACAGCCGCGCGTTCGGCGACGTGCAGAGCAAGCGCATCGGCGTGTCCGCGGAGCCGGAGATCACGCGCGTCGACCTCGGCCCCGCGCAGTACAGCTTCGTCGTGCTCATGAGCGACGGCGTGTCCGGCACGCTGAGCGACCAGGAGATTGTCGACGTCATCAAGGAGGCGCGCACGCCCGAGGAAGGCGCCCGCGCCGTGGTCGAGTATGCCACGGAGATCTCCTCCGAGGGCGACAATGCCACCTGTCTTGTGGTGCGGCTTGGGGGCTGGGAGAGACGCAGCGAGGGCGGCCTGGGTAGCTTGGGGACGAAAGAGATCCGGGATATCAGGAGGGCGGAGGCGCTCGATCCGCGGAGAGGGAGGAGGTGATGAACATGTAATATTCGATGCCATTGCTCTTTGAGCATTTCATTTTTGTACGGAGATATGATACGCATAGCTTGTGGCGGAGTTCTCTAAAGGCATGTCACTACCACTCATCTAGCATTGATATTATTTGCATATAAAGCACACGAATACACTGAGCGAACAATGTCTCAGGCGACCAGAATTCCATGAATTGAAATGTATCCTTTTGTTGCATTGAGCTTGTTATCCAGCTAGCCCCATACTTCGGCTCTCGATATCGACTCTCTCAACCCCTTTTTTGTTTCTCTCAATGACTCGTCCCCCAAGACCCTAAAGCAATTTCCGCCCCCTCCGAATCCCACAACTCCCCCATAACCTTTCATTTTCATTGATCCTTTACCACCTATGTCCTTGTCCCGGGTACTGATTCCAATCATCCTGCCTCGGCGGCGGGGGCCCTTGTCCCTGCCCATATGGCGGGTATTGCTGCGGAGGCTGCTGGCCGTAGCCTGGGCCTCCGTATCCCGGTGGTGGCGGGGGTCCGCCTGGCTGTGGTCCACCCCAGCCCGGTCCGCCGCCCCATCCTCCAGGCGGCGGTGGCGGCTGGCCGTACTGGCCCGGCGGAGGACCTTGTGGAGGATACTGGCCGTACTGCTGCGGAGGTGGTGGGCCTCCATAACCTCCTGGTCCACCGTAGCCGCCAGCATAGCCACCAGGGCCGCCGCCGCCGCCGCCGCCGTATTGCTGCTGAGGTGGAGGCTGCTGCTGACCACCGTAGCCACCACCATATTGCTGTGGCGGAGGTTGTTGCTGGTACTGGTTCGACTGTTGCTGCTGATATTGGGGTCGAAGGTAATCATCTGCAAGGCCGCCCGTGTATTGCCCACTACTTTGTTGATTCGACTGACTGTATCCAAACTGGGGTGACGGGGGCGGAAGAGCAGGCGACGGCGCTGGAGATTGTGACATGTACTGGTTCTGGGGCCTGCCATCGTGACCATCCATGGCCTCGAGGTCTCGGGTCTTGACTTGGGACCAGAGCGAGCCAGCAACCTTTCCGTGGCCGACCTGGCCCAGGGCGTCTTGCCATCCGCCAAAGGTGCCGTGGGAGTGGCCATGACCACCGGCTTTGTTGCTTCCCGTCAGGATGTGGTTCTTGCCGTTCTTGACTGACTCGGAGCCGAGGACACGGTCAAGCTCGTGGCGGCGGGGATACTCGTTAACCCAGAGGCGCACAGTCTCGAACATGTCCTTCTGGATCTGAATGTGATCGTTACGCGCAGCAGGGTGGTGGAAGGCGCGGAGGACGTCGTTGACGACCTCGTCGACGGGGACGCCGGGGTGCTCCCACGCATACAAGATTCGCCTGTTCACTTTCGTTAGCTGAGGAAGTTATGGTGAAAGATGGGAAGGGGCTCTTACGGAACGGCATATTGCAGGATGGTGGATGCAACTCTTCCCGCGCAGGGGTTGAGAATGTTTGTGAAATGGTCCTTAGAAAGCATGGAGTGGGTGGGATTGGTGCAGTGAGAGTCCTTCCAGGGCTCGAGTTGGGAGTTGGAGCTGGCATTGATGACCCCGGAGGAGCCATCCTTTAAGACCTTGGAAACCTGATTAATGATCGGTCTGACGAAAGGCGCAAGGAGACCAAGCACGAAAGCTGTCAAGGTCTCGCTGATGTGATCGAGCAGCTTTTCCAAACCAGGGATTTTGGATATGGTGTTGTTGATGGACTTGACGATCTTATCACGGAACTCCAGAATTGGATAAATCTTTCTTGCGGTCTCTACAGGGTCAAAATCCGGGCTCATGCCGGGGATTTGGTTGGCATTGCCTCGTGATAGAACTTGGCTGTTCTGCTGCTCCTGCATTTCCGATTGCCGCTTAAGATCCCGAGCTGTCGAGGCGAAGCCACCACCAATGCTGGGAAGCTGGGAAACGAGCGAGATGAAGTCATCTCCTCCAGAGGACGATAATCCAAAGAGACCTCGGTCCCGGGTAGCGCCACCGCCTGAACCTTTCTCGGCATTCTTAAGGGCAATATCGACCTCATCGACTTCGGATTGTGTGAAGTGGTCGGTAGCTTCTCCCAAGACCGAGTGCAAGAAGTCGACAGCGCCGAAAGTGCCAGTGACCAAGGGGTAGACTCGCTTGCCGTGCAAATTGATCTGAGATGATGTGCCGCAGTGGGGAAATACGCCTTGGTGCCCGAGTTCGATCAGCGCCAATTCACAATAGTTGCTGTGGGCGCTGAAGTCTTCCATGCAGTGTAGAGCCTGGCCAAGACATCGAAGAGCTTCGCAAAGGTCGGCTTCCTTCCCAGAAGAACCTCCCGCGCCGTTGGTATACAGCCGTCCATAATGAATACTGCGGGCAAAGCTGAAGCGTAAATATCCTGCGCTGGTAGCCCATCCTCCCTGTTCATTCGCAATGTAGTTCTTCATACCAGTGCGCGAGTCGATTTCCGTTTCTCTAGCTTCGACGGGACCTCTCAACCGGGGATCGAATTTGCGTGCGTCCATGTTGTCCGCATAACCAAGAGGGTTGTCGATGTGCTCCTCAGGTCGATAAACACCAAGACGCTCCTCAGTGACCTCGAACTCCTCAGTCGCATATCCGAATGCCATGAAGGAAAGCACCCAGACCAAGATCCTGATGGTTGCTGCATTCACGCCCTTGAGACTTCCAACATCGACAGCTTGCGAATAGTCCCTGAGCCAATTTCCAAAGTAGGTCCTCTGGACCATCATGGTGGTCCACTTCTTGCCGTGAAGAAAGGCGACCGTCTTGAGCATGTCCTCGATATCGCCATGCCTCCAATTGTGGCCCTCGACCTGGGCGATCGAGGGAATGTTGCCTGCGCCGAATGCTGCAGCTTTGCCGGGCATCAAGGCGAGGATGACGCAGAACACCAGCACGGTGGTGCCCCACCTCATGCTGAGGCCGGCCATCGTCTGTGATATCGAGAGATGGGTCTTTCGGCTGGATTTACGAGGATGGCAGTTTCGGTAGATAAGGAGAGGCCTGAGCTTGTCACACGACACACAAGAAAGAAGAAGTCTCGAATGTGTTTGTAGCTTGGAGATGGAGGTGGAAGATGGTTTGTTCTTAAACCCCCCCCAACGTAGCACCCCCGCCGTCATCATGGAGGGGCAGCTTAGGAGCCGTCACCCGCTAGCCTCCTACCTTACCTTAATTGCCTGCATATCGAAGGCAGAGTTGGTCGCTAAAGCAGGCTGTTAGCGCTCTCATTGGGCGTGTTGGGCTAGCAAGTTGAGCTGAGAAGAGCATCACAGCCACAAGTTGGTATTGCTGGCTTCCCAAGGTGTGCCGTCTTTGCCATACGCCAAGTCAGCTATGACGATCCCTCCCTGGACAAGCCACTCGCTGATGGTGGACGCGCCACAGGCTCCCTCCCTCTCATCCATCTATCAAACTGCACTATTCCATTTCCTTACTTACCTACCATCACTTTGACGTCTCCCTATAACGTTACGGGAAAGAATGAATGCCAGATTGGCTTCGTGTGCTGACGAGAGAACTTACACGGGATTCCGTACATTTTAGATCGTGTTTCCCCACGATTCTAATGTAGGCACTGTAGATACTCTCCTTACCTAGCAACACCATTCTGTGACTGCTAGAATACGATACCATCGTCCATCCCTCTTGTGAAGCATGTGAATGCGCAAGCAGGCCACTCAACTTGGAATTCGGCGCCTTTTGTAGCTCCTGAGCTTCCGAGAGATGCAGTGAAATAATAAAGGAGCGAGAGGAGCTGTCAGGCCACATGGAGGCCACAAACGATCTGTTTTGCTCGAGGTAACGCCACCATCTGCCGACCGTTTCCCACCTTGGGCCCGCTAATTTCGCATTCCCGGGCGAACTGAATTTGCGCGTCTGGCCGCCCGCACGAGCCGGGCTAGTCTACTCGAGTACCACTGCAAGGGAACCCCTAATCGCGAAAAAGTGCATCTGCATTTATACATGATGCCTCACCACCTTTCCACCTAGGACCCTTTTCTGTTCCTGGTCTGTGTCTGGATTGCGTCGATCTCAGATTGACTCTCTTCGCTCCTTCTCCATAGCTACTCTCCTTCATTCAGTCCTCTCCGGACTGGCTCTTGTCTTCCGTGCCTGGGATTTGTTCCGTCCAGACGTTGGTGTCTTTCGGTTTCGCCTCCTGTCTCTGCTTCGCGTTTTCTCCGAGCATATCAACCCCATCTCCGAGCCTTCCGCCTCCTTTCAGATCACAGCCAATATGCCTTCTCGTACCCTGCCGACCTTCACCCTCGCAGAGGTTGAGTCGCATAACAATGAGAAATCTTGCTACGTGACTGTCGGCAAGAGTGTCTACGATGTCACCGACTTCCTCGACTCCCATCCCGGCGGCGCGGACTTGGTCCTCGAGTATGCCGGCAAGGATGTCACCGAGATCCTGAAGGACGAGGCATCGCACACGCACACCGAAGCTGCCTATGACGTTCTTGACGATTCTCTCGTCGGATTTCTTGCGTCGAAGGTGGCTGCGAACGGAAAGGCTGTCAATGGGAAGGCGGTGTCGACCACCGTCGACGAGGAGGAGCTAAATGGCAATGGGGAGTCTGTACACCCACGAACCGGCATGTCTCGGCCTGAGGACTTGGAAAAGGAGACGGATTACGACAGTGACTACAAGAAACACAAGTTCTTGGACTTATCTCGTCCCCTCTTTCCTCAGGTTTGGTTCGGCGGATTCACCAAGGAGTTCTACCTCGACCAAGTTCATCGCCCGAGACATTATAAGGGCGGCCAGTCAGCTCCTCTGTTTGGCAACTTCCTTGAACCTCTAACCAAGACCCCGTGGTGGATCGTTCCGACTTTATGGTGGCCTCCTATCTGCTATGGGACATATCTTGCCAGTCAAGGCTTCGACAACAAGTTATATCTGGTAGCATATTGGATATTCGGTGTCTTCTTTTGGTCGTTGATTGAGTACACGTTGCATCGATTTCTGTTCCACCTGGATTAGTAAGTTCGACGTAATGAGTCCGCCTTTAAATCGAAACTGACAGTCTACTTTAGCTATCTCCCCGATAATCGAGTCGGCATAACTTTGCATTTCACCCTTCATGGCATTCACCACTACCTCCCCATGGACAAGTATCGGCTTGTCATGCCTCCAACGCTGTTCCTTGCCCTGGTCGGTCCGTTCTGGAAGCTGGCCCACGCCCTCTTTTACTGGGACTGGAATATCGCAACTGCAGCGTTCTGCGGTGGTATGTTCGGATACACCTGCTACGACATGACGCACTACTTCTTGCACCATCAGAACCTGCCACTCTGGTACAAGTCGCTCAAGAAGTACCACTTGGAGCACCACTTCTTGGATTACGAGAATGGCTTTGGCGTCACTAGCCGCTTCTGGGACAGAGTCTTTGGCACTGAGATCATCAATCCTCCAGTTGTGAAGACCAAATAAGTCTTGTCAAGGAGAGAAGCCACATGATGGTCACCTGGTTACGCAGGTGAGGAAGGGGTGTACATATGTGATGCGACACGAAACGGAATTGTCATTGGAGTTACAGGAACAAGGGGCGGAGAAAGGCATTCAAATTTGACGTCGCAGTCTGGGAAGATATATACTAATACCCCCCTCGCACAATACGCCCGTTAGGTACGGTAGATAACTGTTAATACTAATTTATCATTTCAATCATCTCTTCCTTTCTTTTGTGAATATGAACTACCTCAATGTGTTATTGAAGGAAAAGCCAGGCTAAACCCCCTAAGCTTGGAAGAAGAACTTGAGTCATGGTCTTATTACTGTGGCAAGGGCTGTAGGGTACACATCACAGCCATAGCAGTTGACTCCGAACTTTTGAAAGATGCTCTCTCACGTTGTGTCAGAATGCCAGACATTCAAATTGCCATTATGCATTTGTCAAAAGATCATTATTGGCCGCGGTCTAGCAAGGTTTGAAACTCGAATGGACGAGTTGAATGGTGAAGGAACAGTGCCAAGACATCTCACGTGCCCTGAGCGCTTTCACTAGCTTTGTATTAATTAGGCTCCGCCTCCTCAATCCAGCATGACTTGTCCGCAAATTTTCGATCTGCCCAACCTCCGTCCCACATCTCGCTCACTCGACCGCCTGACTTACCGACTGGGGACACTTCGACAATTTTGACTTGCCCTTTTGCACCTCATATTTTAGTACATACCCGAGAACTCACGCGACGATGGCATACTACGATGTGGAGGCGCTCTTGGACGCTACTGCGAATCAGGATACCCCGAAGGAACAGAGCACCCCTGCCTCCGCGAACGGCGAAGCCCACGCGAACGGAGATCAGCACGGCGCAAGACGAGACCGCGACCGACCCCGCGAAAGCAGCCGCGATCGTGACCGCAAGCGTCGTGATCGCAGCAGCCATCGCGGCTCGCCCGATGGGACGCCGAGAAGTGATACCGGAAGCCACAGAAGTAGGAGAAGAAGTCGGAGTCGTGAGGATTCTGGCCGACACTCACGTCGTCACAGAGGAGACGGAGACTACTACCGAGGCGGCCGTGGTGGCCGGAGCCGCTCTCGTTCTCCAGGCTCGAATCGCTATTATCGCCCTCGAGATCGCAGAGATCGTGATGATGACCGTAGCCACAGAAGAGACCGTCCGCGCGAGAAAGAAGAGGAGCGCCGCCCACGCTCCCGCGATGCCACGCCTCCGGCCCTGACCGAGGACGAGCGCGATCGCCGTACCGTTTTCGTCCAGCAGCTTGCTGCTCGTCTTCGAACCCGAGAACTCAAGGAGTTCTTTGAAAAGGTCGGTCCTGTGGCTGAAGCCCAGATTGTAAAGGACCGTGTCAGCAACAGATCCAAGGGGTACGTATCACTTCCATGATTACACTACATAATGATGGCTAATACGGATTAACAGAGTTGGCTACGTTGAATTCAAAGCCGAAGAATCCGTCACTGCTGCTCTTCAGCTCACAGGTCAAAAACTCCTAGGTATCCCCGTTATCGTCCAGCTCACCGAAGCTGAGAAGAATCGCCAAGTTCGCAACTCAGAAGCCTCTGGAGGACACCCTAACTCGATCCCGTTCCACCGCTTGTACGTTGGCAACATTCATTTCAGTATCACTGAGCAGGATCTTCAGAACGTTTTCGAACCCTTCGGTGAGCTCGAGTTTGTTCAGCTCCAGAAGGACGATGGTGGACGCAGCAGAGGCTATGGCTTTGTTCAGTGAGTAACTCTTTGGTTTGATACGAGTCGTGCATTTGCTAACGATATTTTAGGTTCCGCGACGCTGGTCAAGCCCGTGAAGCCCTAGAAAAGATGAACGGATTCGATCTAGCTGGTCGACCCATCCGTGTCGGACTTGGAAACGATAAGTTTACCCCTGAGTCCACTGCCAATCTTCTGCAGAGATTCCAGGGCCAGAACCAACAGTTTCAGGGATCCGCATTTTCCGGCGCTGGTGGACGAGGGCCGCCGACCTCGAATTTCGATCGTGCTGGTGGCAGAGACAATGAGAAAGGCGGCGGTGCGAGTGCCCTTGATGATACCGATGTTGCTGGTGTCAACTTTAACAACTACAGCCGAGACGCCCTGATGAGAAAACTTGCTAGAACTGACGAACCTACCAATGGAAACAATGACCGACAGATTCTGAAACCAAAGACAGAGACGAAGCCCCTCCCCGTCAACGTTAACATGGCTAGTCGCTGCGTTGTGCTACACAACATGTTCGATCCTGATGAGTACGTTATCAACCCCAATTTCTATATACACATGATTGCTAACTGAAGTCTAGGGAGGAAGGAGAAGAATGGATGAAGGAGCTCGAGGACGATGTTCGCTCCGAGGCCGAGACCAAATATGGTCACGTCGTCCACATCGCTCTTGATGCGAACTCCAAGGGTGATATCTATCTAAAATTCGATAAAGTCCAAGGTGGTGAGAACGCTATCAAGGGTCTGAATGGTCGTTATTTTGGCGGCAAGATGATCACTGCTGCACCTGTTGTCGACGCAGTCTACAGCAGTTTGTTCTCACGCTCCAAGGCTATTTGAGACGCTAATGTGGGCACGATAACATTGGCTCTAGGACCATCGTCATGGTCAGTCTCCCAATTTTAGATACAGAGGGACATAGCACTAACATTCTGAAGATGTGTGACGATTCAGCTACCATCCTACCATCCCTTTTCGGGGCCCTGCGCCAGGATGCAACCTCCACGACACGTCGTTCCGCCACTAAACGACCACATATGAGAGCAGAGAAGCAGAATTTCTATCTGGACACAGCAACAACAAGCTGGTAAAAAACCGCCACGTACAATACCACCACTGATTTTCCATAGTTTGCCTGTTATGGCGGTCACGGATCCCCCCTGGACAACAACTCACCACCCCCTTGAGCGAGGTGGCTGCAACGAGGTCAAGCTGTCTCCAGCATTGGGAATGCTGATTTTGTACATAGGACGCCATTGCCCCTTTCCACCTTTGCTAGATTGAATTTGGCGCTTTTGCCTAAGCGCTCTTCGCGTTGCATTGTTGGGACTTGCGTAACTTAACTCTAGTCACTCGCGCTCGATTTAGCTTTTAAGTAGAGCATGCATAGCAATTCGGTCGTATTGATATAACAATCCCCTGTCTTGACTCTGTTCTTTCTATGTGAGACGTGCCAATCTTTTGCATACTTGTGGTCTTGTGGCTGACTGCGGTCTCCGCTAATGCTCGTATTCATCTCGTTCCGGCCGAATCACTAGGTGGGACATGTGTGATTCTTCAGTCCTGGCAGATTCTTCCATCCTTAAACAAGTAAGCTGAATATGCCTGACCATGAATCGAGCCAAGTCAGAATTGGTCTCGTATCTTATCTTCAACCCCTTTGGGAGGCAAGTGCCCACCATTGTGTACACAACTCAACCTGCTAGTAATATGCACCATATTTCAGGTGGACTTGCGGCGCTTGGATCTGTTCTGAGTCCTCTCTCAACTTGTCACCTGGGTATCCTCACATCATCATTCCTCTAGTCGGTATACCACAACTCAAGCATCTACTTTGCTTTCCCAATCATGGTACTCTTGGTCCTTGTTGGCTTGAGCATCTTGTGGATATTCTCGGGATTTATGTCCATACCTCTAAGTTTCTCCAAAAGTTTTCATCGATTAACCATAAAATAAACGTGCTGACTCTCTCTTGTACCTCTGTTTTCCTATCCCCATGATGCGTCGCATTTCACGCTCGCCTTCCTCTTCAACGTCAAAATCTCCCCCTTGCGCTTCTCCTCGGTTACGCCTTCCCGAAGTCTAATGGTCTTGGGGCATACACAGCTTTCTTGATCCGAATTCTAGGTTTCGACCCCTGAGTGGCATCTATGTAAGCAATAGCAACACCGACCTGATGTCGTGCATGCCGTCCAGAACTTATACAACAACTATGCATTGTACAAGCCTCGGTTCTGTTCCACGCAACAGTTCCTCGACCCTACCAAATACATTACAGTCCATCCATACCGCAACCATACAAATTATTCGTCGTACGTGTCGATTACAGCAGTCTTTTCTCTTTCTCTGCCGCCGTCACGGATAGTGTTAAGGCAGGGGCTACCGGCAACCGACCCCATGTGGCGTCCGAGTACTTGGTATTCCAGCTACCTCAACCATTCTTTTTTCATCGTTCATCCAGACATCCCCCAATATATTCAAGATCACGACCTTCTTCTCGATCGGTCTATTCGTATTATGGCATTCGAACGTCGAGCCGGATACAGGAAAGCGAGCCACCTCTTCTTGACAGCCGGGGGTAGTTCGCGTGTGATTCGCGCTTTCCTCTACGGTGAAAAGTCTCGGCGGTTCAGGCCCCAAGCGTCATGATAAGTTCTTCGCTCAATGACTAGTATGAATCAGCGTTCTGCCTTTTGTCTTCAGTAATGGTAAGACTCACCTCTTGTCTGCGTCGGAGCATAGCCTCCACTTCAGCAACAGTCCCATGAGACGTTTGGAAATTGCTCTCTGTCTGATCGACTTGACTCCCCTTCAGCTTCTTTTCCCAGAGGCTTGTTGCTAAGGGCTTTCTGTGTTTGTCAATTGACCTGTCCACCACCCCCAATGCCGCTATACGTGTGGTGCTTGACGACTTTGGCCTTTGGCGGGATATAAGTCTCGATTTTCACTGTTTGTCCACGGCGAGCTGAAGTTAGCTGGACACAACTATACTGCAGGCATGTGGAACTTACTTCAACGGCGCTGCTGAAGTGTTTTCAGCCAGGTATTATCAGCCAAGAAGATCACGATGACATCGAAAAGGATCTGGTGAGCAGCTTGTTGCAGCTTTCCGTCTTGAGACTGGCACATCACTAGCCTAGGGCATCTCATCTAGAAGATTGGACTTCAACTAGAAACTGTCAGTACACAAGGTCCAGGCTTCCTTTGGGACTCTTCTGAATGTATGCTTACCTGAGTCTCTAGCTAACCAGGGAAGCGGAGAGCTTCAGGTCCAGCAACCTTCAAGATTTCGATTCAGTTTACATGCTGTTACTGGTAATCGGCGACAGCTACTCGGGAAGTGCGTTCAGCCCACGGCCCAATTCAGCAACTTTGACTGACGCCTCTGGTTCATGGGATGCTATAACACCACTTTCAGCAAATACTTGAGATGGGTGGGCTATGGGTATGATCGAACCTACCGTGCTTTTCCTCTGCCTCGATGAGATATATACGCAACAGCCCGAATCCCCCTTCTTTGTCAACAGTTCAGAGCTTCTCTCTTTCAGCTATTAGTCTTCACAAGCAACTCTAGCCCTTTGGTGGTTGTCATCATAGGAGCAATCTTCCTTACTAAGGGGATTTCCTGTGACCAGTTCATTTTCCACAGGACCTATCTCAAGACAATAGTCTCGAAGAACTGGGCTCTGTCTGTTCTGGTGCTTTCCGCCTATGACATCGCCATAACTCTAAGCCGCCTTGGGACCCGCTTGGTGTTGTTTTGATGACATCGTGCGATGTCATACCCTTCCGCAGGTTACTATCGACACCCTTAAACTGTATTCCGCCTGCTTCTACATCTACTCAGCCGCACAACTTGGCCCCACGCTCTTCATTCACTGTTTACCTCTTGGAGGGGTATAAATACCTCCAGCTCATCCTTCTTCTTTGCCTTCTTTTTCTTCTCTTCTTCAACCATTTACCTCTCTCTTCCCCATCTTCCACCACCGTATCTTACCTTCAGATATCCCGAATAACGTCTCGAAGACGAAAAACACGTAAGTACCGCCCTTATCATCATCACTTGCATTCTACTTGTGGTCTCCGTACTAGTTACCTGAGCTGGGTTGCCGGGATCATCGTCCCCAATCCTTTGGAGACCTTTGCCCCATCTCAGCACATCAATTTCAAACCGCGTCGATCATTCATCACTACTGCGTTGCTTGTAATCGTCTCGAAAGTATTAACCAGTCTTTACAGCAAACTGCAAAACCTAACGCGAGTCCGCGATAACTGCTTAGCAGGTGAGTGATTTTTGGAATTCATCACGTCGAAGCCGCGTCGTTGCAATCATTGTCACGCATATCCACAGATTGTCATTTGCGGCAACTGGAAATCTCAGGTGCCAGACATTGACATCGCGAAACAACACCATATCATATTCAATCCTGCTCGTTTTATATCTTGTTTATATGGAGAGCACGAAGCTGACATTGCCCTTAATAGAGCTAGTAACACCCGGAAGTGTCAGTTGGTGGTGAGTGGTTCAAAATCCCGGTCGTCTATGTCCGCCCCCCTTTTTTGCAATCTAGCACGCGGACCTTTTTTTTTTTTTTTTCCGACAACACGAATTCCCAACTTTGACATCACCCGGGTGAGAAGCGTTGCTCTCACACGGAATATACACGTCTCTGAACAAGTGTTCTTGACATATGGATGTCAGTTATTGAGCTTGTGAGAACCTATGTTCCGTGACGGAGAACCTAGTCTTGACAGCCGTCGACTACGTTGGCTAAACTCAATGGAACTGTCTCTCCTGGAAGTCTTCGTGCCCTCAATATTAGGCAGACAAGTAAAGGAGGTCCGAGTTCAGCATTTACATTACACCCTTCCACCACCCTTCTCCGCCAACCGATCAACTTTCTCCGTCCGAACTTCTCTTTGCAGACTTTCCTAGTTCCTGGCTCAGATAGGCAATGCCTTATTTGGAAAGAAAACGTCTCCTGCCAACAGCCTCTTGAAAAATTTTCCTCCCTACTTAACCCATACCTTTTTTCTTAACCCACCTTCTCTTCTTTCCGCTTTCATCTATCCCCAAACAACTTTGGAGCACAAACAGCTCGCATCAACGACCTTTGCACCCTGGCGCATCTACAAAATATCTATTCTAGCTCCGTCTGCACTCGGGATACTGTTTTTTTCCCGGCGTTTTGCTTCTGCGTTTTGCCATCTGCTTTCTGCGTTTGGGTATTGCGTTTTTTGCGGCGTCTGGTGACAGTATTCTAATCAACACTTAGCGACACTCAACAAACATGTCGTCTCACGTTTCTGAGGCATCAAGCGAGAGAGGAGGCGGCGCTCCTCTCTTCTCCCCCCCTCATTCGCCGATTCAAGAGCTTGTCCAGACAACTGACCATAATGATCATCAAGAGGAACTCGCCTCTGATGCTGCGGGTGCCGCGTCTGCCGGTGCTCTAGTGCCATCTGGCACACTTGCGGTAGGTCATCACATTTGCATCAACGCCATTCCTGTCATCTGACGAAAACTAACAAATATAGGACGTATCTGCAATGTGTCAGGAGGCACAGGCAAGGATTATGACCTTGCAGCAGGCGGTCGGCCGACAGCCCGGCGTAACAGGCCAGCTGAATTCCCTCATCAATAACGACTTGCGCATTGTGGCGCAACTGTTTATCTCCGCACAGCACATGTGCAACACCGTGGACATTCGATCCGACCATGAGGTCACGGACCTCAAGGAGGAGCTTGTCCAAGTCAAACAGCAGTTGGCGCAGGTTGAGCAGCAGCTCACCGACGTTGAGGTGCAGCTTCAGACTGCGCAACGTCGCCTGGCAGATGCTGAGTCTCTGGTGATCGAAGCTGAGCGAACTCAGCAGGAGTCTGATGCCGGCTTCGCCTCTTATGTTGAGGGCCTCAAGAAAGAGTTGTCCAGCAAGGAAGAGATCATCGAGGCATGTGTTTCGCACCCTAAGTAGACATTAACTTCATACTGATCTGATGTGTAGGGTCTTCAACTAGAGATCAAGGAGCTGAAGGAGCTGAAAGATCGAAAGCAGAAGGCTCCACGTCTATCCTTCTCTTCTGGAACGACTGCAGCGGGCTACAACTCAGCGTTCGTATCGGACGATGAAGCCCCGCCGGTTCCTCGCCTGAATCCTGATCTGAAGGTCCCCGAAATGACCGAAGAGAAGAGAAAGGCAATGGAGAAGATCTGGGAGAGCAAGGCAGGAGTGAGAAAGGAGTTCCTTGATCGCTTGAGATCTATCAAGGATGAGTCCCGCGAGCCTAGCGTACCATTCGACCTTGAGGCCATTCGTCGCCGTGCTGCTCTCAAGGGTAAGCACACGATTCGAACCGAGACCCCTCCTCATGGTGGTCTCTTCCCTCCTCCGAGTCGCAGACCCCTTATTCCGACTGCAAGAGAGTTCCGACCAACCTTTACCTCACCTGAGTCTCAGGCACTTTTCTCTCCTCAATATCCTGCACCTTTTGCCGGTCCTTCAAATGCGCTCGTTCCCCGACGCGAAGATGACTTCATGTTGGATCCCGAGGCCAAGCTCTGGAAGGACCAGTTCTATCAGCAATTCACTACGATCATGGGCTGGTTGCAGCGTCACTGTGGAGAGGTCTACCCTGACGTGACGGCACGTATTTCCAGATCCCAGAGCGGCCTTTGGGGTTTCATGTGCGGTCTAACCTATCCAACGAACCCTACTGCTGGTCATAGCCACGCGGTTCATATGCTCAACGACCCAGTCCTGCGCCCCCACTTCCTCCTGCGTGCCGTGCTTCAGTATCTTGAGCAGAACGTTTGGGGCTTGAATATGTGGCTTGGATTCGACCGCGACCAAGATCGAGCTCTTCTAGAGGCTAACTCTCGCGCCGAAGGTCATGGATACCCGCAGGCTGAGAGACAGTTTGGTGTCGACACGCGCAAAGCTATCATCCAGCAGTTCATGAAGTCCACCGCGTTCCCGAGATTCCAGCATTTCAAAGGAACCGACGTTGTTAACCGCCTGAAGGAACTTACTGGTCCGTTCTTGAACCCCCTGGTGCCAAAGCAGGAAGCGTCACTGGATCTCCACGTCATCACGACCATGGCTATGGAGTTGTCTACCAAGATGGTCACTTCTCGATTGACCTTCAACATCTCCTGGAACGAGTGCGGTGTTAAGTTTTCTGACGACATGCACATCTCGCTGAATAACCAAGCTCCTGGCGTGACCTTGCAGTTTAAGCACTACCGCATCATGCTAGTTGTTACTCCCAGCATCAGCTATCGCGATGACACCGGACGCAGCATCATGGCACGAGGGGTCACCAAGTCCCAGGTTTTGGTGATGCAGTGAACCATATGATTTGCAACCACGTCGAAACGATCTCCCAACTTCTGTGAGAGCTCTCGACGATCATGCTCCCAGCCACTTACACTAGGGCTGCACTTATCTTCTCACCTTTTCGATTACGACTGTCAACGTTTCTTCTTCACGTATCAGGCTCGGTTTCATTTTCTCAGATGGTTCTGCTGTGGATTTCAAATTCTCATTCTTTCACTTTCAGTCTTACCGACGAATAAGTGTCGACGAACCGCCACTCGATCGACCGATACTGACATCCTGCTTTCTTATTTGACAATTTCCATTTCGCGCCAGTCTCCTTTTTTGAGAGATGCTAGTTTGCATCCAATTTTCGCAGTCAACTCAACATTTCGGTTTCCTTTCTCGTCATCATGAGGGAAGCACTTCATACGGCTACAGTCCAAGGATTTCACCCTTGGCTTCGTGTTCTTTGCTCGGCCTTCTCATCAACCGACCGATGCGATCTAGCTGTCGCATCGTGGAACCTGCCGCTGCTCTCTTCTTTCTTCCATCACCAAAAAGTTTCTGGTTTTCCTTTTCAATCTTGACGGACGGAACACATAACAGTTTCGCAGTCGAGCTCTTGATGAATCAGCCGTAGAAGATCATGTCTGCTCGGATGTCACGAGAGCTTCACCACACTCACAACCCAAATAGTCGTCCTCACAGCTGGCGGATACTTGATCTGCTACAGTGGACTCGATTTTCTCCACAATTTGACGCACTTCTTGGGAAACGGCTGGAGAACTCACCGCCCGGTCACAACAGAGTACTCGCCTTCCTTCGAGGTGACGGTTTCCCCTTATTTGCTACATCATCAATTCCCGGTTGCTTACCCACGAAAAACGGATTACGGATCACGGATTACGAACAACAATTTATGATTGCTATGGACAGATGAACGTTTGGTCTGAGGTATTGACGTCTCACGAAGTCATGATCTCCAGGATGATGGGGGAATGGATACCCATTAGAGATAGCTAGTTACCAAACAGAGTTGTTATACCTGGATTCGATTATTGATTGTGACATGCAACTTCGTAGTAAACAATGTGACAGCCCTTTGCAGATCGCTGCGACACGAAGGAGAAGATTGTCAACGGTGGATCGTCCTAGGGTCAGTCTACTGACCTCGCCTTACGGGTTTTCTGGGAGTCTGCGCCAGATCATGGCGAACGAATCTAGTTTCATTATCACGAGGCTGTAGCATGTCACTTAGTGTCAAGCCAGATTATGAGTTTGGTTTCGTGATTATTTTGATCTATGAAGTACTTCTATCCGCCGCCTGATTCTTGACCTGGGTATCAGAATACATTACAATACACAATAGAAAGAAGAGTGATCGGGTAGAATGATGGACCACCGAAACGCCGAGACTGATCGTCTTTCTGATCCATTCTAGGCAGACCGTCTATTTCGCCCTAGAGAAGCCATCTCTAGCATGAGTGTTTTAGCCCCTGAACGCCAATTGCAAGAAATAAGTGTAATCTGGAGCCATGTTGCCCCTTAAGGCTGCAGTAGACCGCTTCGGGCGCTTCTCCTGTCGGCGCTCAGTCGTGTCCTGTCTAGGCGCTTGACGACGGCGCCGAGGACGGTCTTGAGGATGCCGTCGGCAGCGAGCACGGGGACGTTGCCGTCCGCATTTCTAGTGAACGTCACGGTGTCGACCATGTCGCGGACACCGCCGCCGTTGGCAGTCAGGTCGTCATCGAGGGCCTTGAGGGCCTCGCGGGCGCCGGCCTCGTTGCCGACCTGGAAGAACTGCACACCGACCTGGTGCGGCGGGGCGTCCCAGTTGTCGAGCTTCTTGGCGGCGTTGACGAGCACGCTCTCCGGGTCGTCGGAGGCGGCGCCGTCGGTGATGACGATGATGTTGATGGGCTTGACGCCGCTGTCGTCCGAGTCACCGGATTGGTCGATGCCCTGCTTGTAGCGGTTCAGGTATGCCTTGAGGATGTGCTGCAGGCGCGTGCCGGTGGGCGTCTGGCCCGAGGGACGCACGGTGGAGAAGATGCGGTTGACGGCGGCCTCGTCCGTGATGTTGGAGTAGCCGCCACGTGGCCTGCCGCTGCGCAGATCTGCAGGGGCTGAGGACATGTGGTTGAGGAAGTAGACGTCAATGCCGTCCTTGTCGTGTGCGACGCAGATTGGCGTGATGGCTTTGAGAGCCGCGTGGACCTCTCGCCACGAGCGGCCTGCCATTGAGCCAGAGTCATCAATCAGGAAGACTGTGTCGAATGATGAAAGGAAGGCGTAGGGGTCCTCTGGGGTGGAAATGCTGATGCCTGACATGTTTGAGGGTGCCGGCGATGCATCGCGCGGCTGATAGGCTGGGCTTGGCGGCAGCGTTGGGCCGGACTCTGCAGTCGGGCTCTCGCTGTAAGCTGGAGGAGGATCATTTCCTTTTTTCGTGGCGTTAGTTGCTGTCTCGATGCGAGGCATATCGGGTCTTGGAGGGCTGGACTCACTTGGTCGACGCGTGGGCGGCGAGGGGTTAAGAAAGGGGTTTCGGCCTTGCCTAGGTGGCTCTTGGGCCTGTTGCTGCTGCTGCTGCTGCTGCTGCTGCTGCTGTGTAGGAGAAGGCGTGCGGCTCATTCTCCTGTCACTGTCTGCAGAGGATCTGGAATCGTTGCTCTTGGATCTTGAGAGCTTGCCCCTGATGGAGCCGATGATGGATTTGCGTCCGCTGCTCATTATATTTGAATGGCCCGAATGATGGGAGTCTGTGTGGTGGAGGATGAACATGTCTCGAGCCATCTTCTCTTGAATTTATAGATGCGTGGATGACTCTTTCCTTGTTAAGAAGCACGGGTCTGTTGTTGCTGACTTGGGGCGAAACAAACTCTTTGTTTTATGGTTGTTGGCAAACCTTGATGTGGCGGGTTGTCACTGCTTCAAAGAATGATTGTGCTGGTTGTTGCTCTTGCAAGTGCTGACACTTGTCTTGTGATGGCAGGTCTGGAAACCAGGCCATAGCTAACAGTCACTTGAAAACCTTCTTTATATTCACTTTGGCCATCATGACGCTTACTTGCGGAGGAGCGAGTGGAAATGTAGTATTCAGCCTACTGAGGCATTGCTAAGGGGTGATGAGTGCCATATCCACGGGTTGAAAGACATCTAGCGGATGAGATGCTGTGTGCCATTTGCGCCTTACGGCTGGTAGAGTGTGGAGTATCGAGCGCCACAGACACTAGAGAAGTGGCCAATGAGACGCGATTATTGGGGGGCTATGGCGGTCCGGCAATTCAGCCTGATACGATATACTTTGCTATGCGACAGTTTGTCACCTACATTCTGGTACCTACCAACATTTTTGCCATCAAGGCAGACTGAGGGAACCTATGCGACCCATGGCCTCTATGGTTCGCCCCAGGGGCAGTGCACCTGCTTCAGCCATCATCAGGTACACACACTCAGACACACCACATGCTCGTGGAAACTTTACACGGCAAATGGTTCCCGCCGGGCTGGGACCTCACACAGCAAGTTGGTCCCTGGCATTTCGGATCTGGATCTTGCGACGACGAATTGGCCAATAAACGAGGTCATTTCTCACGGATGGCCGCCTCATGGAACGAACTGTTCTTCTACACTTCTACACCACCAAGTGGCCAGAGCCTCAGGGGCGCACGGGGCTTCTCCAACCTTGTTACCCACCGTGGTAGTGCCGCTGTAGCAGGTAGCACGGCCAGACACCTATGATCTGTTCCCAAGGCCACACACAGCCAGGACCATGACCCCATACGGGTTTGGCAAGGCGACAGACAGTCCGACAGCGATTCGGTCAAAGTGTCTTCTGACACCAAGGCTCAGACACTCTCACTGGTGCTACACAGTGGTTGATGACCTATTTGACCGAGGAGCACAGGTCGCAGTCACAAGGGCTCTAAGCTCGGCATTATCTAGGGCGACCACTCAGCCGGAGGGAGGAGGTGCTGGTCCACATCTCCGGCTGGCCGGCTAACGACGGTGCGCGTGAGGGTGCCAAGCCGGATCGGTTGCCGATGCTGAGTCCAGGGGCCTGACAACGACATGTCGGCATTGCTTGCGCCGAGCCTGGGTCCCCTAAGCCCTGGTCCCGGTGTCTCGATGCCCGGAGGACCGGCCGAGATCTCGGTGCAAGCACGGCTTAGGTGCAAAACATCGCCATAGCCGACTAGAAGCCACACATAGGGCTCACGAGTCCGCGCCGCAGTGGTTGGTCCCCCACCCGCCCACAACCTTGCCTGACTGTGCTTGCAGACAACTCCGTCATTCGCCTTGCTTTCTAGCTGGGCTTGCAGTTGGATCTGCCTCTCCTGATTGATCACTTTCGCCGACCGACGCTGCTTTGGGACACCCCGCCTGGTTTCTCGAGGCCACTTACATCGAGCGGGGTACGACATGCGGTGTAGGTGAAGGGAGACGCAGGTTGATCTAAGTGGGGGTGGAGGAGGCCGCCTTGGAAATTCCATCTCTTCAAATGGAGAGTCAAAGGCAGGATTCTTCACTGCCAGGGGTTTGCTTCAACGGTAGGACTAAGATGATGGGAGGCAGTGAATCTTTGAAACACATGCCGTGGCCAAGTCATGTTTTTTTCCGTTGCCAGCCAACACATCGCAGACTGTATCCGTGTTGCAAGTCGTCGATACAAGGTTAACATCCTTCGATGCATCGTTGCGATAATCAGCTGCGGGAATATCGTAATTATCCCTGGACATCGCCCGCCTGTAGAAGCCTATGATAATATGCGAGGCATTTAAGGTAATCGGACGGGCACGGTGCCATTGCAACCCAAAAGACCATCGGGTCCGCGCCGGCCACGCTATAAAAGCCTCCGCCGAAGTTTCGGTGTGAGAAAATAAGTTTTTGATCCCGTTGTTCCATTATCCTGTTTTCCGTCGCTTTTCCATTTCTTCGTCATTGAAACCGCCACGTCAACTCCAATAGGTGACTTGAAGAGATTGGGCTTGAAATTTTAGTTGGGCTCGAGCTTTTGCACTGCCTTGAAATCATATAAGAAAAAAAAAGTCGCGAGTTATCGGGCGCTAATTCGCAGTGGATCCTAAGCTTCCCGCACGTCTGTGTGGAAACATCGTGAAAGCCATTTTTTGAGTTGTACAAAAACACAGGACAGACAGTAGACAGTCTATCATGTTCTCTCTTCCGAACCGCAAGTTCAGCATCAACCGGAATACCGGTGTGCCTCGACCTGCACGCAGGTTCTCCGTCGGGGAGCCTGGCACGAGCGGTAGGCACCTCACCTGGATGTTGATCGACTGTGATGCTTTGCGTTTCGCTTGAAACAGCTGTAGAAAGCGTATCTCAAGTCAACACTGACTGACTTGTACCCCTTTTTAGAGGCGAATAGCAAGATTCATAGACAGTTCCGAGCCGCGCACGAGTGAGTGGCTCTCCTACTGTTGAACTTGCAATAGTGCAAGCTGACATGCTCTAGGGGTCATCTGCCGCACGCTGGTCTTGATGCCAGCCGAGCATCGACGGGCGTGGTCTGGTGCACGGAGCGAGCCGGCGAGTACGGTTTCTTCGACGCGCCTGAAGAGTGGGCAAACCTAGGTCAAGGTGCTCCCGAGGTGCGAGGATTCCAATCCCGCCTCTCACTGACTATCTCTAACTCTCTTGACTAGGTCGAAGATGACATTGAAGGTTGTTTCGAGCGGCCGACGCATATAGACGTCAGCGTTGCTAGCAGAGAGTATGCACCGACCGCTGGTATCAAGCCCCTGCGGGAGGCTGTTGCTCATCTCTACAACGAGCACCACCGTCAGGGAAAGGACAGCAAATACACCTGGGAGAACGTTGCCATCGTTCCGGGTGGCCGCGCCGGCTTGATTAGAATCGCTGCAGTACTGAATGAAGCATATGTTGGCTTCTTCATCCCCGATTATGTATGGACATGTCTCGTTGCGCTCAGTTCGAAACGACGTGGGCTAACTGTATTATAGACTGCGTATAATGAGATGCTGTCTCTTTTTCGAAATGTAATAGAGAGAAAAACAAGTATACCTGGCAGACTCCTCTTGACTAACCGTTCCGTTCTAGTTCGCCGCCATTCCGGTGCCACTATCCGAGGAAGACGGCTACCAGATCAACCCCGACAAGATTGTCGAGGAGATCCATCGTGGCACCGGCGTTATTCTGACATCGAACCCTCGGAACCCGACCGGCCGTGTCGTCGCCAATCCCGAGTTGGCGGAGATTCAGGACATCTGCAGAGATCGCGCGACCCTAATCAGCGACGAGTTCTACTCCGGCTACAACTACACGAGCGACTGCGACGGCACGACGATTAGCGCTGCTGTAGGTCTCCGTCGATGGCTTCGGCGATGTGTTAAGTTGTGGGTATGAGGTGGCTAACGGCCGGGTAGGAAAACGTCGAAGACGTAGACGAAGATGACGTTCTCATCATTGACGGTCTCACGAAGCGGTTCCGCCTGCCCGGCTGGCGGGTCGCTTGGATTCTTGGACCAAAAGAATTCATTAAAGCGTAAGTCTCTGTCGCGTCAGCCGACGATGGCGTCGTTTGTCTAGCTAACATATGGCATAGCATTGGGTCCTGTGGCTCCTACCGTAAGTGTTTCTTTTGCTCGGTGTTACCCTTCAGGGGTAAGCCTCAGGAAAAAATCAGTCAGCTCTCGGGCCCTGTTCTGCCCCTTGTCACAGCACTGGCACGGGGCGGGCGTAGGCGGCCTTCCCTTCTGAACTCGCAGTTGGACTAACTGTAATAACCGCAGTGGACGGTGGCACAAATGCCCCATTCCAGATAGCGGCAGTGCCCATGCTGAAGCCGGATCTCGTACGTAAGGAGATGGCGGCGCTCCAGAAGCACTTCCGGGAGAAGCGTGACTACGTCGTGAAGCGCCTACGTACAATGGGCTTCGTGATCAAGTACGTGCCCGACTCGACCTTCTACCTATGGCTGAATCTCGAGGGCCTCCCGGCCCCGATAGCGGATGGTCTCAACTTCTTCCAAGCCTGCCTCGAGGAAAAGGTGATTGTCGTGCCGGGAATCTTCTTTGACCTAAACCCAGCACGCCGTCGGGACCTCTTCGATAGTCCTTGCCACCACTTTGTGCGCTTCTCCTACGGCCCCAGGATGGATGCGCTAAAGATGGGCTGCGACGGCATTGAGAGGGTCATCAAGAAGTTAGTAATCTCCATTCTTTCCTCCCCAGAGCATGCTGTTCTGTCTAGTGAACTCGCTAATGTCCTGTGTGTCACAGATTCAAGCATCAAAAATAGTTGGAACAGAGGACATCGCGCCTCCTAGGTGTGTCGAGGAGCGAGGCTAGGTAGTAGTATCGCCACATGTCTCGGTAGGGGGACCAGAGCGACGAGAGCGCGTGAGGTGTCAGCTCATTTCCTACCGTCTTTATTCATAGAGCACACGCTGTCCGACCAGTTACGCAGCAATATCAACGTTGACCCCCATGCCGTCTAATTGTCTCTTTGCCACCTGGAACGGCTTGTGACGGGGTGTTCACTCGTTCCAGAGGCTGGATAAATGCTCTTCGGGTGACCCCCAAGCTACATGGATGTCTTTCCTCACGTTATAGACCTGGTAACGAGCGGCTGGGCGTGGTCTGGCAAGGGGCAATAGGGGGTTGTTATTACGCGATCGCATCCCACTGCTGGTCCACACGACGGCCGGACATAAGTCAGCCAGCCAGCCATTTTTCCGCCCCATTTTCACAGACTACTACCTCCTCTAATAAAGCCGCTGTAACATGCCAGCATGAGAAAACCCAATTTAGGATAGAGAAAAAAATGAGACCGAGGAGGAGGGCGTGGGAGGAGCGAAAAGGCAAGGAGAGAGACGGGAGGGTGACTGGACCCCATTTCGGGCGCCGTTGCTCGAGCTCGTCACTGCCGTGTAGTTCCATTGGCTGGAGCGCCTAAGCTAAGCGTCCTGAGCCCCAACCTCGCCCGTGAAAGTCGCTGCATCGTCGAGATGGCGACATCGTCTAGACCGGATCTGCAATCTTGCTAAGGATCTGCCTATGCAGAGCGGATGTCTGCATCTTTTTCCCGCTTCCCGAGCTGGAAAAAAAAAGAGCAGAGAAGGATGGGAAATTTTAGGGGGAGGCCGTGAGGATGTGAGTTTGGCAGCTTGGCTTGTCGGTGCGGACCTCACAATAGGCAGTGTGTTAGTGGATTGCTATGCCATGCCCAGGGTTAGGTAGCTAGGCCGGTAGGTAGGGCGAAATGATGCCCAGTGCGCTCTTCAGAACACTGTCGAAAACAGAGGAACCTTCCCGCGAGCCGGACTGTAGACGTATCCATCACGGTCAGGGCACCTCAGACATCATCAGCATTGCAAAGTTGCGGTCAATTGAGAAACACCTTTCTGATAGCTCAGCCAATGTCTCAATTGCTGCGCGATAGAGTGATCAACAGCCAACTCGCCAGGATAATCAGGACAGCCAGCCGTAGCATCACCGCCAGAAGAGGCAAGACAATCCACCACCACGACGACCCTCTCATCACACCGAAGGAGCATCACCAACATCAGCGGGATATCCACACCACGGGCTATCTCCGCGGTACGGCAGAAACACGCATTGCAGGCATTGCAGGCATTGGAGGCATTGCAGGCATCGCAGCAAGCCACCGTCACCTTCCAAAAACTAGCAGCATAGGCCACCCCACGGCCTCAATATCCACATCGCCTGCACGAAGACGCACCACGACCACCACGACCACCACGACCACCACGACCACCATGGCCGCCAGCTCTTCCCAGCCGCCAGCGCCAGCGCCAGCATCAGCATCAGCCAAGGATAAGGGCCGCGAGCAGCAATCAGGCATCCCGAAGGAGGACAGGAACCCCGCACCGCCGTCGAGCACGCCACCGAGTCCCCGGAGCGCGCAAGAGGCACAGGACGCTACGCCCTGCTCGGCAGCCAATGAGAGCGGCCCACCGCCCGAGACGGCCCAGGAACAGCAGCAGCCTGAGCCTGAGCAGCAGCACGCTGGCGAGGCCCACCCGCAGGCGCTGCCGGCTCCTCCACCGAGGGAAAGCGCTGCTGGTGAGGCGGGCGGGAGCAGCACCAGAATAGAGGTCAACGGCGATGGCGTCAAGCTGGACCACCTGGGGCCCTTGGTCGTCCACAAGGACGGCACCGTCTCGCGCATCGCCAACTGGGCGGAGATGACGGACATTGAGCGGAAGAACACGCTGCGCATCCTGGGCAAAAGGAACCAGCTGCGGCTGGACACGCTGAGGGGGACGGCTGAAGCAGGAGAGGAGTCATGATAAGCGTGGAAAGCTGGTTATGTTATCAATGGAGATTGTTCTTCTCTTTTTGATATGTTCAAACCCATGTTATGATAGCCTTGTAAATATAACTCAACACAAAAACCAAAAGTCAGCTTGCAAATAGATCAGATCTATCGCGCTTGATACATGACAAAAAATCGTATATCGGATATGCCTCCCCTTCAGCCCAGTAAAGGGTTCCCAACCCATCCGCTCCATAGCCTCGTCGTCTCTTGAGCCTAGAGACACTGTGCCATATATGGAAGCTGTGACCAGTCCATTCCCCCTCCCAATAGAACGCCTCTCCAATGACTATGTGGTATCATGAAAGAACAGACCTATTTCAGTGTAGGCCCATTAATTCTCTGCCTTGACCGTCTCGCTGTCAGTCGCCCTCGCTGCTTTTTCGTCTGTCTTTTCTTCGTCACCTTGGTTGGCCTCGAGCTCCTTCTTGGCCGAGAAGTCTTTCCACATACTTGTGATGTCCTCCTTATCGCCATTCTTCTCCATGATCAGGTTCTTGAGCCACTTGTTCTCAGTCTCCAGTTGCTGGATGCGGCCTTCGAGGGAGGTGACCTTGTCGGACATCTCCTTGTTGTTCTTCTCCAGGGCCTGCTCGCGCTGCTTCTTCTTCACTCGGAACCGGGCGCTGGCGGCGGTGTTCCGCCTTCGCTTGTCCTCTTCGGCGGCTAACCTGGTGGCCTCCTCCATGCTCATGGGTCGGTTCGGGTTCAAAGTCGTCTCACTTGCCTTGCGCTTCAGCTCGCCTACATGGGGGCCGGATGGCCCCCCATAGCTGCCCTGGTGGTTAGGGACGGCCGGGTACACTGCCTGGGGGTTGGGCTGGATCGGCTGAAGGTTCCCCAGGTTCTCTGAAAAGTTTCCTAGCGTCGGCGACGCGTAGGAGTTACCAAAGTCTCCAAAGTTGAAGTCGCCTGCGGGTGCCATGGTGCCATGATCAGCATTCGTCGTAACTCAACATAGACAAGAACATATGCGCAAACTAAAGAGGTATGAAAGCAATAAAGGAAATCCCGGGAGTTGGAATTGGAGCAGGAGAGAAGAGGCGGCGTGCGATATCTGGGGGTTGCAGTGGCTTACTAGCCGCAATGTTTTGGACTTGGACAAAACGAGCTTCCCTAAGTGTTCTGGGTAGGGGGGTGCCACTCCCGGGGCCTCGTGGTGACGCCTTGAAGTCACGGGTTATGGCACCATCGCCGGCAATTTGTCGGCTGCATATAGGCGTTCCTCAGAAACTCTGAGCTCTGCGCACGCAATGCATTGTGAGGTGGCTCGACCCAATCAAACTGTGGAATTGTGCAGAATGGGGAAGCAACAATGGGGTGGGGTCGAGGACAATCCCTTCTTTGATAAGAGGAGCACACCTGCTTGGTGAATTGAGAAGCCGCTGAGGTCGAGATTCGCTACCGTAGACCCTTGGAGTGCGGCAGACGGTGCAGTGCGGGCGTGCGCGCTCACCGTGTTCGGCTCTCACCACTCGGCGAGGAAATAGGTGAATGAGTGAGTGAGAGTGAATGACTCTTACCACCACTCGCCGGCCCGCCCACAATGCAACGCAACGCAATCTCAAGACGCAGCCCTTCAAATATTCCGCGAAATGCAAATTGGATCAGAAGTAACAATAGAAACGCAAGCAGAATAAAACGCATTTGAATGACAGAAAAATCCCGTGCTCACCTGAGATGAAGTCCAAGCTTGAGAACTCGCCGATGGCAGACGCAGCCGAGCTGGGCTCCTCCGGCCGCGTAGACTGCGTGTCCGAGTCGGGCTTGCCTGGCGGCGGCTGGAAGTCGGTGGTCTGGCCCGACTCGAAATCGAAGAATTGGGTGTTTGTGAAGAGGGCGAGCTCGTCGTCGCCGACCGGGAAACGCTCCTCGACGGGCGTGTCAGAGGGCATGGCGTTCAGTTCTCGCAGGTACTGCGAGACGTTGGGGCCCCGCCGTCCACTGTAGTTGGCCATGTTGGCTGGCGTTTCTTGCTTCTTTCCTTGGTCCGAATGCGCGCAATGCAGATGGTCGATGCGGGCTCAATTGGAGAGCGCCGGTGAAGTGTCCTCTTTTCAGGATCTTTCTCTTGCAGTTTCCTTCTCCTCTCCTCCTTTCAGATGCAGGTGTCGAGGGTGTCGAGGTGACGCCTCGAGCGATCAAAGAGCGAACAGACACAGGGCGCGGGGGTGCGTCTGAGAGTGACCGGGTTCGGGTTCAGCGAAAGGCACGTTCCACCAGGATCGGCCAGGCTGACAGCGTGAGATGTTCCACGAAAAGACGAGCTGCTGACGATGTTGCGTAAAAGGGAAGCAGGTTCCCCGTGATATCTGGCTGTCTGTCTGTCTGTTTGACGAAGAGTAGTTTGTTGAAAGAGAAGCGGATCTCTCCAGTAGTAGTAGTAGCAGGCGAAGAGGGACGGACGGACAGACGACTATGGGCGATGGGTACGAAAGTATGGGGAGGGGAGGAAAGGCCAGCGGAAAAAGCAAAATGGGGGGTTGTGGTACCCGCGGTTGGACCAATGATATTATTAGTCAGAGCACACACTCTTCAGCGCCTTTTTCCCTCTTGCAGCCAATATCCCACGCTCTGAGTTCGGGGGTTGCCCTCGCCAAATTTTCGGGAATTTGCCCCACCATGCATGGGCAGCAGCATCTTACAGTGAGCAGCCTCCAGCGCAGCGCCTTTCCTGGCCCCGGCCCCAGGCCATCGGCGCACATTTCAGCGGTGCCCCTCCCGACCAAGAAAGCAAAGCAGCCCACTTCGCAGAGCATTACCCGCAGAAGCACGCGGCTTTCCCTTTTGATCACAAACTGCTTTGAGTAAACGAGAGACCTTTGCAGGCCTCTGGCTGCCCTCATTGGCTGCTCTCCAAGAGGAACCCGGACCACATTTTGGGCCCTGGCTGCAGGCTGCAGATTACATTACAGTTCGTCAGAGACACTCTACACTACATATTGGCAGTTCCTCGCCCATGTGGGGTGCTTCCTGCGCCGTTGATGTTACAATGTTTCTGATGCGACTGCCCTGGCTCTCGGGTGAAGCTCCTAGAAAGGGTCCTGCGATGCGGTGCAATTCCATGAATCCGTACATGCGCCCACACATCGACCTTGGAAAGCCTGGCAAAAGCCCTGCCACTCTTCTCTGCCCCCTGTGCGCTGCCGGAGGGCTGGCCCCGCTATAATGAATTTTCTTAGTGAGTTCTGGGCGTGTAAGGTGTGTACAATGTACATTGCACCCTGGAATCCCGGGCAGACGCCGGGAAGTGCTCAGTGCATTCAAGCCCCCGCGGCAATCGCGCCCTGGATCGACAGAACGATGATGGAATTCGTCGCCACCGGCAGCACTGCTCTCTGCGCAGTATCATCGATCTCCCCTTATTAGCTTGCTATTTTGCTGTACTGTAGCTTTGTGTGATCTGTACGCCCTTCGTTTCGGCTGGCAATAAACTTCAAGGCTTTCGCGGTGAACTCTACATGACGTTGAGCTCGATTCTACCACGGCCGTCTTGAAAACAGGCTCCTTTGACTCCGGGTGCTTTAGGGATAGTTTGAACCTTACGGGATGGCATGCCTTGGGGGGAGGCTTTGTCCCTGATCTACTGCGTAGGTACTGCGTAGTCGCTTGGGAGGAGCACACTCCGATGGCCGGACCCAGAAACTACCGTCGCAAGCGTAGTCCGACCTCTCATGATTCGTGTGCCTCTTGGCTGAGAGTCAAGAGTCGGCCCACATCGTCGGGATTGCACTCGAGTAGCGCCGCCAGACTGCCTTCACGGCCCAGATCTCTCAAGATGTTGGTCTTGATGGATATAGACTGCAGACCACTGCAAAAAACAGCTCTATATCAAGTTTCAAGAGGCATTTGCTTCAAGAGATATTGTCTTTATAGACACCTGTAGAGCCAACTGGCATCCCGTAACTTGGGGTGATCGTCGGCTGTTGACTGCATGTGCCGCTGTCATTCAATGGGTACCCACTCTGTCGGTTGCTGTCGGCTGGTTGCAGCCATGCTTTGAAATCAACTCATTTCACGTGACCGGAAACCCCAGGTCCGTGCCCCGGCATGTACACGTGCAGGCACGTGCAGGGCGCATAGGTGCAATTGCTTATTCCCCGCCAAGGATTCTTATCAGATCGATCAGATAAAACCAACCCCTGCTTATTTGCTGGCATTCATGACAGGGGAGCGCGTCAAGTCGCGCGTCTTCAGCTGACAAGGATCCTGGAGGGGCGCAACTCTACGTCCAACCTACCAAACACCACAACTCACCCGCCTCAGAGGCTGAGATCGGCCATCGGCATATCGTATTTACGCCAGCAGCAAGTGCTCACTCGGTTCGAAGCATCGTGGCCGCCCCTGGTGGTTGAGCATGGCGCGCATATCGGTCCCAACGGCTGCGCGACTGCCATCGTCGTTGCGCCTCGGCGCTTCTAATGCGACGGCACTCAAGCTCTTAGGCCGACTGTCTCGGTCCTCTCTGATCACATCGGCCCTCGACTGGCTCAGCGATGACAATGAAGCCCTCAGCGAGCCGTATTTGAGAGGTGAAGAGGAGGACGACGAAGAGGACTCAGACGACTTCTATCCCCCAGCCCGATCACTCGAGGAGCTACGTGAGGTGTACAATCAACTTGAAGCCCGCAAGGGCTCTAAGCGAGAGGTCCTCGATCGCATATTGGAAGGCGACTGGCGGCACGGACTGAGCCTTTATCAATTGGCCATGGCCGACTTGCAGCATCTCCACGATCATCCGACGTCCCAGAAGTGGAGCGCCTATCGGATAGTTCCTCTACAAAAAGTGTCGACAGACGCTGATGCCAATGAGCCTGCCAAAGTCGACAAGGAGTCTCTCGTTATTCCGCGTTTTCACCCCTCCACATTTGTTCAGAACCTTCAGGCGCATGTCCTACCAGACGTCAAGGCGCATTACAACTTTGACAGGCCGAAGGGCCTACCGTTATTACTGCTGCGCATATTCATCCTCGACTCGCCGTACAACACAAGTTTGGCCGTGTCAAGTGGCAGTGGGGACAGGCTTGCCGCCAGTTTCGAGTCATCCAGGACGATCTTTATCGCGTTTCCTGACGCGTCGCCTTACATCTACATATCCAGGTCTCAGGTCGTCGGCGCCGTCAGCACTGGGGAGACCAAAAGCCTACGCAGCCTCATCATCGAGGGCATACCAAAGGCGCTGTCCAGGCCGCGCGAGCGGTATACTCTCAAGTCTACGAACCTGACGACAAGGAACATGCACGAACTGTTGTATAGGAGGGGCGCGGGACGAACGAACACCGCCGGCGGGGGCTGGAGTGTCTACTCGGACGAGAACAAAAAAGAGTCGCCTCTAGACACGCTGCTTCCCACTCCACCACTATCAGAGACCGACGACGTGCAGAAACCAGGAACGGAACCACGCAAGAGAGCCGTGTCCCCCGAGACGGAGAAAGAAGAGCGAGCCACAAAACGAGCTCGATTAGCTGCTCAAGCTCGTTTTGGTGATTCTGCCCGAATCGATGATGGCAAGGGCGTGGAAAGAGTTGACATTGTTATGGAGGATCCTTACCCAGAAGGCTCATCGTCAGTAGCTAATATCGACGAGGATCAAGGACAAGAAGAAGGGGAGGATAGTGAATTAGAAGCAGGAAGGAGAAGGGAAAAGGGCGGGCGTCGTAGCGACATAGATATCGCCCTGGATCGGGAGGCGGCATCACACGAGGAAGATGACATAGAACCGGAAACCTGGAAGCCGAACATTCGGTTGACGTTCCATGGTCCACATGTGTTCGCCGGTATGAGGCAATTGGTCGAGGCTGGCGTCATAGATGGGAAACGCATGCCTGGGTGGTTGACTGGTGAGGAGGGGGTCACCGTGGGGGCAGTAAAGCATGGCAGGATAAGGGGCCACAAAGGATCGGGTATTTGATTCCTAAGCCATTCGCTTATAAGATATAATGAGCATGCGATGAACTTCTTGATGCAGTCTATATGCTTCTATTGCTCCAACCCAAAGACCTTCACTGTATTGTGCCAGGCAGCTTCGCAGACCTCGTCTACAGGCACTTGCTTGATACCGGCAATGATCTTTGCGATACGCTCGATCGTGCAAGGCTCGTTGCGACCCTTGACCATGGCGCCTTCTTCCCATTTTTCCTTCTTGACTATCTTGAACCGCTCTGGTACCTCGGGCTCCTTTTTCTGGTTCTTCTTGCCCTGCTTCTTGGGCTTTGCCTCGGGCGGTGCGGCGGCATTTGCGCTCCCATTCTCCTGAACCGGTTGAGCAGCCTCAGACTTGGGTTCAATTAGATGCTTCCAACCTTCATGGCTTGGTCTGACTTCGCACCATGGCCCGTCAGTCTCAATCATTAGCCGATCGAGGTGCACCTCCCGCACTACGTCGCAATTCTCCTTGGTCTTGAAGCTACAGCCATTGATGCCGATGTACAAGCCCAGCTCCATAAGCTCCCGCATCTCTTCGGCTGTCCCAGTGAAGCTATGCACTACGCCGCCTTTCTCAAGACGCTCGAGGTTGTCGCCGAACGCGGTCTTGAGACAGCTAATAAAATCGGCGTGAGCTGCTCGCGAATGTAGAAATAGGGGTAGTTGCGGTCTGATGCTTGCGGCAAGGGCGAGCTGCTCTTTGAACGAATGGAGTTGAACAGTCTTTGAGCAGTAGTGCAAACGGTCGTAGTCTAGCCCGAATTCTCCGAAAGCCACGATGCCCGACTGCTGCGTCCTGGCATCGCTTATTAAAGATGCTAGGTCGGCAATGATCTTTTTCGTCTTTTTAGAGTCAAAGAGCTGCTCGTCATGAATGGGCTTTGACGGATCCGGATCGCACGCCGGCGTATGCTCCTCATCGTCTGCCTCATGATGATGCGGATGGTCGGCAGCGAAGATGGCACTGCTGCAGGGATGGATACCGGCAGTGGCGTATACGGTGCCTGGATACTCCTGTGCCAGCTTCAGCGCGTCCCGCGAGCTCTTGAAGCTGGAGCCGGTGACGATGAGCTTGGTGCAACCGACCTCCTTGGCCCGGCCGATAACCGCAGTCAGGTCATCCGGGTGTCGGCTTGTGCCGTGATACCGGCCGCGGAAGATGGGGTCGGCGAGGTTGATGCCGATCTTTTACTTGGGCTCCGTCAGTCACGTTTCATATGATGCAACAGACACATTGTAGTTACGAAGATTAGACATACATCTATGTATCTAGGCTCATAAAGCTGGGCCTCGTCTGTAGTAGACGCCATCCTCAACGCAGGACAGAAACACGCTCTTCCAGACGGGCTCAAGACGGTACGTTGTAACAGTCTCGGATGGCAACTCGCTGATAGTCGGAGGACTCGGCTGTTCATGTCCCGCCCGAGATCAGGATTGGTATTGTAATCCTAGACAAGGACCCATTCAGCAAGATAATCCCTCTGGTAACAGGCAGCGAGGCCCCTCCAGCTGAGTCACGGTTTCAAGGTTCTGTGGTATGTTGTTAGAGTGGTCGCAGATCAGAGCGCGTAAAGTGGTTGATTAGATAAGATTCCTGGGTGCTGGAAAAACCCATTAGTTTTAGCGCCTCATCACCCCCTGCCTAGTGCTGTCATTTGTTGTCTGGCAGGGTTGGCTCTGGCCAGCGCGCCACCAGAACGCGTTGGACGCGCTATAGAGAGCGGGACAGAGTACTTAAATCTGCAGGACGAGTGCGCCCTTCTCTCCCCAACTCTCATGCCTCTACAACCTCCTTCTGCAGGCCACGACAGAACACAAAACACTGTCTCCTCTTCTTCCTTGATCTAGTTCTTCGTGGAGTCCTTCTGCATCCAGACGGAGACTTGACCGCGTCAACTCTCCTCTGCCACCGCAAGATACCCCGCAGCATCTCGCTGTCCCCGGCGTTCCTTGCCCCTCTACAGTCTTGTATCCCAGTGCACACATCCCACATCCAGACGCGATGTATGTCAGAAAACGCGGTATGTATTGCACTTTCCAGCATCCAGAAGACATTCCATTCTGACTCCAAGGCAGACGGGCGCCAGGAGCGCGTCCAATTCGACAAGATCACGGCCCGTGTCTCCCGGCTGTGTTACGGTCTTGATATGGACCATGTCGACCCCGTCGCCATCACCCAGAAGGTCATCTCTGGTGTCTACGGTGGTGTCACCACTGCTCAGCTTGACGATCTGGTCAGTTTTCACGTTCTCCCTCCCAATTGCTTCCTCAAATGGCCTCGATGCTAATGTATCCCTTCCAGGCTGCCGAGACTGCGGCATACATGACGGTCACACATCCCGACTATGCCATCCTTGCTGCGCGTATTGCAGTTTCCAACCTTCACAAGCAGACCAAGAAGCAGTGGTCTTCGGTTGTCAGTGATCTATATCACTATGTCAACCCCAAGAACAACCGTGCCTCCCCTATGATTGCCCAAGAGACGTATGACTGCGTCATGAGGCACAAGGAGGATTTCGACTCGGCCATTGTCTATGACCGAGACTTCAACTACCAATATTTCGGTTTCAAGACATTGGAGCGATCATACCTGCTCAAGCTCAATGGTAAGATCGTCGAGCGACCGCAACACATGATCATGCGTGTTGCCGTCGGCATCTGGGGTGACGACATTGAGAAGGTCATTGACACATACAACCTAATGTCAAACAAGCTCTTCACACATGCCTCTCCCACGCTCTTCAACGCTGGTACTCCTCAGGCTCAGCTGTCATCGTGCTTCCTAGTCGACATGAAGGATGACAGCATTGAGGGTATCTATGACACACTCAAGACTTGCGCCATGATCTCCAAGATGGCAGGCGGTATTGGATTGAACGTCCACCGTATCCGAGCCACTGGCTCGTACATTGCCGGCACCAACGGCACATCCAACGGCATCATTCCCATGCTGCGCGTCTTTAACAACACTGCCCGCTATGTTGATCAGGGTGGCAACAAGCGTCCTGGTGCTTTCGCCATCTACCTTGAGCCTTGGCACGCTGATGTCTTCGAATTCCTTGACCTGAGGAAGAACCACGGTAAGGAGGAGGTCCGTGCTCGAGATCTCTTCCTTGCTCTGTGGATCCCCGATCTGTTCATGAAGCGTGTTGAGAAGAACGGCGAGTGGACTCTGATGTGCCCCAATGAGTGCCCCGGCCTTGCCGACTGCTATGGCGATGAATTCGAGGCTCTGTATGAGAAGTACGAGCGCGAGGGTCGTGGTCGCAAGACCATGAAGGCCCAGAAGCTGTGGTATGCCATCCTCGAGGCTCAGACCGAGACTGGCAACCCCTTCATGCTGTACAAGGATCACTGCAACCGCAAGAGCAACCAGAAGAACCTCGGTACCATCCGAAGCTCCAACCTGTGCACTGAGATCATCGAGTACTGTGCTCCTGACGAGGTCGCTGTCTGCAACCTTGCCTCTCTGGCTCTTCCTTCTTTCGTTGACTACAACGAGGGTGCCTATGACTTCCAAAAGCTGCACGAGGTTACACGTGTTGTCGTCCGAAATCTGAACAAGATCATTGACGTCAACTACTACCCCGTCCAGGAGGCGCGCAACAGCAATATGCGACACCGACCCATTGGTCTCGGTGTTCAGGGTCTTGCTGATGCCTTCTTGGCTCTTCGCATGCCCTTCGAGTCCCCTGAGGCTCGCGAGCTGAACAAGCAGATCTTTGAGACGATCTACCATGCTGCTCTGACAGCTTCTTGCGACATTGCCAAGGAGCAGGGCACCTATGCCTCTTACGAGGGTTCTCCCGCTTCTCAGGGCATCCTTCAGTACGACATGTGGAATGTCAAGCCCTCAGACCTCTGGGACTGGGATGCTCTGAAGGCTAAGATCAAGGAGCATGGTCTCCGCAACAGTTTGCTGGTTGCCCCTATGCCCACTGCTTCCACCTCTCAGATTCTTGGAAACAACGAGTGCTTCGAGCCTTACACCTCCAACATCTACCAGCGTCGTGTGCTCGCTGGTGAGTTCCAGGTTGTTAACCCCTGGCTGCTGAAGGACCTCGTCGACATGGGTCTGTGGTCCGACAACATGAAGAACCGTATCATTGCCGAGGGTGGTTCCATCCAGAACATCCCCAACATCCCGGCTGATATCAAGGCTCTCTACAAGACTGTCTGGGAGATCTCGCAGAAGACTGTAGTCCAGATGGCTGCTGACCGTGGTGCGTTCATTGACCAGTCCCAGTCCCTGAACATCCACATGCGGGATCCTACCATGGGCAAGATCACCAGCATGCACTTCACCGGCTGGAAGCTGGGTCTCAAGACCGGCATGTACTACCTCCGAACTCAGGCTGCTGCTCAGCCTATCCAGTTCACTGTTGACCAGGAGGCACTTCTCGTGCAAGACACCAACGTCAGCAAGGTATCGAGCGGCCTTAAGAAGCGTGCTCCCCCTCCGGGCAGCTACATGTCTTCTCCCAGCGCAGTGCCCCGTCCCATGTTCGCGAAGAAGGAGTCGTCGGAGAACAATACCCTCCGCGCTAATGGCATTCCCACTCCGAGCACCACCCCTCCTCCTCTGACACCGACCTCCGCTGCTGCACCAACACACATCCTCACGTCTCCCTCTAAGCCTAAGACCGTGCCCTTCAAGGCCGATCAGGAGGAGGGCGAGAGCCCCAAGGCTCTGGCCACTGAGCCAGCTGAGAAGGTAAAGCTTGATGAGCAGCTCCCTGAGCCTGCTGTCAACGGCAAGAAGCCTGGCCAGGAGGAGGACAAGGACGAGGACAGCAATGAGCGTGAGATGGATATCTACTCAGAGGCCGTTCTTGCTTGTAAGTGACCACATCATTCATTCTCACTCTGATCAACGACTAATCCCCCTCATAGGCAGCATTGAGAACCCCGAGTCCTGCATCATGTGCAGCGGTTAGGCGATGTCCTCCCGCGCTAGGTGCTTGCTTGTGTGTGTGACGAGTATGATGAAAGGGAAACTAATGTGATGTTTTATTTGGTTCACTGATTGATTGATTGATTGGCATGGATAATGGTGCATTGCAAAGTTCAAGACTACTGCGTCTTCCGTCGTCGTGAGAGACTGGCGACGGTGGGCGCGACATAAAACTCACTCATAACGCATTTGTATGTTGGACGCTACAGGTTTTTCACGGTCTTGATTGTTTCTTGTTTTTGAGGGAGGTCTGGGTCTGCTTGAGCTGTTCACGGCGGAACCCTGGTACCTCTTGTTTTTCTTATATCGTTTCCCCTCCGATGTACCATTGTAACAATCGATCCATGTCACCGCCACGCAGACACAGCGTTCCTGCGTTGTTGAGTTTTTAGGAGTTAGGATATCAATATATTGATCATAAATAACGAACTTGCTCTTGGTGAAATGAGAGAAGTAATCCTATCTTTGATTCGCGTTACTCAGAACCTGGGAATTGTGGGCATGATGGAAGTCGTTAGACGAAGACCTCTTGCTAGACGAAGACTCCGTGGTAGAATCCTTAGCTTTCTTCTTGTGCACATGTTTGCGGCTCTTTCTTCCGCTGTTGTCGTTGTTGCTACCTTCAGGTGGGCATATTGTTGCCCATACCGAAACGCCCTGGTCGGTGTTGACACACAAGTCATCACAAGGTGCGTATAGGAAAGGTCGTTCCTCTCCACCATCCTTCGGAGGGTGAGAGTCTCGGCCCTTGCCGACCAGAACTACAATTCATCCTGAGCATTTCAAAGACTCAACGGGGCGTGTCGTTACCAACCTACGCTACATGGTTCCTCATCATGTATCATTGTTTCCACCATATCACGTCCCCGGTGAAACCTAGAGATTTTGGTACAATTCCCTTTTCAAGAAGGGTTCGTTGTAAATGAACTTTGTATTGTTTGGGTCTCTAGGTTAGGACTTAAAACGAGACATAAAATAGTTTTGCACTTTCGGATATTTTAGCTGGCCGTGAATAGATCTAAGTCAATCGATTAGAGAACAAAAATTGGATATTTAGATATATTTAGGTTTGGGCACTCGCTACACACCAGATTCCAAAGTCTTGGATTTCAAGTCGTGGTGGCGGTGACTTCTAGAGAGATTAGCATCAGAGTATGGACTTAGGTGGCAACACGGCGGTGAGTCCTCCTTAGGATGTATTGCTTTTCCAAGACGTGAGACAAAAGGTGAAAGCCACGACGCCCGGTGACCGTGGTTCTGCTGCAGAAAACCTTAATGGCCAATGGCAGTTCTAACAAGACTGCCAATGATATAGCTGAGTCGGCTCAAAATCTGCAAGCCATGAAAATGTGCACTTCTGCTACATTAACCAATCACTTTCAAGAATAATTTTGTATATCAACATAACAGATGATTGTCATCGCCGAGATATAGTCGAGGCAACCTGTTGGACGCGCAACATGTGACTGCAGAATTCTCAGGAGCGATCATGGATACGGCACAGAACTCATCTAGTCCAGCCTCTGGCCAGGAGTCTTTGAGTAGGACGGAGATCTTGAATAAGTCATGGTGCGTCTGGTCTCTTTGGCTTTATAATGTAGCATCCCTGGAGAGATTTATTCTATCTTTCCTGCCGCTTAGACGATCATTCTATTCCTCGAATCACCAGGAGCGGCTCATGAAGGATCTACCCACACATTGACCCACGCTTTCCCCCACCATGTCCGCAAGATGAATTTATTGATGAGAGCAGGAAATACATAGGCTATAAGGATTTTGCAAGGCATATATCGACTGACGATGATGACCTGACTCTAAGAAGATTCGATAAGGTTCACTGTAGACTTCTACTGTTCCTCCAGAATCAGCTTTCTATGCTGGAAGAAGCGCTGGACACTTTGGATGCCCAGTTGAGCGAACGAAGTGCTACAGATTACGACAATGGCTGTATGCGGAATGAAGCACCAGAGAGAAAAACCATTCTCGAGGCTCTGCATAAGACGATCAAAGAATATGGTATTGAGCAACAGTATACACAGCATTTCTTTAGAATGCTAATAATGCTTAGATAAACTTTTGTTATGGTTTCTGCAACTCAAAGGACGACCAAAAGCGTCTGCACGTATCGTTAAGAATGTAAAAACATGGCTTGGAAATTCAAATAATCCTATTCACCCAAAAGAGATCGAGTTTCTTGACTCTTCAGACCTCATATCGTTCTGCAGGATAGAGAAATCATCACTTCGAGGGTGGATAGAGAGCCACGTTCTGTATCAAACCAAAGCACTCTGGGGTCTTGTGTCGCCGCGAAACTGGCAACCAGATATGGCAGACGAAGGTGCTATCGAACGGGATGATGCTGCTGTCGACCGCCTCGGCAGGATAGCGATTATCTTTATAGCTGTTGTCATGCTCATCATGCCACTCTGGATCCTTGCGTTTGTACAAGACCAATCTCGGAGGTTAGCTGTTATCACAGTCCTCTTACTTGGCCTTGTAATGGTGCTCACCTGGGCAACGCTCGCAAAGCCATATGAAATTTTAGCTGCCACCGCCGGGTACGTACACATTCATGACACCTAAAAGCTAAACTAACGTGCATTTGATTTAGGTATTCGGCAGTATTAGTTGTGTTTCTCCAGTTGGGCAATTAGTGGTCGATGGGTTTGTTAACTTGATGTTCTTGAATGATTTGTCTATGCCTAATGGTTACTATCTATTGGTGGCTATGGCCCTTTGCACAGCCATATCAGCATCGATCATTGTGATTAGGAATATAACATGGGATATACCTAAATTTGGTAATGTGAGGTAATCTCGTTTTGAGTATGCTCAGGTCCCAGACACTAATGCTGGATGAGTGGTAAGTCACGCGCCGCTACTACCGCGCCTGCAAAGACGAAAGCTGGGAGTGATGACTCTCCGAGCGACGGGACTTGCACTTTATATCATATGCTATATTTTCACTTGAGCAAAGCTGGTGGAAAACAGTGTCTTTAATGGTAACGGGCGCAGGCCTTCATCCCATATGCTTCAGTTGGACTAACCCGTAGATCACGCAGGTATTTAGCGGGCTCGTAGTATTTCTTCAAGTAGGCCGTATCAATGACCTTATCTGCCAGAGGCGAAGATGGGTATCGTGCAGCACTATCGCAGAAGATAACATTGGGAGAAATGGATGGAATAAACGGGACGTCTTTGTCAATCGTTATTAACACCATGTCCACGCCAAGTTAGACTGTCAGGCCGATAAGGTTCTTTATAGATTACGAGCGTAAGGCACGATAACTGGTTTCCATTAATCTTAACTACAAAGGGGTCCAGCAGTTTCACCAAGAGTGAAGGGTTATTGGTAACGTGAGACTTTATTACGGTGAAGTAAACGAGCTGGACTCGAGGAGGGGTGTTGAAGCTCAAATTCTGGCATTGATACACGGCGATAGAAGAAAATAGATTATTATTGGGCTGAACCTTTCCCCCGGTATCAAAGACATTTAAAACTAGCTATCAAGTCCCTTGCAGGCTCAACGGTGGCAAGCACACGTGTAGTACGATAAGCTTGTATTGCAACGATCGCCCGAAGCCCCGTTTGGGCCCTTGCGAAGCTATCCGCTAAATCCCGAAAGGCCGAGTTCAATCGAACAACAGACTGAGCTGAGAGATTTTGATAACTTCGAGCCTAATTCCCAGCAGGCTCGGATTGGTGATCTACAGGACTTCCGCGTCTGCGGTGCTGCCTCGTAACCATGCGACAAGTGCCGTAATTGCGGAGGCCGCCGTGCTACACTGGTAGACGACTCCTCATTTCAGCAATGAGACACAAACGGCGCGCTCAATCTCAGCGAAACCGTTTGTGGACCTACGTAATCATTGCCACATCTGATTGAGGATGATCAGTGGGAAGAATAATCTGAGAGGTGCGGGGTGCCCATTGTCAAAGATTTGAGGTCCCCTACTGGACCCTGTATCAGGAAATGTCCAGGAGAGCTTCAGCTGGCGTTGTCCGCAAAAGCAACGATGAGTGGCTGGGCAGCATGCAAAGCAACAATAGTGCTGCGGGTATGTCTCATAGGTGTGGCTCTTTCGGGCGACCTGCGCCACTTCTTTTAAGACCGTTCGGTCTCGGGCCGGGAGTACCTCACTAAGGCCTCTTCTAATCCCAAAACAATGCAGCTCCCGCTCAGGTAGCCAAAGTCTACCGTGTGTGAGCTGATTTTTAAGCTCGAGTGAAAATCCAACCATGTGTTATCTGTTCCAAATGCATTACGATTACGATACAATGACATCGAGCTTTGAGTGGAACCAGAGAAAGGCAATCCTGTCATTCCTGTTTTGGAGAAGAGTCTAGGCTCTCGCTTGAGGAAAAGAGGAGATTGCAGGGGTCGCACAGGCCCCCTGGCGCGGTACTTGGGAGAATCGTCGACATCATTGGTGGTGACATCAGACTTTCAGGTCGTCTCTTCAGATCGGATCATGACATGTGCAGGGGTCTGGGATCCGGACTACGATTTTTCTTGTCATTTACGGGGTTCAGAAAAAACATGGCTATGGAAGGCTCCTTATGCATTCAATTGGCAGGCCCCGAAAACAAGGGAAATGAGGGTGGTTGATGATCCCCTTCAAGATGAATGACGACTGGCCGGCACCGTTCAGCCGGGTGCACACACACTCACACACTCATTCATATACCGGTAATAGTCTACAGGCCCGTTCGAGAGGCCATAGAAAAAGGTAATTAAGTGCTATGGTACTGTAGGCTGTCATGCCTGAGATTCACAAAGAAAAGGACGCAATCTCGATCGATTTGTTCCGCTCGAATCATTGGAAGGCACGGAGGAATCTCGACGTCAAGCGTAGTTGTGCTCTTTAGCCTTGTTTTCCCCCATTACTAGCCATTGACCAAGCCATTCAATTACGCCTCAAATGCCCCGTCACGCTTGAGCCACGATTCCAGGCGGCCCCTGTCGATTGGCTGCACGGACCAGGGATCCATGTTTCTCGGCAAAGCCAATCTGGAAGCATTGGCCAATGACGACGTGCCAGCGGGAGCTCTAGTCACATTGCATGAGCAACTGCAGCTCAAACTTGACCTCATCCTACGCCACCTATGTACTCACTCTCGTCGCCTGCGCGTTTCCCTGCTTTTGTCTCTCTGCCTGCTTGCCCTCCCAGCAACCAGATTGCCCAAACAAACTGCCTACCTACTCTTGCAGCACCCTGGTCTCCAAATGTCCAACGAGCACTGCTGTACTATGGCAATCGTCGTTTCTCAAGCACTTCGCTGGTGGTTGGTATAGTACTGGCAATTAAGCCCCAGACGGGTTGAGATTGCGGGTGTACGGCGATACCTCACCCCAAGGATTGCTGCATGTTCCTGACCGCTCCCATTTCCGTCTTGTGCCTGTGCCCGGTTCTGTGGCACATTGAAGGACCATTTCGTCATCCCAAACAGCCAGTCTCCGACTTGCCTTTCCCGATCCCATTTGACCTGTCCTACAAACAGAGAAGGCACCGTTCAGAGAAGGCGATGCTGCCGGGGCCCAGCTTGACAGGGCGAGATCCAGTGACATCGGCCTCTCCGTCTGAATAACTCTCACAGTCATGGGAGGGAGCGAATTGGAACAAGCCACCAAGACTCTCTGCTCTGCTTTGGCTGATTATCATAATGTGACCGTAGAGCAGAATTCGTTTGACTCCAGCCACAGATGACCCTGGCTAGAGATCCATGTGATAATCGGGCCTGCAGCGGACCCATCTTACCACCGCACGGGTCCCAGAAGAGGTCACGAAGCACAGATGATCTTGTAGGTCGATCAGGAGGTGCTGCTCCTCTGCTAATATCCTGTCAAATTGGCAACGTCCCGATTTTCCTTGTTGGCGTGGAAGACCACCATGACCTCACATCAGAGCTGTGTTAGTTGCCCGTCACATCTGTTGATAGCAGCTGGAGGCAACGAGGTATCATAGGTAGCCGTGAAATGCATACACCAGAACTCGAGATGATAGGGGGGATGACCTTGATCAGAACAAGGGTAGCACCCGAGCAAGCTGAGCCGAACGAGAATGACCAAGGTCCAGTGCCAGGAAATAAGCGGCAGACAGCTTGACAGGCCACAATCCAGACTAGCACGGCGGTCCTTTCATCATCGGGTACCCGTCCGTTGTCACCTCTGCCAGGTGCAGGGCTCCAGCTGTCCAGGCGAGCCAGGGTTTCCAGCTCCGAAGAGGCAAGGCTTTGGGTACCATTTAGACCACAGTAGATAGATGGAGTGGAGGAGCAAAGGAAGCTGGTCAGGTATGAGTGGGACTGGGGAAAGGTGGCTCCTCCCGTAGTGTGTGCTCTACTCACTCGTAGCTGCATGGTGGTTCCCACTTACACGTCAAGACTCTGTCTTTCTCTCTGTTGTCTGTGATGCACGACGCACGAACCGCACCTACCCTGCCCGGCCTTGCCTTGCCTTGCCCTGCACCTGCACCTGCACCTTCCTTCCCCACTACCGACCCGGACGCATTACCGCATTACATCGTACCTGCCATATACTACGCAGTCTACCACCACCACAACCTGTTCGTGACCCTGCTTCTGCTTCCTTCCCCATTAGGTCCCTACCTTTCTGCTTCGCGAAGCTCTTTCCCTGCAAGGTCCGTGAAATTTTAAAACATCCCACCCTCCTCCCAAAGCTTTCCTTTTCTCAACCCCAACCTGTCACGTCTCTCCAAAGCTCTACAGCTTCTCGCGCCAACAGCTTCCTCGACCTTCACCTCTAAGGTACATATTCCCAAGGTCCTTCACCTCATCTCATCTCCTTTTCAAAGCACTGAAGCCTCCCTCCCGTCTCCTCAGACCTCTAACAGCGTCCTCTGCATCACATAATTCTCGACATACGTTTTTCTTGAGCTCACAATTCCAGGCAGAAGAACCTCCTCTACGCCCCGGCAACCGCCTCGCCTTCAGTCATCAACAGCATTATTTACGCTCACGCGCAAATAACACTCTAACCCCCCACCACTCCTACTCAATCTGTCAAGATGAAGGCTACTCTCTTCGCCCTCGGCGCGTTTGTCGCCAGCGCTTTTGCGCAGTCCATCGGCGACCTCCCTCAGTGCGGTGTAAGTAGATGACTCCTTCCGTGTTTTTTTGTGCAAACGTCAACAACCGCTTTCAATCGTTCTCAACACGCGCCAACAATGCGCATCTCAATTGCGGAAAGGATGCTAACGGCGAATACAGCAAGTCTGCGTCAATAACATGCTTGGCAAGGCGGGCGAATTTGGTTGCAGCAACACCGATGCTGCTTGCCTCTGCAAGGACGCTAACTTCGCCTACGGAGTCCGTGACTGCTCGTACCAGTCCTGCCAGAACGACACCGCTGCTGCGATCGTCGTTGCCTACGGCACTGCGTACTGTGCTTGTAAGTAGAGAGCCATAACCTGCCTTTGTCCCCAAAAGCTGACATGACAATCAAGCCGTCGGTGTGGTCGTCCCCATTGGTAGCGTCTCTGTCAGCGGTGTGGTAAGCATCTAAAACGCGTTCAATCCTTAAATTGGAACCGACTGACCTTTTTGCTAGAGCCTGACTGCGACCGCCTCTGTTCCTAGTGGCGCTAGCTCTGCGGCCGGTGGTGTACGTATTGCTTGCTCGTTTCTCCCATCTGCATACTCACATTCGTAACAGGGATCTTCTTCTGCCATCACTACCTCTGAGATCGTCTCCACTGTCACCGTGAGCGGTTCCACGAGCACTACCACCGTTGGCTCAACCACCATCTACACAGTCATTGGTGGTGGAGCCGGTACCACAGGCGGATCGTCAGGTAGTGCTTCTGGCTCCGGTGCTAGCGGCGAGGCAACTTCAACCGCGGTCACCACGTCCGAGTTCACCACTGTCATCACGAGTGGCTCGTCGACTATCACTTCAACTGGCAGCACCACAATTTTCGGCGTGGGCGGTGTTGGTGGCGCGACCACTCTACCGGAGACTGCTGTCTCTACCGTCCCAGTGGTCTCCACGATTACCTCAGGCAGCACCACGCTCACGACTACCATTGGCTCGAGCACCATCTCTTCCAGCCTGACTGGCTCCGCTGCCTCCAGCGTGCTCTCTAGCCTGGCCAACTCGGCCACTGGCACCACCAGCTCAAGCACTGGCTTGGTAAGCCCCTTCGCTTTGGGACCTTCAAAAGTGATTCACTAATTTTCCTCCAGGCTCCTCACCAGACTGCTGCTCCTGCTGCCGGTATCCTGGCCGCTGCCGGTCTGGCTGCTCTCCTCCTGTAAATGGAGTGAAGCTTTTCTTCTTTCCTTTCCATACGTCTTGATGTCTGCATGACTGCATATGCTTGGAACCTAATACCCACCTAATACCCTTTCCACTTCTCGACTATCGCTTTTCGACCTTTTGTCCATTTCACCGGCCATCGTCTTAGATCTCGCATTGGGGAGTCGGACGGAGTTCATACGCGAGGAATGACGGAAAACAGAAAAAGGGGTGACAAGGAAATGGAAACGGATAGGACATCTCTGGTTCTTTTTTGACGAAATGATTCCGATGTTTTCTAATACCAACCCAAAATTCATGGGAATAATTTGACCGGACTCATGGTGATGGCTGGACAGAATGGACGAGATCATGAAGATTTGGCAAAGAATCTTCGAGGATTCTCAGGCGTCCTTGACGCATAGTTGTGCGTATGTATATACATACGAGATACCCTTCCTCTAGAGCTCCTGCCGGGGCACTTGCGATCGCTTTGAGCCTTAATCAATGGCAGAACTTACTGAGAAATGATTGATCTTATCAAATGATTCCAGACTTGAGTGACCGATTTCTAGAAAGAATTTTCTGAGAAGCCATATGTGATATTAGAAGGAGATGTGACCTCGACAGAAATGGAGAATGTTGTTGAGTGTGTACAGTACAAATGGTTACAATTTACGCGAATGTAAGTTGTTATGTAAGGCTGATCGACACAGCCCACCTGCCCCATCTTCAAGTGCTTTCACGTGTCCAGTATCGCGTCACGGACAGCTCCTAACTCTCACTCCAAAATCTCTTACAGAGGGCATGGCATTTGCCTGCAAGCAGCCAAAATGGCAGAGAAGACCAAGAAGAAGACAATAGTCTTTTTCCACCCCGATCTTGGCATCGGTGGTGCTGAGCGGCTGGTGGTGGATGCAGCGGTTGGCCTGCAAAACCGTGGCCACAAGGTCGTCATCTTCACAAGTCACTGTGACCCCAAGCATTGCTTTGATGAAGCGCGCGATGGTGAATTCACCCTATAATATGTTATATTGAGGCCTAGAAACTAAATTGATTCTCCAGGTACCCTCGATGTTCGTGTCCGAGGCAACACCATCATCCCGCCCTCCATACTCTCCCGCTTCTCGATTCTCTGCGCCATTCTGCGCCAGCTCCACCTCATTCTTCAGATCTACGTGACGTCGGAGCTCTCCTACCTCCAGCCCGACGCCTTCTTCATCGACCAGCTCAGTGCCGGGCTTCCCCTCCTTCAATACCTACAGCCTAAGACTCCGATCCTCTTCTACTGCCACTTCCCCGACCTGCTCCTCGTGCAGGGCCGCAAGAAGTGGTGGAAGCGCCTGTACCGCCTGCCGTTTGATACTCTGGAGCAATGGAGCATGGGCTTCGCCGACGCGGTGGCTGTGAACTCGAAATTTACAAAGGGCGTGGTGTCGCGGACGTGGCCGACGCTGGCAAGGAAGAAGGATCTAAAAGTGGTATACCCTTGCATCGACACGAAGCCGAAGAAGGACGCCGCGGTGGAGGATGACGATGGTACACCGGTCTGGAAGGACAAGAATATCATTCTGAGCATCAACCGGTTCGAGCGCAAGAAGGACGTCGCGCTGGCGATCAAGGCGTTTGCGGGACTGCCCAAGGACAGGCGGAAGGGCGTGCGGCTCGTCGTGGCTGGTAGGTCACATCATTCAACGCCGTACTCCTCCTGCATTCACATGCTGACCTGACACTCTTGATTAGGCGGCTACGACAACCGCGTCGCCGAGAACGTAGGCTACCACAGCGAGCTCGTGCAGCTCGCCGACGCCCTCGGGCTCCGCAGCGCGACGACCAAGACGCTCGTCGCGGCGCTCCGCGTGCCCGCCGACACCGAGGTGCTCTTCCTCCTCTCGGTGCCCAGCACGCTCAAGAACGCCCTGCTGCGCTCCGCCCGCCTGCTCGTCTACACGCCCGCCAACGAGCACTTTGGCATCGTGCCCCTCGAGGCCATGCTCGCCGGCCTGCCCGTGCTGGCCGCCGACACGGGCGGCCCCACCGAGACCGTCGTCGACGGCGCCACCGGCTGGCTGCGCGCCCCGGCCGACGTGCCCGCCTGGACCGCCGTCATGGACGCCGTGCTCAACCGCCTGCCGCCCGCGCAGCTCGCCGCCATCTCGCGCGCGGGCGAGGCGCGCGTGCGCGCCCACTTTGCCGACACGAAGATGGCCGAGACGCTGGAGGGGATCGTGGGCGAGATCGTCGCTGCGCGTGCGCGGCCGCGGCCGGCGCGGGCTTCGGCTTCGTTCCGCGGCGCGGGGGCTGCGCTGGGTGCGGTCGCGGTCGTGCTGGTTGCTGTGCTCGGCGTTGCGGTGCGGTGGCTGTCGTGGCCGCCCGTGGCGGCTTGACGGGCACAACGTAACGTAGCTTTTAGATGCTCTATTACTTGTGAATAAGAGGGACGGACGTCCATGTGAACACCTCGAAGTATTCACTGAGGCTCTAGATGTGATGCAGGTGATGATGTGATGAGTGAGGACGCTTGTATACATGGTGTTCCGATGAGCTTAGCTCTGTTCGACGTGCTCTCCTCTTGTAATAATTCTGCTACCCTGCAGAATCATCCCTCAGCATCGTCTAAGATGATATACCCTACCTCTCAATTCTACATATGTTTCACAAATAATAAAGTCACTGAGCAACTGTTTGTAGGAGTAGTAATGTACGGTCTATTCAGATTATGCCACACGGTTTGACTGTCCCCGCGACCTAGTCCTACTTTCTCCTCACCATCATCACCACAAACCAGCTTGTTGTGCTCACGCAGCTGTCCCTATTCTCTCTTGATAATCGTTATCTGGGGTCCATTATCCCACCCATTCAGTTCATTTATCCTTCCGTCCGTCCGTTCGTTCGTCCGTCCATGGTCGCCGCTATTACCAGCGCGATCGCTGTCGAGTAGCCATCCATCCCGGCCATGTCCCTTTCCTTCCCTCCCTTCCTATCCTCCCTTCCATCCATCCTAACCTTCATGAAATGCTTATGCTAGAAACTCCGTACCGAGTTTGATAACTCGGCGCTCTATATCCACGCTGTGCTAGATCAAGACAAATTAACCACCCCCTCGAGTGCCCCGAAGGCGCGACTCTCTCTGTGTGTGCGTATATCTCACGCAACAATGTCGTGTGCAATCTCCCCTCGACTTCGTGTGCTATTTCATCCCGTCTCGTCAAACCTCGTATAATCGTCCCGAGCCAAGGAGATGTTGAGTAGGGAAAATCCGGGGACGTCACGTCCCCAGGACAACAAAAGGAAGAGACCCGTATGAACCCAGTCCAACTTGGAAGATGTGCCCTCGACCACCTTTTGTGCGATCTCAATGAACTCGAATCCATCCATCCTTTTTGGGGTGAAATACAGAGCACCGCCCAGTCCTTTTTCAATATCTCCATAGTCCCAAACATGTATTTCTGGAGAGCCGCGATGACTGCATACGCAAGTCACCCAGCTGTCTCCTACAGTTCCATGCCACACCAGACCACTGGCAAAGCCCTCGGCGTAGTCTCTTCCTTAAGCTATCAATATGTCCAACCTAACCAACACTATTGAAGGTTATTGTCTCCCAAAGGGCACCACCCATAATGAAGGCGTGTCCCAGATCCTCCACATCTAACCAAAATCGCTGCGTAAGCAAGGAAATGTTGACTAGAAAAACAGATAGCCAGCCAATGCAAGTTTTATCCGAAGATAGAAACCGAAAGACATCGTGATTCGCGCGAGAGGGGAAGGTTGCGCAGCGGACGAGCCATAATTATTGGCAGCCGCCATAGAAAATTGTTCGAACAAGGTAGATCCGCTTGTGGAAATGCAATGATATCCTTAGTCACTATGCACGACGACCTTCTTCGCCGTCTCCGTGCTGCCAACGCTAGCATTGGTGTCTCGTCGCTTGGAACCGATCACCATCTTGCCCATCGGCGCCTGTGCGTCTTTGGGAGGCGTGCTCCTCTTCTTGGATTTGGCCATGACCAAGCCTTCATCGCTATCGCTATCCTCATCGTCTTCTACTGCCCGAGCTGATGCGGACGGCGAAGCAGAAGTAGTGTACTTGACAGTGTGCCGGTCAATGTACACCGGGATGACGTTACCCTCGGAGGAAAGCTCCTGCTGTTCAAGAGGGAAGCCAGCAATGGGCTCTTTGGTCATTGCTGGTGGGGTCAGGGAGTCGGTCGTCTCAAGCAGGGCGGCGTTCTTGACAGCGTCGGGATTGCCAGGATGACCGAGGAACTCTCCCTCCAAATCCGCAGATACCGACGATGCTCCGCTGAGTAAAGCGGGCAGGGACGGGTCAGATTGGAAGGCCAGGATCTGCTCGGAAATCTGCTCGGAGATATCCTTTGTCGGAATAGGGTTGGCCACATACAGAGGGCTTGTTACCACGCTTGGGCTGGTAAGAGGAGTAGTCAAAGCGTCGACGGATACTGAGCTAGATGATATGGCTGTTCCGACGGTATCTTCGCGTGAGGGCGCAGAGTGTTGCTGCATGAAGAGCTCGTCATCAGGCGAAGGCGGGCAGGGTATTGAAGCTGGATCTAGTGCCTCAATGCTGACCTTGGAGGCTTGTTGTCGCCTGATTTGATCCTCGTATTCGAGCAGCTGCCGACGTCGATTGGTCTCCTGTGCTCTAGCAAATGACTCTGGAGTAGATGTGTTGTATACTCGAGGGGCCGGGGTCTTGCCATCTGGGACATCCCCAATCCTTTGAGCTGTCATTGGCCTCTCATCAAGTTCGACCGTCGCACGTTGTTTGTCGTGCATATTGGGATCCGACTTGGGTTGGCCGTGTTGATAGGCATTGATAGCACGAGCGGAAAAGAAACTCGGAGAAGGCAAGGGTACGTCTCCTGGTCGAATCTGTTGTGCGCGTTTGGGCAAAGCGTTATTCCCGGGAGCCACAGCAGTGCTTAGTGATACCTTGGCTTCAGCTCGCTTGTCGGCGTTGGAGAAGATGATGGCTCGGTCAGCCGATCGCGCCCTGGAGGCATCCTCTGCGGAGGTGATATCGCGGCTCTTCCTCAGAAAGCTGTTGTCATCGGCCGGTCCGTCGAAAGCTGGGGTCGTTGGCACCGTGTGTGAATGAGCCTCGTGCACATGAGGAGCCAAGCTCAGAAAGGCATTCGTGATCGACCGGGCATAGTGGTGTTTCGGAAGTTTCTGATTTGCTGTCGGGGTTTGTCGCTCAGCAGCCTCTTCTTTTGCCATCATGTCCGAAAAGCCGCCTACCGATGCTGTCGTGGAACTCGGCCCTTGGTCAAGGGGTGAATCTTGAGGGCTCGCTGCCACGCTCTGACTCAGAGGATGTTCGCCCGAAGGCTGGACGTATTCTCGTACGGTCGCGAAATAATCGCTATCCCCGCGGAGACTGCGACGCCGTATATCCCGAGGGTATGGTGTGGAGGGGTTAGTAGCTGGACTGTCGCCAGCCGAGCTGGCAGCGCTACTTGCGGCTCTTCTCCTTGATGTGCTCTCGCCACGTTCCGTGCGAGGGTGTGTAAACTTGTTGAAGGTCTTCTTGACTGCGGATCTGGCTCGCTCAAGCAGTGAGAGGGGAATGACGGCCTCTCGCATTTCCTTATCGTCGACCTGAATCTTCCGGCCGGCGGTACGTCTCGAGGGATCGGTATCATCAAGCCACCCGAGGACATTCTGGATGCCTTGCACGACCCATGGGTGGCGCTTAACCTCCCGAAGTCTAATTCTCTTCTCCGGATTCTTGATCAGCATCCGCTTGAGAAGATCACGAAGCACGTCATCGATCTCCTCATACCCCAGTTCATCATCGTCTCTATATGGTGCGCTGTTGACACGGTTGTAGAGTGACGTTGTCTTGGGAGAGGTCGATGGGTCGACTGGCTTCAAGCGTCTAGAGGGTATGTAGACTTCCTCCTTGGCAATTTTGCGGAACATCTGGAACTCATCCTCCGCCATAAACGGGATGCGAGCAAAAATCAAGCAGTAGAGTGTGACGCCCAGGGACCAGACATCAATCTGCTCGGATACTCTGGGCTGTTCACCGCTGTCGAGATCTGTGTAGCAAAGCTCGGGTGCGAAGAAAGCCGGTGTTCCCACAGTCTTAGCAAGTTCCAGGTCATCGTCGAAGTCCCGAGCTTCAGACTCCGATACGGTGTCGTCGGCTTCACCATCTCGGATTGGTCGGCCAAAATAGGATACTCCGAAATCAGAAATCTTGACACGATGGTCCCTTGTCCAGAGTAGATTGGCGGGTTTGATGTCTCTATGAACCACACCTTCGTAGTGCAAATACTCGAGGCCCAGCACAGTGTCTCGGAATGTGGCTCTCGCGTGCTCCATGGTAAAGCACGGAACGAAGGAGAAGTCCTCAGCGAAGAAATCATTCACCTGCGTGCTGAGATCTATCGACGACATGTGTGAGATGATTGAATCGGCCATGCTAGGCGAGCGGCCTCGGAAGCCGCCATCGTCATAAGCGCCGTACATTGTCCCATCAAGAGCAGATGAAGAACCGGGATTTGACCGAAGCGGGCCAGGCGTGTCGAGGTCTTCTTCGTCACGTGGGAGAGGCGTAAGATCGGGTTCGGTAGAATAGGAAGCGGTGTTTGTTGTCCGTTGCAATGACCGCACAGAGTGCGTTCGTGACGGTGCTCGGGAACTAGGCCTGGAGCCTTGCATAGAGGGTGGATTCGATGGCATCGCCGCCCTCTCGGCATATTCGATGTTGCTGAGGCTAGATATCCTCGATTGCATGTCGACATCATCGTCGTCGGCTGCGTACTCTAGGCTCCAATAATCGTGGTGTCCGGTCTGTACTTGGGTGGATTTCGCCCTCTTCATTTCTTTAATGGTATGCCGCCGCTCTAGGATCCGACCATAGTCTTCCTCCTGTGCGGTGAGGCTCTCACCTCGCATCTCCCGCTCGGCTCGCCGGCGCTCGTAGGCACAGATGTGAGGTAATCCCTTCTTCCTCCAGACGATCTCTCCGCGTTCGACATGCTCGAGGACCATGTAGATCTTCTTGAGTTCGGGGTCGTCAATGACTTCGAGGAGAGCGACGACGTTCGGATGCCGTATCTTCTTCAATATGGCAATCTCCCTCTTGGTCTTCTCTTGAGGGTTCATGTTGGCCGTGACTTTGCCGAGCCTCCGCTTCTTGGAGAAACGGGGGATGATCTTGATGGCCACGTTTTCGCCATTCTCGAGATTCCGGGCCAGCTTCACCTTGCCGTGCACACCGCGGCCAATTTCGTCGATGATCTCGTAGTGGTTTATGATTTTTCGGCCCGTCGTGAAATCCCTATCGACATTGGCGACATGAGTCCTATAGAGCAATGGGGTGTTAGTGGGCTAGGACGTCTTTATCCTCGCCGCGCCCCACAGGCGAGAGGCCCCGCTTTAAGTGAGTCGGGTTCGAGTCGCTCTCAATCGCGTCGAGGCACGAGGCACGAGGACGAGATGAATGGCGAGCAAGATGAAGTGAAAGGAGACTTACTCTCTGACTTTGTGTGTCTGCAGCGGGTGCAGGTAGGGGCTGTGAGTCGGTGCGGGCGTGGTGCCCTCGGAGACGGGCTGCGGCGGGAGGGACATGTTTGAGCGGGGGTTGCCCGGGCTGAAGAGCCCAGGCGAGGAGATGGGAGTGCTATTGGCGGTCCTTGAGGGGATGTGAGGAGGGAGAACGCTCTGCAGATGAGGAAGCTGCGAATTGCGGTTGTGATTGTGAGGTTGTGGTTGTTGCGGTTCCATGGCGAAGGTCTGGTCTGCGGTCACTGCGGATCGACATAGTGGTATCTGTGGGAGAAGGCGCTCTTCAGTTTGGTGAGGAAACGAAGATGAAGCACGAGGCGGGGCTCTGAGTGAGAGAGAGAGAGGCGGGCATTTAGGCGGCCATTGTGACTGATGATCGCAACAGACAGGAAGCGCTGTGACGTGTTGTGATGTTGGAGATTATTCGAGAAGGTCGTCGACGATCGTGGGTTGTATCGTTTGCAAAGAGTTGGGAAAGTGCTCGGAGGAGCTGGAGAAGTGATGGTAATTGAGTAGAAAAGGCCAAAATGGGGCAGCGGCAAGAAGGTGGGAATGGTTTGGTCTGGGTCTGGTCTGGTCTTGGGCGGCGGGCAAAAAAAGAATGGGGACTGGACCACCACTGCTGTACATGGGCACTGTAAAGTTGGTGGTGCGTGCGCAGCGCCAGGTAGCGGTGCGTGAGTCTTGAGAGCGGGACCGGCTGCAGCACTCGTTGTGTGTACAGTACTCTGCTGCATACCTAGGTAGTACTGTAGGTAAGGTAGGTAGGAAGATAAGTGTAGGTACTCGGGGTACTCTACCAGGGGACGTAGGGAGGTACCTACTCAGCAAAATGTACTTTCCACCATTCCCTCAGGTAGACTATGTACGTACTTTTGAGTGTAAGTGGCCTGTTGCGCTTGCGGCGAACCCACTTGGGGCACCTGGCTCCCTGGGCGCGCACACACACACACCCAAGCTCCCAAGACACTTGACTCCTCTGGTGAACGTGTGTTTTGCGTGGTCCGGCAAGGTACACTCCACTACAGAAGTACCTCTCCATGCTCCTCCCCAAGGCAAGGACAGGACGCAGGTGGACCTGTCTGCCCAGAACGTTAGTCATTTAGCGGGCTGTGCCCAGATGGTACTGTGCTGTGCTGGACCGTACCAGCCCAGGCCCGAACGGTGCCGGATACTCGTCCGGACTGGGGGAGAGGCAGCTTTCATTCTTCATACATGGATGGTGAGGTAATGGAGGCAGGCACAGGTAGAACATACTATGCAGTAGGACGCGCTCTTTCACATTTTATTCAGAAAGTAGTGCAGCGAGTGCATCAGACACGGCACTCGACATACAGTATGGTAAGGCAGTCAATCAATTCAATTCAACTCAGAGATTGCACTTGCTGTCAGGTTGCCCGGTCACGTCTCGCATTTCCGGTCTAGCCTACTCCTACATAGTACTCCTGCTGTGTACCTGAAGAGAGAAGACTACAGATTGCTGTTGGTGATGGTGGTGGTGGTAGTGCAGGTTTAGTTTTTTGGTTGACGGCGCTGGTCGAAAGATGATGATCGTCATGATGATGGCCGGATGGGATGGGTTAGCAGTGGTGAGATGGAGGGAAGGGGTAGGTACCTAGCAGCCTACTGCATAGTAGGTAGGTACCCTCGGGCAGTGTACAGTAAGTTTCAGAGAGATTCTCACGGCCCACCAACATCACCTCAGCACACCCACACACACACCCACCAGTGGCACCTCACTCTAAAAGGACTCTCAGCACAACTCCAACACTTTTTCATAATCAAGCGAGAAGCAGGCTCTCTGCCCGGGGATTTTTTTGATGAGGACGCCCACCCCGCCGCCAGTCAGCAGAAATCGATGTTTACACACACAGGCCACTGGCTGTCCCCTGCCCAAGTACTCAACACTCAGATCATGCCGTCCGTACTGTACCTAGGGTAGCCTGGTGGATCCCCATTCCTGTCTACTCTACTCTAGTTACTGTACGCCTGCAGCCACGGCCTCTTGTCGCCCTGTCGCCCTGTCCCCCTGACGAGCCTGATTCGGCTCTACTATTCCTCTTCCTGTTCCTCATGGATGAGCTTGAGCTTGAGCTTGAGCATGGGCTTTGGCTTGGGCTTGAGAAGAGGTGCCAGGCAGTTTGCCAGGTAGTTAGGCCGGAGTTCGACAGTGCATTTGCGCTACCTAGGTAGGTTAGGTACTCTCCATGCATGCAATACATCGTATCGTATCGTGCCTAGCGTACTTGCGTGTAGTTGGGCAAAGGTAGCGGGAAGCAGGGGGAGCCGGGCTTCGGCAGGTTCATTACCTCCTCAACAACACAGTATGACTCCCCTTGTAGAAGTTGATAGACCCATTGTATTAAAACAGACAGGACCTTTTGAGATTTTCGAGTTATTACGCCTCTCAACATTTGGGTATCTTTGCCCTTTCAGAGCCGAATGAACATTCATCGCCCTGGCGGAGGAGTACACTGAGAGGCAAGAAAAGGTTGACCTCAAGATGGGGAGCGAGGAGGGCGTTGCGCTAGGCTAGACAAGGTTCCAGGGATGGGGAATGGAGGACTGGGCTTATCGCGCTAAGACACCTCTCGCCAGCCACTGATTGGCCCTTCTGCTTATTGGGCTGGGCTGGTCCTGCAGGAGGGTGCTTCGGGGTGTGGTAGGTGCAGAGCAGGGAAGTGCAGTCAGGATGATGAAAAGATGGATGGATGATGGATGGTGGATGGTGAATGGTGGATGGGTAGATGGTGCTGGCTCGATGGGCCGATCGTCTGCCATGACAACATGAGGCAGGCCCGTCCTGTAAGTACTGTCCCTGCCGCATATTGATGGAGTTCGGCTCTATCCCATCCTGACGAGATTCAACAACGGAGCAGAAGCATGCCGGTTTGCTGATTGACTTTTCGACGTGCTACACCAGGTAGGTACTGCATGTACTGTACACGGGGCCCAAAGACTACCGTTGGGGCGAAACGCCTGATTGTGAAGAGATCTGAATCTCAAAAAGTTCGGCGGTGATGCTGTACATTCAAAACCTCGATTCACTAATCACGCGACAGCCCACGGAGCAGACGCTGCGGTGACACTTGCCCCTTCCCTCCTGAACCGGCCGGCAGTGGCAAGACGCGAAGCGATGTTCACGGGCGTCACGAAATGGCAGGCGACACTTCACTTTCAACAACCCTGAGTGAGTGAGTGAGTGAGTGAGTGAGTGAATGGGTGCATCCGCCCGTCTGGACCGGCCGGCTCGCCATGGCTTGCGACGGCGGGCAGGAGTCGGATGGACATTTGTCTTGTCATGTCTCTTCTGCACTCGAGGAACCCTTGGCCCAAGCCACGTAAAGCAAGCCGATAAGGTAATTAATTCATTGGGTGTCTCGTGAGACCAGTGGCCAAAGAAGAACATGATGGCGTTTCTGATTGTCTCGCCCCTGACGCACATACAGTCATCCAGTGCAAGTACAGTACGTTTTCCTATCTCTTGGGGTCTGGACGAATGCGGCATGGCTCCGTCAACATGCACGGCGATGGTTGGGAAGAGGAACGCTGCTGACATGCGCGCTCGTCCCTCCCAGCATCCTCTCGATCTAGATTCGTCGAGCAGAGTATCGAAAAGACCCGATGCACTGGGCAAACACAGCCGAAGAAGAAAAAGAAGAAGAAAAGGCCTTCCCGTCGTTGTCGTCTCCTACTAGCCAGGCAGGAAAGAAGGGCCAATTTACGGACGAGCCAGGCCACTTTGGCCCTCAATGCAAGCTTGCAGCACGGGGCGGGAATGGAGTACCGGTATCCTACGACGGGAACTTACTTCCTTAGTACACTAGAATATAGATCTCAACTTGTTTCAAGTTCAACGAGTCCCGGACCCGCAGGAATTAGGGACAGGGTATCGATGGTGAGGAAAACATGTCGTTCAATATCTCTCTGCCTGCCTGCCTGCCCATACTACACGATTATGTACTGTACAAAGCATCATCCCCCGGACCAACAACCCAACAATCAATCAAAATTGTTGGCAAGGAAAGATCCGGCACAGACCCCTTCCTTTTGATGAGAGGGACAGGAAAAAAAAACGTGATACGGGAGCAGGCGGCTCACAGATTGATTTGATAGCGAGGTCGCATTGGCTGATGAGAAGTGAGAGAGAAGAAATTTTCACTGATTCCTATCGGATCGGCAATGGAGCAATCAACGGCAAAGGAGGCTGATAAGTGGCGCGATCTGACTTGTCGAAATGCCCCGAGACAGTGACAACTACAACAACAAAAAACTGCCTTCGCCCGATAGCCTGACAGGAGAGGACAGGGAGGCACAGAGTGCCGAATGTTGCAGGGGAGACGACGACATGCGATGTGAAGTGTACAGTGCCTTCCTGGTTGTCGTTCTGGTTTTCTGCCTCACCCGTTTCGATTAATGTGATCTGCAACTGTAATCGTGTAGAGATCGATGATGGATGCCGTGAACAATGCACGATGCACTCTAGGCACGTAGAGACATACAGAAACAAAACATCTCATAATCATCTTTGGCTGCCTCTTGCGCCACAGCACCTGGCATCTTCATGATGGGTGGGGCAACTCCTGCAGCATATCAAAATTGCCCTGTTGCAGAGTGCAACTCTCCCCTATTATTATTCTCTCATCACGTACGCACATACATGCGCACGCATGCATGCAAATACTGAGATGTGAGTGGGGAACGGGTTGCGACCTCAAGCGTCTTGGGTCGCTTCATCAGGTTTTCTTACTGTGTATGCGCTACTACTAAGGCCATGGATTCTATACCGCGTAGATGATCACATCGCGAAGGGTGCTCCAATGTAGCCCAACTTAATTGCTCCCGCGATCGACCTGCCACAATTGCTGTGGCTAGAGTGTGACGGTACATAGCAATATCGCCCCTCCTCGTCCCTCATCCAGTGACGTTATCGCACCTGCAGATATAGAGGGGAAGGGGTCTATAACAGCCGTTAGTATTGCGTCTGCCTCTTTGATGGAGCGAGTAGTGTGGGTGTGACGAGTTATATGGCGGAGGCATGTCATGATCAGAAAAATCCCCTA